CGAGGGAAAGGTAGACGCTTATATTGAGTTGCACAATGTATTTGTACAACTATATCTGCATTAAAGGTATACTTTATCAAAACCTACAGAAATTTTTGAAGCTGTTCAAAACACTCATAGCACGTGTTTTTTTCAATTCTCGCGCTTCTCATTTACGCCGGCATGAATACTGCCACTAGCGATATACTTGGGCTGTATAGGTATGTGCCACTATGAAGAATATGGTTTTCAAACAACTCCGGGATAAGGTACACAAATCAGGGAGTTTGGGTCTGGAATAGGGTATAATTTTCCAAGAAACTGATCAATTGGTTAACAATTTTAGTCTAGACTTGTCTAGACTAGGAGAACCAGGAATTGCAAATAAAAATACAAAAGAATCAAATCAGCAAGTTTAAATTTACGCAACTCAGCCTAAAAGTTACTGTACGATTGGGGGAATTTGGGGTGTTTAGTCTAGTATAGGGTAGCAAAATTCAGCTGAACTAGCTCTGGTATAGGCTAAGGGTCCCAGGGGCACATCCCCACCCCAAAATTTCCTAACGTACCCCCCTCCAAGCCACAAAGAGGCCCAAGAGACTACCGTTGTCGTAATGAGGAAGTTCACTTTTAATAAAAAATATCCCGCGAAATCAGTCAAATCCTAAACACCCATTACCCACGACCTCTACCCACGACCCACGACATTTAGCTACACTCTAGTCATGCTGCTCAAAAAGAAAATATAAAATAAAACAAAAAACTCGAGCTTAAGGTTTCATTCGTAGATTCGGCGCCTTGTTTTAAATGCGAACCTCTTAGATTTCGCGAGGGATTGCTGTAAATGGATGCTGCGAGTAGAAAGCTTTGCCAAACGGCTCAAAATTTTCAACTGCAGCAGAGCTTATCATAAGCATCATCTCATCTTCAAACAACCTTTAAATACAAGTAAAATTGACGAGTTCTGGGTATGAATAGCCTCAACCGCTTTCACGCGCCTTTTTTGCCGTCTTTGGTGACCAGTCTTTTTCGTTTCGAACAAGGAGCGGCTACAAGGTTAATAGCCCATTTGCACTAAGAGGTCATGTGACATCGTTTTTATGAAAATGAAAGTTATCTGATTTTGCCTTCGAAAAATGATAAGTGGGTCATATCTTAAACAAAATAATAGTGATTTGGTTTTTCAAACCCGCATCATTTTCTTAAAATGAGTAAGTTCGTAGCTGGTCACGTGACTAAAATGTGATTTTTAAAGTTTTGAATTACCTCTTTCTGAACACAAATTTTGCACTTAAACTTCACGGAAAATGTTGAAAAGATGATGTGGTACCGTTTACAGCACATCTGGCGTAACTATCAAACGTTTGACAAGATATAAGCAAAAAGTAGGTTTGGCCGCCCTGTTGGAGGGCAAGAGTATGCCCTCCAACATTTCCTCTCAAGTTTCGGGTGTATGATGATCTTAATGTGCTCTGTCAATTTTTGGCATCAGCCAGATTCCAACTTATTGTTTAAGGGAGCACTGGTCACGTGACCTCTTAGTGCAAGTGGCCTATTCACAGACCTATCAGTCTATTATATCGTGCATTCTCTCTTGAGCAGACTGAGAAAGCCTTTTAGATATTCACAAATTTCATCGAAATTCAAGCATGCTAGCGGTTACACTGTTATGACCTGATATTTCGGTAGCCTGCACGTAACTGAAATGACGGTTGCGCGCGCAAATTTGTCACCATTTGAAATTTAAATGTGTCACGCGCGCTTGTGTATTTCCAACTGTATTCCAACTAAAAACACACACAAAAAGGATTAACTGGTTTATTTCTGACTATTGTACTGGTTGTGATGCTTGGAAGAACATTATTTTGCTAGCACAGTTATTATTTTAGAGGATGTACCTTTTAAACTTCAAAGCCAGCACGACGCTGTTGTCAAGTAAGGTAACTAGAACTAATTTTTTTTGGTTGTCTGGGATTTAAAATTTTTCTCTATAACACTTTATATGGCGGCCTTCAAACTCCTGCTCAAGACTTTTTAAAGCGGTCTTTAAACTCGTACATGAGACTTTTTAAGGCGCTCTTCAATCTCTAACTTAACGATAATCGTGAGCTCATGCATTTACCAGCATTTTCTTTTCTCTAAAGGTGTAGAAATGAGTCCATTCTGGGGATCGTTGCCTTTAATAGAACTGAAGGTAAGCCTGTGTCACTGACTGACAAAATATAAGTTCTCATAGACAGGGTGTCCCAAGACTTGTGGTTTGATTTTCAGGGCTTTCTTTCATCTATTTCTAAAGTGATAACCGAGTTTACGTAAGAAATAGTCATAATTGGTACTTAGTAAATGGCGAGGGCCTTAAAAAATTTATCATTTTTTTATTTGCTTCGTTTTGGATTTTTATTTTACTTTCATGATTATGGCACACGCCATCCAAGACTGTAACGACATTTAATTTTTCACAAAAGAAGTTATAAGCGGGAAATATCTGGAAAAAATCGAATGTGTTGATAGTAAACAGAGCATACCAGAACTGAGCCTGGATTTGCGACAATGATTTGTGATATGTAAAACATTACAGGCAAAGATTGTGACCGTAAAGCGGCTGCGAGCGCTAATTTTTCACAATGTTAATTACAGGGCCTGCGCAAGGGGAGGAGCTGGTAGGGGGACCCTGGCCCCCCCACACTTTTTGAAAAAAATATATATATAATACATTTTCAAATAAAAGCAATCTTTGATGGAACTCGAATATTCGACTGGCGGACTCCACCGAAGCATCCAAATTGATCCGTTTCGATCAAGAGAGAATGATCTAAGTCCTAGCTCATTCTCTCTTAGTTTCGATCCTATGTCATAAGGTACCTCATTCTCTCTTGGTAGGTAAGCCTCAAAACGACTATTTACAAAAGTGCGCTTAGTCGTAGACTTCTGCGTTTTCACCAGCCAGGTGATGTAGTATAATACGCACAAACAATGGAGTCTTTTTGATCAAGGTTCTTAAATCTCCACGGAGCTACGATTTCTTAAAACAAATTGAACTCGATGACATAGTAGACAACATGAGGAAGTTTTAGGAATTACCTCAGCAGAGTATGATATTGATAAATGAAGTTTTTTCCTGATCTGCAAGCCTCTGATGGTAAATCCTGCAACCATCGCAGCAGGAAAAGGCTCTTTTCGGCAGCTCGTAGGTTAAAAAGAAGGCTCCGTTCAACAATGACTAAAGGAAGGTTCTAAACAAAGCCGAAAGAAGAGAACGGGGAAACTTATGAAGTACGCGAAAATCATGATGCTGCTGTGCATGGTTACATTTTTTTTACTAACTCCTTTCTCGTTTGTGAAACTATTTTACAAAAAAGATTGATGAGTTGCAACTGTGTTAAAAAATATTGAGTCGACGCCAGGTCAACCATTTTTAAAGTCCACGACCCTACAACCTCCCTCCCCCCAAACACACTTCCAAAGAGGTGGATCGGTCCCCGCCTTTGAAAACTGCCCCGCTGGCCCTGTAATTCAAGTGTGTCACGCACCCATGTTTATTACCAGTTGTACTAAGAAATTATCGAGAAATACAATCGCACAAAACACAAAAATCATGAACCTGTTTCTTATAAATGTTACATTAGTTCTTAAAGTCCGATAGAAAATTTTCGTGATCCTTTGAAACAGCACATAACAAGTTTAAAGCGCGCGCATTTTTGGAATAAGCCATATAAGGCTAGTCTTTTATAACGTCAAATAATTTACAATTGTGAATTTAATTAGAGTAGTAATTCGACTGAGTTTTTTTGAACGACTAAGTTGTGTTTACTTCGGAGCTAATTTTTTTGATTTTCCGCGGAGATATTCGTTCAAGCACGAACATGGCTGCTATCCGCGGGGAAGGTACTTAACTTCTTCTAAGTTACCGATTTTCTAGGCTTCATAATTTTTGGTAATACCAGTAAAAGTCTTAAGTTGTTCAGCGACCGGGGAGCCATCTATAGGGCCGGATGGGCATACTGCGGGGTTTGCGGGCATATTCCCCATGAAAAACCTGAAATTTATGTCTCCTGCATATCAAACTTTTCCTATTGATTAGGTTGCATTTTTGGAAGACAATGGTGCTTTTGTTTATCACATTCTTTTGTGTTTCGATTAGCGGGGTTCGACCTTTAATCGGGTATGATCGGTAAATTTTCGCTGTGACATTTTTTTACTTAGTAGTGGTCTTTTAAGCGGGGTACAAAAACGATAAAACAGCCACGGCTTTTTGACCCCAAATAATATAATAATATAAAATAAGGCTACTTACACCTTTATAGTGTCGAATAATTTGTGAACTTAGAGTAGTAATTCGACTGATTTTTTTGAACGTCTAAGTAGTGTTTACATTTGGAGCTGTGATTTTTTATTTTTTTATTTTTCGTGGAGATATTCGTTAAGGCACGTACATGGCTGTTATCAGGGAAGATACTTTTAAGTATCTTCCTTGAGAGTAGTCATTTTCGTGTCTTAAATTAAAATACCAGGCAACACAGCAACCGATCGCTACAATACGCCATTTGCACATCTCCCACAATACACCACGTCACAACAGAGAGCGTGGTCGATCACGTAACGAAGTAATTTGGATTCTTTTTCCGTGATTTTCCTGGAAAGATGAGTTGGAGTTGCCGGGTGGTCAGCGCGCAGGACTCGCAGTCTGACGGTCAGGGGTTCGAGTTTCGCTCTGGCCACTTGCAACACTTGCTGCAGGACTTGCTGGATTTGTTTTCGTTTGTCCTGAATTCAACTTCTCTCAGCAACTCCCTGTAAAGCGCCTACAGGTTACCTCCCGCCTGTTAAAGTTTCAATCCTTTTGCTCTATTTGGTTTGTCTGTTTTTTAATTATTATTATCTCAATATAGTGCCTTTAAAATAGTAGGATGAGCGAAGAACACTTTCCACTATAAACAATCTCTTAACCTTTTTCAGCTAATGCTGCTTTGTGTCTCCAAAGCGTGGTCCTTTACTGCTTTCTTTTGCATTTTAATTCACCTGAAGAAAGCAAGCCAAGCTGGGAACCACCCAAACCAGGAGGTAATTTATAATTCACTAACTCCCGGTATAGGTGGTTTCCAGCCTGGCTTAGAATCAAGTTAGTTCTTGGGGAAGTTTTCGATCCAAAATATTGAGTGGGATTGAAAAGCTTGGGTACTTACGATAGTACGATAAGACAACATTGCAGCCGATCGGTACCAAAGCGGACCAAAGGACAGACCACCTAGTTTCTTGCAGCGACGTTAATACTAAAAATGCTTCACCAACGTTAATACGAAGATCTACATCAGCAGTGGTTAGCAGTACGCAGTCTAAATTTCATGTTAGATAACAACTAAAAACAATTAACGAGCCTAGTTATTACTATACATACCGCAAGGAATAATGGCTTTTATTACAAAGTTCTTTATGTGTACGGCGTCTCACTAATTCAAGATAGATACGCAGGATAATCAGACGCTAGTGAAGGAAAATGCAACACAAGGCCAGCCCTGAGTTCTTCGAAACCCGGATACCTTAAACCTGCTGTCAGTGTAAAGATTTGTTATTAGAATCGCCATTTAGCCTTACTAATCATGTATGTTTTTATTTAATGCTGTTTTGTTTCTCTATTTGCGGTACAGCTAAATTCGCCTGGAGGAAAAAAGGCAAGCTCGGAGCCACCTATATGTGTATCACTATAAACACTCAGTTGCGCGCGCAAATTTGTCAACGTACATTTGAAATTTAACTGTGACATACGCGCGCATCTGTACTCCTAACTGTGTTCACCAAACTCTGTGAAACACAGTTAAAATAGCCTGAAGTAATCCTTTCCATTTGTTAAATTGGTTGTAAATCTCGGTGACATTCATAAACTTTTGCCTTAACAATGAAAAGAAGACGAGAGAGCGCGCGCGCATTTTTGGAGTATGCCATACATGGTAATTCGAAGCCTTTATGACGTCGAGTAATTCGTGAGTGTAGTAACTCGACTGAGCCTTTTTGTACGACTAAGTTGTGTTTATATTTGGAGTCGTAATTTGCGATTTTTGAGGATATAAGTTTCACCCAAAACGGGAACAATGGCTTCTATAAGTGAAGGTATAAGTAGCTATAATATTTTATCCGTTGTTCTCGAATTATACAATTTTGGTCGATAAACTCTTTCATAATCTTTTCTGTAAGTCTTGATAGCAATAATGATTTTTTTCATTTACTAACATTTGTTTTTCTTTCCACAGCTTTTCATGTTCAACCTGGAGAGGTTCATCCATACTGGGAGCCACCTCCTTTACCAAAAGGTACTTTTTTTCGTTGGCTAAAAAAGTATATTTCTCTCAGCGAATCCCAAGTTTTTGTGCGAATTTGCTGGTCTAAAACTTGCTGGTCTAAACATTTCTTACAAGAAAATTATGAATAGAGGAAATAAATAGTAAGAGCCTTAAATCATATTTGGTGGTTGTTTTCGTCTTTTTAAAATTGTTTTCATTCCTTGGATTTGAGGAATCAAAAATAAATTCATTTCCCGTAACAGCCTCGAGGTTGCAACGTTTTAAAAATTATGAATAGAGGAAAACAAATTCAAAGATAAGAGTTTCCTTCTGGAAAAATTGAATTTTCATGGTTGTTCCTAAAATGTTGAACTGATTTTTTCTGCCAGTTTGTTTTTCTTGTCACGCTTTTCAAAATGGATTTCAAAACCATTGACAGATTTCAGAATCTGGGAAATGAAAGTCTATCAAAGTCCTCGAAGTTTGGGTCGAAGGAATAATTCGTATGCAAGATATCCGAAAATGTTTTAAAATTTAAATTCTTTTTGTTGCCTTCTTGTCATCCGGATGAGCTCATTTTTCAAACCAACAGAAAATCTGTTACAAATTTTGCAAAAGTAAATTTAACCTAGAGGAACTCATAAACATTAAAGTAATACTTTTTCTAAAAAACTGTTTGAAAAAATTGAAAAAAGTTTCATTGACACTCTTTGACCGTTCCGTCAAAAAAAAGTTGAAAATGATTTTATTCTGCCACGAACCCTTTTGAGTTTGTTTGAAAATTTTTTTGAGCCTCAATACTTTGAAAGTAAAATCTCAATAGGATCGATAGTTTTGTAGTTTGAATTTTTGTGACGTCATGTGAAAACCAACAATATTTAAGTGTAAATTTTTCCCCACATCTTTTACGTGTAGGTGATCAGGACGGTAAAGAGTTAAGCTCTAGTCATTATAACTTATTAACTATATGAATTTTTTTGCCACAGCTCTCCAGGAAAAGATTGATAAAAAGAATCTTGTTAAGAAGCCGGATTATAAAGAAGGTAGTTTGAAGCAAGTTATTGTTCTCTTCGTTTTTTCAAAGGGATTCTCGATCTAGCGATTAATCTTGATTTGTACTGCATCATCAATTAATCTGATTGCACTCTTCCCCACAAAGCTGTTCAGCGAGTTAGGCTTGGCAAAATCCGAAATTACAACGTTCTTTTTCAAAGTATTTTCTTTTTTGTGGGGAGGGGAGTGTTGTTGCTTTCGACTTAAATTTGCCGCCTTAAATAATTCAGAGAATCCTAACGATCGAACAAGTCAACCATAAGATATATTTCCTACTAATCATGCCGGCTTGTTTCTCGATTTCTTCCGTAGATTCTGAGCTTAACATTTATGCTCAAATAACTCGACAACGGACCGACCTTATTAGACCAAAAGGTACTTACTGTCGACTACCTTGTAATCCTTTGATGCGCATAGATTTTTTTAATATATATTTTCTTCGAGTTTTGTTTCAGTAGCACTACCTTATTGGTCTTAAAATTTCAGCATTTGACCATAAAATATACTATAAACTCTAGCTGAAGCTTATATGAGAGTAACCAAACACATTACAAATGAATCGGTAACCGTAACGTTATCAGTCCATACTAATCACATTATTAACAAGTAAGACCTGTGATCGCCAGGCCGTTTTATCTGCAACTTTTCGATTGTTTTTTATCAGTTACAATTTTACCTAAAATATTTCCAATGATCCGTTAGATCTAGTATAGTATTTGACCACCACTGCATGTTCTCACTCTTGGTTAATTGATATTTGTATAACGGCATATATATTTTTTCTACAGCTATAAGGCTTAAACCCGGCGATAAAAATCCGTTGCTATGGGAAACGAACGGCGTTAAACCGCCAGGTAACGTGTCCTGAGTTTCTTCTGAAGCTGTTTTTTAATTTACTTTTCCCCTTCACTTGTTTTCTTGTAAAAAAATATTTCTCATTGGAAAATATTATTTACCTTAAGGCGTTTTGGTTTTATATTCAGTTAATCGGATTGAAAATGATGGAAGAGATCCTTACTGGAACCCGCAAGCAGAAATCCCGTTCGGTTACTATGGCGTTCAGGTAATTGATTATTTGTAAAGCGAAAACCCTGTCCGTCAACAATGAAGTCTGTTCCCAGGGTTCTCTCCTCTTCCTTAGAACAGTGGGGCCGAGCTTGGTTGGTAGAAAGTAAGTTGGGATAGCCTTTTAAATTTTGTTCCTTGCTCTGAGCTAAGGAAAGCCATTTCTTGGATCTTGAATATTTTATTATTCTCTCAGTTAGTAGATAGAGTCAAAGTGGTCTTTTTGTAAGCAAAATCAAGGAAATCCGGCATACTGAAATTTGACTGCAAACTTAGTTCAAAGGCAAAAGACCTTTCACTCCCTGCAAAATTATCAAACTTATTATTTTAAGAAGACATAAACTGAGACTATTAAATGGCTGACAGTAGGGTTTATAAAAGTTAAAATATTTTTTTTTCCAGCCCGTTCCCGTTCAGTACCAACAGTTCCCGTATAATCCTGCAGTTCAGCAAGGTTGGGCTGGCGGAATTCAACTGCAGCCAGGTCATGCCCCATTTATGTAAGTTTTTACTTTTTACGCACCTATCCATAAGCCTGGCCTTTTATGCAAAAATGACCTCCACGTTCTTCTGTTGTCAGGTAAACATTCATGGTAAATCTATGGTATTGGCTCAGACAGAAACAAATTGTTCACATAAATAATGTTATCATCAGTTTTCATGTTAGCTCCATATTATTTTGTCACACAGGCAACCATACTGGACTACGACTACAGCACAACAACAATATGCAGCTCAACAGCAATTTGCCGCAATGCAAGCTCAGCAATATGCAACACAGCAGCAGCAAGTTGCGGCACAACAGCAGCAAGTTGCGACAGAACAACAGAACGATGCAACTCCGCATCGGAAAGTTGCCACAAAACATCAGCAAGGTCCGAAACAACAGCAAGATGAGGAAAAGAAACAAGAAGAAAAGACCTGCACCACCAAGACTATTGAAAAACGTCTCGAGTAGGTTTTAGTTTGTAGGTGACAATTGCTGCTAGCGAATTTATTTGTCTTATCGTTAGCGGCGTTTATAACTGCTTGAAGTGTCAATGGAGTTACATGTATATATTTTACCTGAACGTGGCAAAGATAGCTGGCACAGCATTTTTATCAAACAAATATCTCAGTTCTTTTAATCATTTGTGCAATACTTGATAAGCACAAGTTTGATTGTAGGCTCCATTTCTGGCTATTTAAGAGGGCTTCAAAGCAATTTCTACTTTAGCATGCGTGGGATGACACCAAACGCGTGCCCAAAAACGCTACCAATCTCGTCACCAATGCTCTCGGATCTTACGGCTCCCTAGCTTGTACAAAGACCCTCTATTTTCTCTTCAAAGTCCGTCGAGCGCGGGAGATAAAATATAAACCGCAGGGGATTTATTGACCGCCAGGGAGCAAGGGGGTAGTGATGTTTCTTTCTCGCGCTCCGCGCTCGTTCTCTCGCGTTCGCCGATGTTTTTGAGAAGAACGAAAAGAAAAATAAAACAACGTCTGTGTACAGGCTAACGGCTGCCAATGAGGTTAAGATTGATCTTGAGACGGTAGATAGAGGGTCCCCATAGTAGAGTGTTTTCACTCACGTGGTCAGCATCTATGGAAATTTATTGAAACAAAAGAAGGCGTTTGCATAAGAAAGGAATTCAATTCTCAACATGGCCTCCGTTTCTTTGTTTTGGGACACCAACATGGCCGCCGTGACGTCATCATTGTGAAAACACTCTATAGGTTTTTCGGGATCCGATAGTTCACTTATTTGAAGCTCGGGATTCGAGATTTTGAAGCACAATCGGACAAGATTCGGGATTTTAAGTATGCACGTGAGTTAGAATGCCCAAATGACACGCGGGATTATGGGATTAAAGAACCCTACTGGGGACTTTCGTATATAATCAAGGCTAAAGTATTTGCTCTATTTTTTACCCAGAGACATGAAACAAACTCTGGATAAAGAAAGAGAGGAATTCTCCTTGAAATTGAAACGACAATCAAGAAGAGTCAGTGATCTTGAAATCAAAGACAAACAACAACAAAATGAGGTAAGATAGGAGTCAAGGGCATTTGTTGATAGATAGAGAACCAACCATAGTCTTGTGACGGGCTCCTTGAGAGAAGTAGATGATATTGCTGTTTTATTTCAATTATGTGATAAACTAAGGGATTTTTAACCATATTCATCTAAAGCTCCTGTGGAGTTACGAAGAAGATATCAAACAAACAGACAAAAAAACTTCTGTTTGCAGGTTGAACTATATTTTCTTCTTTTACTGTAACTAATATAGACTTGAAAAAGAAGCCAAAATTAATAGGTAATCAGTTTCTCCTCAATGGGAAAACCTTGAGTAAGCAACAGGCAGAAAACAGTGCTCGGAAATACTTGTTTGCCGTTTGTTATGACTTTTCATGTACAAGGATAATAATTAGTTCAGTAATAACTAGATATATTTCGTATACAATTTACGCAGATCAAGGAACAGACAAAAGCAAGAGAGATTGCGGAGGACATGTAAGAACATTTTTAATGCCGTAGACTATTTCGATTCAGGGGTCAGGGGCGGACCGTGGATCCAGGAATTTTTAATTGGGAAAGGGGGGGGGGAGGGTTGGTTCAGAAAGGCCCGTTGAACTTTTTTGTGGCAAATTACTTCTCACACAGACGACCACGTGTTTCTCAATCTGTGAACGCCGGTCGCCATTGGCGCTGCAAGTACTGCTTTGCGAGCAGAAGCGCACAGATGATAGGAGGGTAGACAAAAACAACTACATTTTTAAATCCCTGTGGTTATGGCGCGTTTATAAAAAAACGGTGATATACGATTCTGTCGATGAAGAATTGCAGGTCTAAAAAAGCGTCAGGTCTGATGGGGGGGGGGGTCCGACCCCCAAGGCCCTCCCCCTGGATCCGCCACTGGTGGTGGAAAATATTTAATGTATGATCATGTCCAAGAATCTCCATGCTGACTTCAGGGATACTTTTATTTTCGTTGTAAATTCAAGGTGGAAGAAAATTGAGGAGGAGAAGAATGCCTTGGATGCCATGAAGCAATCATTGGAGAAGGAAGGCGGCAAGATAAACCGGGTTCTCTTGGTATGACTTTTTTCTTATTCCTGAAAACGTTAACAAATTTGTAGTCTCCCTTGCAGCCGTTTTTACTGTCGTGACGCATGACGCTCCTCCCCCTCAAACGACTACTAGCTATGAGGCATCGATTGATTATACGAAAGTTTCAAGCTAACTTAAAGTTTATTCATTTCTTAGAAAACAGAACGTGACCTTTCAAAAGCACAGGAGAGGATCCTTAATTTGGAAGCTGATAATGAAGCACAAAGAAGAAAGCTCGAGAAATTCACAGATGAATTATCTCAGGAATTTTCCGCACTTCGCGCCACTTATAACGAGGTAAGTGGAATTTAATATATAAACTATGTAAAATTATTTATAGGAACTCTCCCCTTAAAAAAAGAGACGTTAGCTATCCCCACTTCCCTATACTACATGGTATGCATAAATAAAAGCATGAGTTAAGATTTAACTTTAACCCGGGGACACCTCTCCAGAACACACGCCTAAAAGGCACCAAAAGTTTGTAAAGGACAGCTCTTGTATTTATTGGCTTACACTGTATACATGTCTTTCTGATTTTGTGTCTTTTGTTTTCTCTCTGCGATGCAAAGTTGCAAGAAAGACTGCGAGTTGAAGAACGGTAAGTGCTTTATCTCTTTTGCTTTTAGAAATTGTAACAACTGAACAAATCTGAACAAATTGAACAAATTTTCAGAATTACCTTCATTTTCTGTTGTGAAGCTGCAATGAAGGCTTTTATGAAACGACATAGAAAGAGGCCAATAAAAGTATTTAAAGAAAAAAAGGGAAAAAATAGCAAAATCGATTTCAGGAAAAACTAAAAATGTGTTGCATTCTACAGGGATCTAAAAGTAGGTGACAAGGACCCGGGGAACATCTTTGATCTTGAGTAAATTACAACTCACATCCCATGTAGTTTATTGGTTTTTACAGTAGATAGATAACTACTCCCAGTTGGTACCTAAGCTTTAGCAAAGGCACCACAATAACTGATTATTTCTTTAAATTGTTTTATTTTAGCACCACTTCACAGACCATACATGGACTGAAAGATGAGGTACCTTGTCTGTAGCTTGAACACACTGAATATTGCTTTTTTTTAAACAAAAAATTGACATGTTTTATAGGACAAGCTAAAATCAACAGATATAGTTTTTCTTCTTTGAACTGGTTTCTATCTTTTTTGCAGAAGTTATTTTTGTAGTACTTGTCAACAAATTACTATAGGGTACTCCACAATGAAAAGAACGAGTTTTGAAAGCATACATTAGCATACATTAGCATAGTCATTGCAGAAGAATTTGGAACTGCGGTAGGATTAGCTCAGCCGGTAAAGCGCTTGTTTGCAGAGCGAAATGTTGCCGATACCCGACCAATACTCAGGGTTGTAAATTAGCTGAGAAATGAAGGCTGTAACTTCGCATGGTTTGGACAACCACGGCGGCGGTTCCGTCTCAGTAGTAGACCTAAATAGTTGTCCCAGTTAGTACTTTCGTGCTAAATACATTTACACTCCTGTAACGCGCATTTTTATTGTTATTCTTTTCGTCTTTAGTATGAAATGCTAACGAAAGTTTTTCAAACTTGCAGGTCGCTTATTTTAAATCGTCTTACCAGAAAACCACCGAAGAGTAAGTAAGACATTATTAGGTAGAATAAATCCTCAAAGTTTCTTTTTCGGCATAACACGGGCAATTTGGCGCAAGAAACTTGCCTGCATGCGGAAAGTTTTTCGTTCTTAAAGATGAGTTCAAATTTCTCGACAATGCAAGTTTGTAATAACAACGATCCGTTTATATAGTTTTGACGGTTGTTTTCGATACTACACTGACTCTTCTCAGAATTACAGACTAATGATATATTGCTTCGTCCGCGTTAAGCCTTGATTTATGTGGAGTCAGGAGTTCTTGGCATTGCTTTTAATCTCGTTGGTCGCGAAGCTGACCAAAAGCATCGAAGCTTTGAGAACGAAAATGCAACAATCATATAAACAATAAAGATATGATAATAGTATATCTAGCAGGCTTTACGAGGTTAATTCGAGGTTTATATATGTACATGGCACTCTATTTTACTGTCATTTGACCATCGCGTACTTATTGTATTTATGGTAACATTTTGTGACGATTCTTTTGTAACGGTTTTCATCCAAAATGAAGAAGACCCACTGTTGTACACGGTCGAAAAAAAGTTGTTCTGAAGAATTGCTATCATTTGTATAACATACGTGATGCACGTTCTGTCTTTCTAAATAGTATTTTATAATAAATAACAATATGTTGTTTGTATTTTATTTCAGTTTAGGCATTGCTAATCAAGAGCAACGTTCCTTGGCCCAGCGGTGTGAGTTGTGGAAGAAAAGCTCTCACGAAAAGGATTTGGTTTGTGAACGTGCAGAGAAAGACAAAGCTGTTCTGTCTGAGAAGATTCAGGTGAGAAGAATAATAACTACTTGATTTTTTAAGTGGAAAAGTATAGGTTTCATTTATGACTGTAAGTACATCCCTCGAAAGACTGGAAGCTAGTCAGATTGGTTTGCTCAACTCAGTCGAAAGGCCTGGCTTCTAAGGCCTCTAAAAATTTTTACGAGTTGACCACACATAGATATACCATTTGAAATCTACGTTAACGAAGTTCTGGCAATCTTTGATGCGACAGCTTTTCTTTGAATTGTCAGAGATGAAGGATAAAAAGTACCCGAACAAAGTATGAATAGACTTAGTCAGATGCCGTGACAATATTTGGTTAGAAGGACAAAGGTCAAAAGAAAATGCTATTTTATTATCGTAAAAGGATATTTGACCAATCAGAGCGCGCTTTACCTAATATTGAAATTAATTGATACTTATTATTAATTTTTCACACTTAAATAGTGAATTCAAAAAAACAAAAAAACAACAACAATGTTGTAAGTTTTCCTGTTCTTTTTTTGATGGCATTGTGAATGTTTGTATGTTATTTGTGTTCTTTTTGTGGTTGTAATATAAAAATGTAGTGTACATAGCCGTCGAAATTTGTTTGGATACTTTGTGTTTTGTAGTGTTTTTAAATTTATTTGTTACGTTTTTATTTGTATTCGCTATTTGAGTATGAAAAATTAATAATTTAAGATGTGAAAATAATTGAAACTTACTTCTTCTTCGCATAGAGGGTACCAGTGATGTACAAACGGAGGATGACCTCTCCATGAAATAGAGAACATTTTTTAAAAAAGTTTATTTTTGACACGAACCTCGATTGTGATCCTAACTTAATCCCTTCTCTTTTGTTTTATACTTTAGTCTGAGAAGGCAGCAAAGATTGAACTGCAAGAGTAAGTAACTCCCTTGTCATCCTTGGCCGCGATCAAATACGGTCTACAGCAACTTCAGAAATTTTTTAGTTTAGACCTATGGTCTGAGCTAAGAGTGGATGTTTTAAACGAAAGTCATTGCCTTTAGTCCAAGTTACTTCCAGGATGAAAACAGGCAACTTCTGGCTTTTTCTTAAACTTTTTGTGCAATTAGGTCCGTTTCACGATGATAATTTCAAAAGTGGCAGAACAACCTACTTGTTATTAAGCCAAAAAGTAAAAATGACGATTCTAGTATTTCTAGCACTCGATAAAAAGACTTGTCGGAGTCGTAATTACAAAGGCAAAGGTTTATGATCTTTAGTGAAGCCAGCGTCTCGATCAATTTACAACGCTGTCGATCATAATACAGTTGAAGTCAGTTTGTCGGATTGGTAATCAAAGGCGGAAGAGCTAAATCAATCACAATATATGGTAATTAATGGTAACCAATATTTTGCATGTATTGACTGATTTATTCTTCCGCTAGCTGAAAAATGATGACATAAAGGGACGGAAAAGGTAGAAGTTTTGATTTTTATAAAGAAATTGGCTTATATTTTCGCTAACATAAACTGTCCGAAATTCCGAAATAGTTCCATGTATTTTATTCGTACTTGAAATTAAACGCCATTGCTACACAGACCCCACAGGTCTGTAAGTTTGACCTTTAGGGGTCTGGATGCGAGATGTTTCAAGACGAGTCCAAGGCTAAGGGTAACATGTAGGTGGGCATATTATTTATTTATTTTTTCACTGTTTAACCTCTGTCGTTTTCAGAAATAACGAGACCCTCAGGGTAGAATTAGCTGCATCCAAGAAGCAAAACGTTCTGCTTATGCAAGAAGTGGAACTTCTCAAAGAACAGGTGGGTAAATAAAAAATTGGAATTTGTCTTTAATTGTTTTTTCGAAAGATTTTTTTCTGGAGAATTTCCCCAGTTTAACATTATCTTATGATGTATGGGTTGAATTGAGCCAAAAAAAAAAAATCACTTTTACAGACATAGTACGATACGTTTAAAAATTATTGATTAAAGTTGTTCTCTCCTTTTCAGAATTACAATCTGCGATACTATGGTGGAGTAATTGGAAAATTCCGAAGAATGAAACGCTTCATCGTAAATACTTTTCGACGATTTTCATCATAACAAGCTATATTTTGGATAGGGTGTAAGGGGGAGGGGGGAACTTACAAGCTATATTTTGGATAGGATGTGGGGGGAAGAGGGAATTACAAGCTATATTTTATAGAGGTTGTGGGGTGAGGGGGAAGGGAAAAAATATTTTTGTGACTGAAACCTTAGTTAAATCTGCTAAGAAAAATGGAGATGACTGATTTGTTTATATAACTCGTATTTAGCAGTAAACGGTTTAAAAACTGTGCAACAACTGCTATCGTAAACTTACAACCTATATTTTAGATAGGGTGGGGTGGGTTTTTTTTTTGGGGGCAAGAGGGTAACGATATTCTTGTGACTGAAAACGTACCATAGATAAATCTACAGAGACGAATGAAATTGATTGATCTGTGTAAAAAAACTGCCATTTACTGCTATTAGAGCCTGTCTAACGATTTCCATCAAGTTATGTCTGGGACAGGGTGGGGGATGGCAATAGAGAAAAGATTTTCTTGTGATGGAAAACTTTCTTTAGATACATTTGCTGGGAAAAATGACAATAACTGATCTGTCTTATCTTTATCAATAACTACTAAGATAAGTTGTCTAAAAGAGACTAGGTCACGGTATTGTAGAGATCTGGAAATGCGCATATTCTTAAATTTCAAATCCATCAAAGAAACTCCCAACTGTTGTCCCTTGATCCCACCCTGACAGGGCCGCACGAGAGCTGGGTTTGAGATTAAGAAACTCGCATTTCTGGATAAAACCATCATCAGATACCACTTGAAATAAATAGACCACTCCTTCAGCGTTTAAGTCGCTATAAAAATGATATGTATTATCCGGTGCACACTCGCATCAGTTTCTTTCGTTTTGATCACCAATTTTTAGTACAATTATCGTAAATAATATGAAATGTCGTAAAAACCGTACTTGCTTGAAGGTATAGTAAGGAGTTGGCGAGAATAATGACAGGGCCGTAGCTGTACTTTCAAAATGGAGATTGAGACAAAAGCTTTGTATTGGAGAAGTATTAAAGGGTATTCTTTTTCTTTCAATATTACTCGATCCACATCCGCTTTGGTTTTCTTACGTTTTGATCATTCCTATTTATATCTGCTTTATTCCTATGCTGCATGTTCTACAATTTCATGATTTTATTTTAGTATTATATCCCATCCTAGCTTGGTACGTCAAATAATTAGAACTCAAACAGATGGTTTTGGAAAAAGAACAACTAACAAATTAAACTGAAGAAAACAATTACAATGTACCAAAAAATGGCCATTAAACAACACAAAACAACAACAGCAAAAAAAAAAAACAAAACAAAACAAAACAAAAAAACAAAATAAAACTAAACAAAACGAAAAAAAACAAAATAAATATTAAAAAAGACAACAACAAAAAAGAAACAAACAGAAAAAAAACTCACACAAAAAAACAAAAATATAAATAAAAAATAAAAAATAATAGAAAAAAATAAGGTTTAACTAGCTGTGGTTTTGACTTGTTGTATTGGCCAATAACAGTTAGGGTGATATTCTCAAGTTGTAAAAACTCTCTTGGAAGATAAAGATGGACAAACACCCCATTCATCACTGAGTGTGTGCAGTGTCTACATGCTTCCTAATGAATAATATAGTTCTATTAGATGATACAAAACGTTTGTCTCAATCACCGTTGTGAGTCCAGCTACGACCTCTGACAGTAACTCCTTTACAAAGTACATTACGATTTTGTTTTCTTCCTTTTTAATCATCCTTTTTTAGCTTTAATTACTGCATGAATAGTCAAAACTCTAGATTGACCTGTTCCTCAAATACTAAAGGCGCACGTAAATTTTCAACAAAAACAACTACAACGAAAAATAAAAAATCAATAAAAAGAGCTATATGGTAAAAAAAAAACAAAACAACACAAAACAAAAAAAAAAAAAAAAAAAAAAACAAAACAAAACAAAAAACAAAAGCAAAAAGCAAACAAAGAAAAATAACGAGACACATAAAAAATATAATAAAATGTGAACTGAAAACCAAAAAAAAACTAAAAGCAAAGCAAAAAACAAAAGAAAAAAGAAAAAAAAGAAAAAAAAATCGTTGTAGAACAAAATCAAATACAGCAGACTTGTTTTTACTGCTTGTTTAGACTAAGGCCTTATCTCCACACATATCCGGATATTTTTCAAAGCGGAGATTTTTCCTCTCAGTTTTCCAAAAACAGTACGCGTCCACACATAGAAATGCGATCGAAAAACTTACAGGGCATGTACTGTACGATGACTGTATGAGATCAGCGACAAAAACGATAAGCCCGCGTTTTCAAAAATCTCCACTTTAGAGAGTGGTTTTGAAAATATGCGTTTTTTCGGTGACCGTGTACAGCAGATACGTGCATGTGGACGGCATGCCAAACGGGAGAAGAGAAATGTCTGTTTTCGAAGAAAATCGGATATGTGAGACGAGGCTAATACTAGTTCGGACGATATTATCAGGTTGTAAAAATTTGCCCATAGTATCGTAAGGAGTTGTGTTAGATTAAAAAGATGTTATGGAGTTTGAATTGGTGTTGTGTTTTCTAGCTTTAAACAAACATTGCTTGGAGCGGGTGAGATGGCAAGAGCTTCATTTCCCTTTTGAAGTTTAAAGCAAAGTGTCTCAACTTGTCTCAACTGCTTTTGTCCCCGCGGATTGAAACTCAAAAAAATGTCATCATTATCTGCGGCTGTTGTGCTTGGTTTGCAGTCAGATGATAAGGCAACCATGTTGGTGGTCAATACAATAAACAATGTTTTGAAGAATTTACATGAAAACGGCTTTTAGTTCCCAGAGGAGATATTAAACAATTCTGTTCGTGATCACCAACATAGCCGCTGTGACGTTACGTGTAAACCAGCAATGCAAGTCATTTGAATATGAGCAATGCCATATTCCTAATTGTTTTCTGTGGCGAAAACTTAACAACTCCCAACATTGTCGGTAGAATAATGTTGGGATTTGTTGCGTCCGTTTGCACGTGGCTAAAAGTTTGACCACTTTCAAAGCTAACAAGAAGACAGGTCATTTCTTAAGCTGAGAAAACACCAAACCAATTTGTTTTAAGACAGGACTGTTACCGAGCCAAAAAAATTGGTTAAGGCAGGTAAAAAACTCTAACTCAGACCACCTCATCTATATATACTGGGTGTTTCAAAAGTTCGTTCCGATTTTTTCTTCGCTCAAATTTCACTGATTTTTTAAAATACCTTTTGTAAAACTTAGTATGTTATTCATTATTCATATAACATTGTATAACCGAAATATCGCTAACCAGAACGTCTTTCTTTGTGTTTTCTGAGATGGTGAGGTATAGAATGTACGAGCTTTTAAAGTCTGTCTAAAGAAACACTTTTCCAAGCGAAGCATAGTCGCTGCCTTAGCTCGTCCAGTTATTTGGGGGCTGGTTCTTTGTTCCTTGAAACTCTCCTCGAGCAAAATAGCCCCGATACATGTTTGCATCAGACGAGTAAAGTTCACCACCAAGTCTCATTTTCAGAATATAAAGTTGCGAAGTTTTGAATTCCAACGGCAGTACAGAAGAATACCCACGCATAAAGAGTGCACTAATGCGAAGAATTTTGCTTACACACGATGCATGCTTGGTGGTGAAATTTGCTCGTCCGACGTAATCAAACATGAGGGCTATTTCTCTCAGTTGGATAGCCGTACTGCGAGAGAAGGTAGACGCGTATATTGAGTTGCACAATGTTTTTGTACAACTATATCTGCATTAAAGGTATAATTTAGCAAAACGTACAGAAATTTTTGAAGCTGTTCAAAACACTCATAGCACGTGTTTTTTTCAATTCTCGCGCTTCTCATTTACGCCGGCATGAATACTGCCACTAGCGATATACTTGGGCTGTATAGGGATGTGCCACTATGAAGGATATGGTTTTCAAACAGTTTACTCCAGGATAAGGTATACAAATCAGGGAGTTTGGGTCTGGAATAGGGTATAATTTTCCAAGAAATTGATCAACTGGTTGACAATATTAGTGTAGACTTGTCTAGACTAGGAAAACCAGGAATTGCAAATAAAAATACAAAAGAATCAAATCAGCAAGTTTAAATTTACGCAACTCAGCCTAAAAGTTACTGTACGATAGGGGGAATTTGGGGTGTTTAGTCTAGTATAGGGTAGCAAAATTCAGCTGGACATAGCTCTGGTATGGGCTGAGAGTCCCAGGGGCACATCCCTACCCAAACATTTCCTAACGTACCCCCCTCCAAGCCACAAAAAGGCCTGAGAGACTACTGTTGCCGTAATGAGAATTTCACTTTTAATAAAAAATATCCCGCTAAATCAGTCAAATCCTAAAAACCTGCTACTCACGATCTCTACCCACGACCCACGACCCACGACATTTAGCTACACTCGAGTCATGCTGCTCAAAAAGAAAACATAAAATAAAACAAAAATCTTGAGCTTAAGGTTTCATTCGTAGATTCGGCGCCTTGTTTTAAATGCGAACCTCTTAGATTTCGTAAGGGATTGCTGCAAATAGATGCTGCGAGCAGGAAGCTTTGCCAAACGGCTCAAAATTTTCAACTGCAACAGAGCTTATCATGACCATCATCTCATCTTCAAACAACCTCTCAAAAAAGTAACGCTGACGAGTTCTGGGTATGAATACCGTCAACCGCTTTCGCGCGCCTTTTTTGCCGTCTTTGGTGACCAGTCTTTTTCGTTTCGAACAAGGCGCGGCTACTATCAGTCTATCATATCGTGCATTCTCTCTTGAGCAGGCTGAGAAAGCCTTTTAGATATTCACAAATTTCATCTAAATTCAAGCAGGCTAACAGTTACACTGTTATGACCTGATATTTCGGCAGCCTGCACGTAAAATGACGGTTGCGCGCGCAAATTTGTCACCATTTGAAATTTAACTGTGTCACGCGCGCTTGTATATTTCTAACTGTATTCCCACTAAAAACGCACACACAGAAAGGATTAACTGGTTTATTTCTGATTATTGTTTTGGTTGTGATGCTTGGAAGAACTCTATTTTGCCAGCACAGTTATTATTTTTGAGGATACGATGTACCTTTTAAACTTCAAAGCCAGCACGACGCTGTTGTCAAGTAAGGTAACTAGAACTAATTTTTTTTGGTTGTCTGGGGTTTAAATTTTTCTCTATAACACTTTATATGGCGGCCTTCAAACTCCTGCACAAGACTTTTTAAAGCGGTCTTTAAACTCTTACATGAGGCTTTTCAAGGCGCTCTCCAATCTCTAAAATAATGATAATGGTGAGCTCATTTGCCAGCATTTTATTTTCTCCACAGATGTAGAAATGAGTCCATTCTGGGAATCGTTGCCTTTAAATTACTAGAACTGAAGGTAAGTCCGTGTCACTGACTGACGAAATATAACTTCTCATTGGCAGGGTGTCCCAACACTTGTGTTTCGATTTTTCAGAGCTTTCTTTTATCTATTTCTAAATAAATATTGATAAACGAGTTTACGTAAGAAATAGTCATAATAAGTACTTAGTAAATGACGAGGGCCTTAAAAAGTTTATAGTTTTTTTATTTGTTTTGTTTTGGATTTTTATTTTACCTTCATGATCATGGCGCACACCATCCAAGATTGTAACAACATTTAATTTTTCACAAAAGAAGGCCGTTATAAGCTGGAAATGTCTGGAGAAAATCGAATGTGTTGATGGTGAACAGAGCATACCATGCCAGAACTAATTCTGGATTTGCGACAATCGTGATATGCAAAACATTATAGGCAAAGATTGTGGCCGTAAAGCGGCTGCCACTCCAGAAAATTAAGGCATGGGTCTTCTGTTTAATTCCTCAAAAGCGGGGGCGGGGTAGTCTAAATTCCTAAGCTTTTTACATAGCACAAAATAACTTATGAACACACTTCCTGGGTATAAGTTTGACAACTTTGAATAATGATTGGACTCACTAACTGTCACGTGACCTATTAAGGCTATTTTTAGCACGAAAATCTATTTGGCAATATGGCGCCACTTTTAATTACTTTCTGGAAGTTGCAGTTATCGTCATAGTTATGAGACTAGCGGGTACATCATTTCTGTGTCCGGGCCTTTTAAGTTAATCCTTTAGAATCGTTTGATAAGGAGACTGGGTACAAAATTCCGTTTATTTACACTTTCAATAAATTGTTCAACAAAGCTCGGGCACAGATGTCTAGTTGTTCATCTAGGGACATGTTTGGTTGTAATTTCTTTGATTGGCTCATTTCAGTTTTTTCGCCCAAAATGGTCGTTAAAGGTCACGTGACCTAATTTACATATTATTACACATTATTACTCAAGTTTTGTCGCTATAGGCCTTAATCTTCAAAATATAGACCACCCGTTAACTTTTTGAGAGAAATTGAAAAAAACACCCATGCCTTAATTTCCTTGAGGAGCGCTAATTTTTCACAATGTTAATTCAAGGGTGTCACGCACCCATGTTTATTACCAATTGTACTAAGAAATTATCGAGAAATACAATTGCACAAAACATAAAAATCATGAACTTGTTTCTTATAAATGTTACATTGGTTCTTAAAGTCCGATAGAACATTTTCCTGGTTTTTTGACACAGCAAAAAACAAATTTAAAGCGCGCGCATTTTTGGAATAAGCCATATAAGGCTAGTCCTTTATAACGTCAAATAATTTGCAATTGTGAATTTAATTAGAGTAGTAATTGACTGAGTTTTTTGAACGACTAAGTTGTGTTTACTTCGAAGCTGTGATTTTTTGATTTTTCGTGGAGATATTCGTTAAAGCACGAACATGGCTGCTATCCGCGGGGAAGGTACTTAACTTCTTTTAAGTTACTGATTTTCTAGGCTTTATAATTTTTGGTAATACCAGTAAAAGTTCTATCAGCGACCGGGGAGCCATCCATAGGGCCGGATGGGCATACTAAGGGGTCTGCGGGCATATTCCCCCTAGAAAAACCTGAAATTTATGTCTCCTGCATATCAAACTTTTCCTATCATTCAGGTTGCATTTTCGGAAGACAATAGTGCTTTTGTTTCTCACATTCTTTTGTGTTTCGATTAGCGGGGTTCCACCTTTAATCGGGTATGATCGGTAAATTTTCGGTGTGACATTTTTTACTTAGTAGTCGTCTTGTGGGGCAAAAATTTTATTAAGCGGGGCACAAAAACGATAAAACGGCCACGGCATTTTGACCCCAAGTAATATAATAATGTAAAATAAGGCTAGTCACACCTTTATAGCGTCGAAGAATTTGTGAACTTAGAGTAGTAATTTGACTGATTTTTTTGAACGTCTAAGTCGTGTTTACATTTGGAGCTGTGATTTTTTTTATTTTTCGTGGAGATCTTCGTTAAGGCACGTACATGCTGAGAGTAGTCATTTACGTGTCTTAAATTAAAATACCAGGCAACACAGCAGCCGATCGTTACAATACGCCATCTCCCACATCTCCCACAATACATCACGTGACAAGAGGGCGTGGTCGATCACGTAACGAAGTAGTTTGGTTTTCTTTTTCCGTGATTTTTTTTTTCTGGAAAGATGAGTTGGAGTTGCCGAGTGGTCATTAGAACTCGCAATTTAACGGTCCCGGGTTCGAGTTTCGCTCCGGCCATTTGCTGGATTTGTTTTCGTTTGTCCGGCGTTTAAATCCTCTCAGCCTCTCTTTGTAAAGCGCCTACTGGTTAGCTCCCGCCTGTTAAAGTTTTCAATCCTTTTGCTCTATTTAGTTTGTCTGTTTTTTAATTATTAATTATTTGAGTATAGTGCCTTTAAAATAGCTGGATGAGCAAAGAACACTTTCCACTATACTCCAAAGCGGGGTACTTTACTGTTTTGTTTTTGCATTTTAATTCACCTAGAAAGCAAGCCAAGCTGGGAACCACCCAAACCAGGAGGTAATTTATAATTCACTAAATCCTGGTATAGGTGGTTTCCAGCCTGGCTTAGAATCAAGTTAGTTCTTGGGGAAGTTTTTGATCCAAAATTTTGAGTGGGATTGAAAAGCTTGGGAGCCAATTGGTACCAAAGCGGACCAAGGGACAGGCCACCTAGTTTCTTGCAGCGACGTTAATACTAAAAATGCCTGAATTGAAACCCTTCAACCAACGTTAATACGAAGATCTACATCAGCAGTGGTTAGCAGTACCCAGTCTAAATTTCATGTTAGATAAAAACTAAAAACGATTAACGAGCCTAGTTATTACTATACATACCGCAAGGAATAATGGCTTTTATTACAAAGTTATTTATGCGTACGACGTCTCACTAGTTCAAGATAGATAAGCCGGATAATCAGACGCTAGTAAAGACTAAAATTGTTGAAAATAGCATTACATGCATAAGGCCTTTATTTTACTTGTTCACTTTCAACCCCACCCTCCCAGGGTTCTCAGGGAAGGAGGGAGAGATTTTACTTTTGTTTTACTTAGTGAAGGAAAATGCAAAACAAGGCCAGCCCTGAGTTCTTTGAAACCCGGATACCTTAAACCCGCTCTCAGTGTAAAGATTTGTTATTAGAATCTATATTTGCGCAAAAAAAAAGAAAAAAGAAAAGCCTTGCGAAAACAAATGTAACTCAATCGATGACCAAGTTTTCTTTAATTGTGCACTTGCTCCCACTGTTGCAGTTTTTCATTAGTGTCCTCTAACTTTTATTACCCCTTCAAGCCTTACTACTCATGTATGTTTCTATTTAATGCTGTTTTGTTTCTCTACTTGTGGTACAGCTAAATTCGCCTGGAGGAAAAAAGGCAAGCTCGGAGCAACCTATCTGTGTGTCACTAAAAACACTCGGTTGCGCGCGCAAATTTGTCAACATACATTTAAAATTTAACTGTGACATTCGCGCGCATCTTTACTCCTAACTGTGTTCACCAAACTTTTCTGAAATACAGTTAAAATAGCCTGAAGTAATCCTTTCCATTTGTTAAATTGGTTGTAAATCTGGGTGACATTCATAAACGTTTGCTTTAATAATGAAAAGAAGACGAGAGAGCGAGCGCGCATTTTTGGAGTATGCCATACATGTTAATTCGAAGCCTTTATGACGTCGAGTAATTCGTGAGTGTAGTAACTCGACGGAGCCTTTTTGTACGACTGAGTTGTATTTATATTTGGAGTCGTAATTTGCGATTTTTGAGGATATAAGTTTCACCGAAAACGGGAACAATGGCTTCTATAAGTGAAGGTATAAGTAGCTATATAATTATACAATTTTGGTCGATAAACTCTTTCATAATCTTTTCTTGTAAGTCTTGCTAGCAATAATGATATTTTCATTTACTAACATTTGTCTTTCTTTCCACAGCTTTTCATGTTCAACCTGGAGAGGTTAATCCATACTGGGAGCCACCTCCTTTACCAAAAGGTACGCTTTTTTGTTGGCTAAAAAATATATTTCTCTCAGCGAATTCCAAGTTTTTGTGCGAATTTGCTGGTCTAAAACGTTAGCTATCCTTAGGGGGAGGGGAACAATAAACATTTATTACAAGAGAATTATGAATAGAGGAAATAAATAGTAAGAGCCTTAAATATGGTAACATATTTGGTGGTTGTTCTTTCGTCTTTTAAAATTGTTTTCACTCCTTGGATTTGAGGAGAAGTCTATCGCGTCCTCGAGGTTGCGCGCGCAACGTTTTAATGAAATTCTTTTTCATTTGCCTTCTTGTCGTAATACCATTTTTCAAAGGAAAACATTTCCAAAGATAAAGAACAGTTTCGCCAAAAAAGTCTGAAAAAATTGAATTTTCATGGCACTCTTTGTTCCTAAAATGTTGAACTGATTTTATTCTGACAGTATATTTATAATTAAGTGTAAATGTTTCCCCACATCTTTTACATGTAGGTGATCAGAACGGTTGACGGTAAAGACTTAGGCTCCAGTCATTATAACTTATTAACTATGTTAATTTTTTTGCCACAGCTCTTCAGAAAAAGATTGATGAAAAGAATTTCGCTAAGAAGCCGGATCATAAAGAAGGTAGTTTGAAGCAAGTTTTTATTTTCGTCGTTTTTTCCTATGGATTCTCCATCTAGCGATTAATCTTTATTTGTATATCATCAATTAATGTGATTGCGCTTTTCCCCACAAAGCTGTTCAGAGAGTGAGGCTTGGCAAAATCTAAAATTACAAAGTTCTTTTTCAAAGTATTTTCATTTTTTTGTGGGGAGGGGAGGGTTAATTGTTGTTGCTCTCGACTTAAATTTGCCGCCTTAAATAATTCAGAGAATCCTGACGATCGAACAAGTCAACCATGAAATGTATTTCCTACTAATCATGCCGGCTTGTTTCTCGATTTCTTCCGTAGATTCTGAGCTTAACATTTATGCTCAAATAACTCGACAACGGACCGACCTTATTAGACCAAAAGGTACTTACTGTCGACTACCTTGTAATCCTTTGCTGCGCATAGATTTTGTTAAATATATATTTTCTTCGAGTTTTGTTTCAGTAGCACTACCTTATTGGTCTTAAAATTTCAGCATTTGACCATAAAATATACTATAAACTCTAGCTGAAGCTTATATGAGAGTAACGAAACACATTACAAATGAATCGGTAACCGTAACGTTATCAGTCCATGCCAATCACATTATTAACAAGTATGAGTTGTGATCGCCAGACCGTTTTATCTGCAACTTTTCGATTGTTTTTTATCAGTTACAATTTTACCTAAAATATTTCCAATGATCCGTTAGATCTAGTATAGTATTTGTTCACCACTGCATGTTCTCACTCTTGGTTAATTGATATTTGTATAACGGCATATATATTTTTTCTACAGCTATAAGGCTTAAACCTGGCGATAAAAATCCGTTGCTATGGGAAACGAACGGCGTTAAACCGCCAGGTAACGTTTCCTGAGTTTCTTCTGAAGCTGTTTTTTAATTTACTTCTCCCCTTCACTTGTTTTCTTGTAAAAAAATATTTCTCATTGGAAAATATTATTCACCTTAAGGCCTAGGCGTTTTGGTTTTATCTTCAGTTAATCAGATTGAAAATGATGGAAGAGATCCTTACTGGAACCCGCAAGGAGAAATCCCGTTCGGTTACTACGGCGTTCAGGTAATTGATTATTTGTAAAAGGAAAACCCTGTCCGTTAACAATGAAGTCTGTTCCCAGGGTTCTCTCCTCTCCCTTAGAACAGTGGGGCCGAGCTTGGTTGGTAGAAAGTAAGTTGGGATAGCCTTTTAAATGTTGTTCCTTGCTCTGAGCTAAGGAAAGCCATTTCTTGGATCTTGAATCTTTTATTATTCTCTCAGTTAGTAGATAGAGTCAAAGTGGTCTTTTTGTAAGCAAAATCAAGGAAATCCGGCATACTGAAATTTGACTGCAAACTTAGTTCAAAGGCAAAAGACCTTTCACTCCCTGCAAAATTATCAAACTTATTATTTTAAGAAGACATAAACTGAGACTATTACATGGCTGACAGTAGGGTATTATAAAAGTTAAAATATTTTTCTTTCCAGCCCGTTCCTGTTCAGTACCAACAGTTCCCGTATAATCCTGCAGTTCAGCAAGGTTGGGCTGGCGGAATTCAACTGCAGCCAGGTCATGCCCCATTTATGTAAGTTTTTACTTTTTACGCACCTATCCACAAGCCTTTTATGCAAATATGACGTCCACGTTCTGCTGTTGTCAGGTAAACATTCATAGTAAATCTATGAAATTGGCTCAGACAGAATCAAATTGTCCACATAAATAATGCTATCATCAGTTTTCATGTTAGCTCCATATTATTTTGTCCCACAGTCAACCATACTGGACTACGACTGCAGCACAACAACAATATGCAGCTCAACAGCAATTTGCCGCAATGCAAGCTCAGCAATATGCAACACAGCATCAGCAAGTTGCGACACAGCATCAGCAAGTTGCGACACAGCAGCAGCAAGTTGCGACAGAACAGCAGAACGATGCAACACAGCAGCGGAAAGTTACCACAAAACATCAGCAAGGTCCGAAACAACAACAAGATGAGGAAAAGAAACAAGAAGAAAAGACTTGCACCACCAAGACTATTGAAAAACGTCTCGAGTAGGTTTTAGTTTGTAGGTGACAATTCCTGCTGGCGAATTTATTTGTCTTAACGTTAGCGGCGTTTATAACTGCTTGAAGTGTCAATGCAGTTACATGTATACATTTTACCTGAACTTGGCAAAGATAACCGGCACAGCATTTTTATTAAACAAATATCTCAGTTCTTTTAATCATTTGTGCAATACTTGATAAGCATACATTTGATTGTAGGCTCCTTTTCTGGCTATTTAAGAGAGCTTCATTTGACTGATCCGATGAAAGCAATTTCTTCTTTAGCATGCGTGGGGTGAAACCGAACGCGTGCGCAGAAACGGTAGCAATCTCGTCACTAATGCCCTCGGATCTTACGGCTAGCCTGTACACAGACACTCTATTTTCTCTTCAAAATCCGTCGAGCGCGGGTGATAAAATATAAACGGCAGGGGATTTATTGACCGCTAGCGCAAGGGGGTAGTGGTGTTTCTTTCTCGCGCTCCGCGCTCGTTTTCACGCGCTCATTCGCCGATGTTTTAGAGAAGAACGAAAAGAAAAATAAAACAACGTCTGTGTAGAGGCTAATGGCTAGATAGGGGGTCCCCAATACAGTGTTTTCACTCACGTGGCCAGCATCTTTGGAAATTTATGGAAACAAAGGAAAGCCTTTGCATAAGAAAGGAATTCAACTCCCACAGGACTGGTTTGGGACACCAACATGGCCGCCGTTTCATTCTTTTGGGACACCAATATGGCCGCCGTGACGTCATGTGAAAACACTCTAGGTTTTTCGGGATCCGATAGTTCCCTTATTTGAAGCTCGGGATTCGAGGTTTTAAAACACAATCGAACGAGATTCGGGATTTTAAGTATGCACCTCAGTTAGAATGCCCGAATGACCCGCGGAATTACGGGATTAAAGAACCCTAATGGGAACTTTCGTATATAACCAAGGCTAAAGTATTTGCTCTGTTTTTTACACAGAGAAATGAAACAAACTCTGGATAAAGAAAGAGAGGAATTCTCCCTGAAATTGAAACGACAATCAAGAAGAGTCAGTGATCTTGAAATCAAAGACAAACAACAACAAAATGAGGTAGGATAGGAGTCAAGGACAATTGTGATAAATAGAGAACCCACAAAAGTCTTCTGACAGGGTGTCCTGAGAGAAGTAGATGATACCGCTGTTTTTATGTCAATTATGTGATAAACTAAGGGATTTTTAGACATATTCAAATTCTCCTGTGGAGTTAGGAAGAAGATATCAAACAAACAAAAAAAAAGTTCTGTTGGCAGGCCGGTTGTACTGTATCAGTTCTTCTTTTACTGTAACTAATATAGACTTGAAAAAGAAGCCAGAATTGACGGGTAATCAGTTTCTCCTCAATGGGAAAACCTTGAGTAAGCAACAGGCAGAAAGCAGTGCTCGGAAATACTTGTTTGCCGTTTGTTATGACTTTTCATGTACAAGGATAATAATTAGTTCAGTAATAACTAGATATATTTCGTATACAATTTACGCAGATCAAGGAACAGACAAAAGCAAGAGAGATTGCGCAGGACATGTAAGAACATTTTTAATACCGTAGACTATTTCGATTCAGGGGTCAGGGGCGGATCGTGGATCCAGGAATTTTTAATTGGGAAAGGAGGGGGAGTGGTTCAGAAAGGCCTGTTAAACTTTTTTGTGGCAAATTACTTCTCACAGAGACGACCACGTGTTTCTCAACCTGTGAACGCCGGTCGCCATTGGCGCCGCAAGTACTGCTTTGCGAGCAGAAGCGAACAGATCAGATCATAGGAGGGTAGACAAAAAACAATTACATTTTTAAATCGCTGTGGTTATGGCGCGTTCATGAAAAAACGGTGATATACGATTCTGTCGATGAAGAACTGCAGCTCTAAAAAAGCGTCAGGTCTGAGGGGGGTTCTGACCCCCAAGGCCCTCCCCCTGGATCCGCCACTGGTGGTGGAAAATATTTAATGTATGATCATGTCCAAGAATCTCCCTGCTGACATCAGGGATATTTTTATTTTCCTTGTAAATTCAAGGTGGAAGAAAATTGAGGAGGAGAAGAATGCCTTGGATGCCATGAAGCAATCATTGGAGAAGGAAGGCGGCAAGATAAACCGGGTTCTCTTGGTATGACTTTTTTCTTATTCCTTAAAACGTTAACAAATTTGTAGTCTCCCTTGCAGCCGTTTTTACTGTCGTGACGCATGACGCTCCTCCCCCACAAACGACTACCAGCTTTGAGGCATCGATTGATTAAACGAAAGTTTCAAGCTAATTTAAAGTTTATTCATTTCTTAGAAAACAGAACGTGACCTTTCGAAAGCACAGGAGAGGATCCTTAATTTGGAAGCTGATAATGAAGCACAAAGAAGAAAGCTCGAGAAATTCACAGATGAATTATCTCAGGAATTTTCCGCACTTCGCGCCACTTATAACGAGGTAAGTGGAATTTATGGGACACCTCTCCAGAACACACGCCTAAAAGGCACCAAAAGTTTGTAAAGGACAGCTCTTGTATTTATTGGCTTACACTGTATACATGTACTTCTGATTTTGTGTCTTTTGTTTTCTTTCTGCGATGCAAAGTTACAAGAAAGGCTGCGAGTTGAAGAACTGTAAGTGCTTTATCTCTTTTACTTTTAGAAATTGTATTAACTGAATAAATCTGAACAAATTGAACAAATTTTCAGAATTACCTTCATTTTCTGTTGTGAAGCTGCAATGAAGGCTTTTATGAAACGACATAGAAAGAGGCCATTAAAAGCATTTAAATAAAAAAGGGAAAAAATAACAAAATTGATTCCAGGAAAAACTAAAAATCTGTTGTATTCTATAGGGATAAAAATAAGTGACAAGGACCTGGCGAACGTCTTTGATCTTGAGTAAATTATAACTCACATCCCATGTGGTTTATTGGTTTTTACAGTAGATAGATACCTACTCCCAGTCGGTACCTAAGCTTTAGCAACGGCACCACAATAACTGATTATTTCTTTAAATTGTTTTATTTTAGCACCGCTTCACAGACCATACATGGACTGAAAGATGAGGTACCTTGTCTGTAGCTTGAACGCACTGAATATAGGTTCTTTTTTACAAAAAATTGAAAACAGTTTTGAAAGCGTACATTAGCATACATTAGCATTAGACAAAGCAGAAGAATTTTGGAATCGCGGCGGGATTAACTCAGGCGGTAGAGCGTTTGCCGATCTGAGCTGCAGAGCGGGTTGTTCCCGGTCCCGGACCAGTACTCAGGGTCGTAAATTAACTTAGAAATGAAGGCTGGAACTTTGCGTGGTTCGGACGATCACGGCGACGGCGGCGGTCCCGTCTCCAGGAGAAGACGTAAAAATAGTTTCCCCAATGAGTACTTTTGTGCTAAATACATTGACAGTCATGTAACGCGCATTTTTATTGTTATTCTTTTCGTCTTTGCAGTTTAGTATGAAATGCTAACGAAAGATTTTCAAACTTGCAGGTCGCTTATTTCAAATCATCTTATCAGAAAACCACCGAGGAGTAAGTAAAACATTCTTAGGTAGAATAAATCCTCGAGGTTTCTTTTTCGGCATAACACGGGCCATCGGCGCAAGAAATGTGCCTGCATGCGGAAAGTATTTCGATCTTGAAGTTGAGTTCAAATTTCTCGACAATGCAAGTTTGTAATAACAAAGATCCGTTTGTATAGTTTTGACGGTTGTTTTCGATACTATACTGAATCTTCGCAGAATCAAAGACTAATGATATGTTGCTTCGCCCGTTAAGCTTTGATTTATGTGGAGTCAGGAGGTTTTGGCATTGCCTTTTTAATCTCGTTGGCCGCGAAGCTGACCAAAAGCATCGAAGCTTTGAGAACGAAAACGCAACAATAATATAAACAACAATAATATGATAATAGTATATCTAGCAGGCTTTACGAGGTTAATTCGAGGTTTATGTATGTACATGGCACTCTATTTTACTGTCATTTGACGATTGCATACTTATTGTATTTATGGTAACATTTTGTGACGATTCTTTTGTAACGGTTTTCATCCAGAATAAAGAAGACCCACGGTTGTACACGGTCGAAAAAAAGTTGTTCTGAAGAATTCTTATCATTTTTATAACATACGTGATGCACGTTCTGTCTTTCTAAATAGTATGTTATAATAAATAACAATATGTTGTTTGTATTTTATTTCAGTTTAGGCATTGCTAATCAAGAGCAACGTTCCTTGGCCCAGCGGTGTGAGTTGTGGAAGAAAAGCTCTCACGAAAAGGATTTGGTTTGTGAACGTGCAGAGAAAGACAAAGCTGTTCTGTCTGAGAAGATTCAGGTGAGAAGAATAATAACTACTTGATTTTTTAAGTGGAAAAGTATAGCTTTCATTTATGACCTTAAATACATCTCTCGAAAGACTGGAAGCTAGTCAGATTGGTTTGCTCAACTCAGTCGGAAGGCCTTTCTTCTAAGGCCTCTAAAAATTTTTAAGAGTTGACTACAGATAGATATACCATTTGAAATCTACGTTAACGAAGTTCTGGCAATCTTTAATGCGACAGCTTTTCTTTGAATTGTCAGAGATGAAGGATAAAAAGTACCCGAACAAAGTATGAATAGACTTAATCAGTTACCGTGACAATATTTGGTTAGAAGGACAAAGGTCAAAAGAGAATGCTATTCTATTATTGTAAATGGATATTTGACCAATCAGAGCGCGCTTTACCTTATATTGAAATTAATTGATACTTATTATTAATTTTTCATACTTAAATAGTGAATTCGAAAAAAACAAAAAAAACAAAAAACAAAAAAACAACAACAGTGTTGTACGTTTTCCTTTTCTTTTTTTGATGGCATTGTGAATGTTTGTATGTTATTTGTGTTCTTTTTGTGGTTGTAATATAAAAATATAGTGTACATAGCCGTCGAAATTTGTTTGGATACTTTGTGTTTTGTAGTGTTTTTAAATTTATTTGTTACGTTTTTATTTGCATTCACTATTTAAGTATGAAAAATTAATAATTTAAAATGTGAAAATAATTGAAACTTACTTCTTCTTCGCATAGAGGGTACCAGCGATGCACAAACGGAGGATGACCTCTCCATGAAATAGAGAACATTTTTTAAAAAAGTTTATTTTTGACACGAACCTCGATTGTGATCCTAACTTAATCCCTTCTCTTTTGTTTTATACTTTAGTCTGAGAAGGCAGCAAAGATTGAACTGCAAGAGTAAGTAACTCCCTTGTCATCCTTGGCCGCGATCAAATACGGTCTACAGCAACTTTAGAAATTTTTTAATTTAGACCTATGGTCTGAGCTAAGAGTGCATGTTTTAAAATAAAGTTATTGTCCTTTAGCCCAAGTTACATCCAGGATCAAAATGGGCCACACATGCACTTCTGGCTTTTTCTTAAACTTTTTGTGCAGTTAGGCAAACGTTTCACGATGAAAATTTCAAAAGCGGCAGAACAAGCTACTTGTTATTAAGCCAAAAAATAAAAATGACGATTCTAGTATTTCTAACACTCGATAAAAAGGCTGAACCTTACCAGCGAAGGCCTGTAGGAGTCGTAATTACAAGGCCAGAGGTTTATGATGTTTAGTGAAACCAGCGTTTCGAAGTGAGTTTGTCGGATTGGTAATCAAAGTCGGAAGAGCTAAATCAATCAATATATGGCAGCAAAATTAATGGTAACTAATATTTTGCATATATTGACTGATTTATTCTTTCGCTAGCTGAAAAATGTTGACATGAACGGACGGACAAGGTAGAAGTGTTGATTTTTATAAAGAAATTGGCTTATACTTTCGCGAACATAACAGTCCGAAATTCCGAAATAGTTACATGCCTTCGCTACCCAGATGTTACAGGTCTGTAAGTTTGACCGTTAGGGATCTGGGTGCGAGATGTTTCAAGACGAGTCCAAGTCTAAGGGTAACATGTAGGTAGGCATATTATTTATTTATTTATTCGTTTATTTTTTTTTCTGTTTAACCTCTGTCGTTTTCAGAAATAACAAGACCCTCAGGGTAGAATTAGCTGCATTCAAGAAGCAAAACGTTCTGCTTATGCAAGAAGTTGAACTTCTCAAAGAACAGGTGGGTAAATAAAAAATTGGAATTTGTCTTTAATTGTTTTTTGGAAAGATTTTTTTCCGGAGAATTTTTCCAGTTTAACATTATCTTATGATGTACGGATTGAGTTTAGTAAGTTTTTACAGACATAGTCCGATACATTTAAAAATTATTGATTAAAGCTGTTCTCTCCTTTTCAGAATTACAATCTGCGATATTATGGTGGAGTAATTGGAAAATTCCGAAGGATGAAACGCTTCATCGTAAATACTTTTCGACGATTTTCATCATAACAAGCTATATTTTGGATAGGGTGTAGGGGGGAGGGGGAGCTTACAAGCTATATTTTGGATAGGGTGTGGGGGGGGGGAGGAGGGAGTTACAAGCTACATTTTAGATAGGGTGTGGGGGGAGGGGGAAGGGAAAAAACTATTTTTGTGACTGAAACCTTAGTTAAATCTGCTCAGAAAAATGGAGATGACTGATTTGTTTAAAAACTCGCATTTAGCAGTAACTGGTTTAAAAACTGTGCAACAACTGCTATCGTAAACTTACAACCTATATTTTAGATAGGGTGGGGTGGGTTTTTTTGGGGGGGAAGCAAGAGGGTAACGATATTCTTGTGACTGAAAACGTACCATAGATAAATCTACCGAGACGAATGAAATTGATTGATCTGTGTAAAAAAAACTGCTATTTACTGCTATTAGATCCTGTCTAACGATTTTCATCATAAGTTTACCAGCTATGTTTGGGACAGGGTGGGGGATGGCAAAAGAGAAAAGATATTCTTGTGACGGAAATCTTTCTTTTGATACATCTGCTGGGAAAAGTGACAATAACTGATCTGTCTTATCTTTCTCAATAACTACTGAAGATAAGTTGTCTAAAAGGGACAAGGTCACGGTATTTTAGAGATCTGTAAATGTGCATATTCTTAAATTTCAAATCCATCAAAGAAACTCCCAACTGTTGTACCTTGATCTCACCCTGTCTTGGCCGCGCGAGAGCTGGGTTTGAGATTAAGAAATTCGCCTTTCTGGATAAAATCATCATCAGATACCACTTGAAATAAATAGACCACTCCTTCAACGTTTAAGTCGCTATAAAGATGATAGGTATTATCCGATGCACATTCGCAACAGTTTCTTTCGTTTTGATCACCAACAACTTTTAGCTTTACTGAATTTCTTTGTATTGCACAATATTTTAGTACAATTATCGTAAATAATATGAACTATCGTAAAAACCGTACTTGCTTGAAGGTATAGTAAGGAGTTGGCGAGAATAATGACAGGGCCGTAGCTGTACTTTCAAAATGGAGATTGAGACAAAAGCTTTGTATTGAAGAAGTATTAAAGGGTATTCTTTTTCTTTCAATATTACTCGATCCACATCCGCCTTGGTTTTCTTACTTCGTGATCATTCCTATTTATATCTACTTTATTTCTATGCTGCATGTTCTACAATTTCATGATTTTATTTTAGTAGTATATCCCATCCTAGCTTGGTACGTCAAATAATTAGAACTCAAACAGATGGTTTTGGAAAAAGAACAACTAACAAATTAAACTGAAGAAAACAATTACAATGTACCAAAAAATGGCCATTAAACAACACAAAACAACAACAGCAAAAAAAAAACAAAAAACAAACAAAATAAAACAAAAAAAAACAAAACAAATATTAAAAAAAGACGACAACAAAAAAGAAACAAACAGAAAAAACACACACAGAAAAAAAACCAAAATATAAATAAAAAAAATAGAAAAAAAAAGGTTTAACTAGCTGTGGTTTTGACTTGTTGTATTGGCCAATATCAGTTAGCGTGATATTCTCAAGTTGTAAAAACTCGCTTGGAAGATAAAGATGGACAAACACCCCATTCATCACTGAGTGTGTGCAGTGTCTACACGCTTCCTAATGAATAATTTAGTTCTATCAGACAATACAAAACGTTTGTCTCAATCACCGTTGTGAGTCCAGCTACGACCCCTGACAGTAACTCCTTTAGGAAGTACATTACGATTTTGTTTTCTTCCGTTTCATCCATTTTTAGCTTTAATTACTGCATGTATTTCGCTGAAATAGTCAAAACTCTAGATTGACCTGTTCCTCAAATACTAAAGGCGCACGTAAATTTTCAACAAAAACAACTACAACGAGCAATAAAAAATCAATAAAAAAGAGCTATATGGTAAAAAAAAAAAAAAAAAAAAAAAAAAAAAAAAAAAAAAAAAAAAAAAAAAAAAAAAAAGCAAAAAGAAAATAAAGAAAAACAACGACACACATAAAAAATATAATAAAATGTGAACTGAAAACCAAAAAAAAAACTAAAAGCAAAACAAAAAACAAAAGAAAAAATTTAAAAAAAGAAAAAAATCGTTGTAGAACAAATTCAAATACAGCAAACTTGTTTTTACTGTTTGTTTAGACTAAGGCCTTATCTCCACACATATTCGGTTATTTTTCAAAGCGGAGATTTTTCCTCTCAGTTTTCCAAAAACAGTACGCGTCCACACTTAGAAATGTGATCGAAAAACTTACAGGGCATGCCCTGTACGATGACTGTATGAGATCATCGACAAAAACGATAAGCCCGCGTTTTCAAAAATCTCCACTTTAGAGAGTGGTTTTGAGTGCGTTTTTTCGGTGACCGTGTACAGCAGATACGTGCATGTAGACAGCAGGCCAAACGGGAGAAAAGAAATCTCTGTTTTCGAAGAAAATCGGATATGTGAGACGAGGCTAATACTAGTTCGGACGATATTATCACGTTGTAAAACTTTGCCCATAGTATCGCAAGGAGTTGTGTTAGATTAAAAAGATGTTATGGAGTTTGAATTGGTGTTGTGTTTTCTAGCTTTAAACAAACGTTGCTTGGAGCGGGTGAGATGGTAAGAGCTTCATTTCCCTTTTGAAGTTTAAAGCAAAGTGTCTCAACTTGTCTCAACTGCTTTTGTCCCTGCGGATTGAAACTAAAAAAAATGTCATCATTATCTGCGGCTGTTATGCCATTCTCGACCCCAGTGCTGACGGGTTTGGGAATGCGCAGAAGAGCCCTGGGTCGAAATGGTTGTTATGCTTGGTTTGCAGTCACATGACAAGGGGGCCATGTTGGTGGTCAATACAATAAACAATGTTTTGAAGAATTTATATGAATATTGTTTTTAGTTCCTAGTGGAGACAAACAATTTTGTTTGTGATCACCAACATGGCCGCTGTGACGTTACGTGCAAACCAGCAATGCAATAGGTCACTTCAGAGTTCCAAGAACCCTCACTTTCAAAATGAGGCCAAGTGCACAACCTTTCTTGTGAAAGTGAGTCTTATTTGCATGAGAATGATAAATCATTTTCAAATCAAAGGTTAAGCACCTACCCTCGTTTTGATACAGAGGCCAGGGGGAACTCGGAAATGGCCTATTACTTTTGAATATGAGCAGTACAATATTATAGAGCGTTTTCACTTACGTGGCCAGCATGAATGCAAATTTATTGGAAGAAATTAACAATTAGTTCATGCGTCAGCGTGCGTATGTCGAGATATTGAGCACGCAGGAAGTTTGCAGAGCACGAAAGAGGCATAAGAGTTGCTCGGGGCGCAGCTGAGAGCAACTCTAGCCTTTTAGTGCTCTTCAAACTTCCCAAGTGCTCAATATCTCGACATACCCACTGCTGAGGCATGATCTAATTGTTTTATATCATTATCAAAGCGATCAACACAGCAGTTTACTTAAAATTTTATTACTGTAGGGCGCGCTCAAGGCAGTACGCTTCAATGTTTATGTTACGTAACTATATTTTTTTCTGAAACGGAGGGAAAGTGTAATCTAAAAAGATTGTCAAATCCACATTGAGGTGCCTAAAAACTATTAATTCAACGAAAAATTATTTTTGAGACAAATAACTTTACAAAGAATGATTTCACGCCATAGCCCGCACAGCTCGCGGAGATGACAACAACAACGTAACAACAACAACACTCACCTCTTTTTCCAACTATCGGGTTAGCAAATTCAAAAGTTTTCTCTTAAATGTCCTTATAAAACACATGGTAAACGCTTCATCGTGTACTGCTGAGTTATGGATGCTCTCAGGAGACGTCTTGGCAGGATTGCTAAGCTCACAGTAGCTTGAGGAATGGTTTATTGACGTCATCAACGTGCTCAATGGGAATATATAGCAGGCTCGCGCTATTGAATTTGATTAGGCAAATTTTGTAGCTATGTTTTAAAGAAAGCTTTTACATAAGAAAAGAGTTCGACTCCCTCAGGATTTTCTTGGTACACCAATATGGCTGCCGTTTCATTGTTTTGGAACACCAATATGGCGGATATTGTTGGCCCAACAACGTTGGGAGTTGTTGCGTCCGTTTGCACACAGCTAAAAATTTGACCATTTTCAAACCTAATCCGAAGACCGGTCATTTTTTAAATGAGAAAACACGAAACCATTTCATCTCAAGTACAGGCGACCCAAGCTCGGTGCATAAATTACCGCGAGTTTCTATATAGGTGGTTTTCACGTTACGTCATCGCCGCCATGCTGTGGACAGTAAACAAAAGATTGCTCATAAGCTCGTTTTGTTTGTCCACCAGCATTTGTTCATTTCACCATTGTTATTTGTGTCTCCCGAGATTGCATGAAAACCACCTATTGCTTTGCATATTACGAACGTTTAAAAGACTTTAAAGAAAGATAGGCATAAATGAAGAAATAAATTATATTTACGTACTTACTTGGGCCTGCTGTCGCTTTAATTTTTTTGTGTGTAACCTGGGATCAATTCAGGGCCAAGCGGCTTGTTGTTTGTTCGGTGCTGTTTTCCTTCATAAGGAAGGAAGACAGGTGACTGTGCAGTCTTAACTTACAAATCTCTCCCGCGTCAAAGAACCGTGCACCGATCGGCGATTCACTGTCTTTTATCTTTTCTCATCGTCATGGGTATTGCGATGTGTTTTTAGTAGGAAAATGTTTTGAAAGTTTCTGGTTCTGAGCAATCTGAGCAATCGACTGACGTGCGCTCAGAAAACTCGATAACTACGTGTTGCGCGGTAAACGCGAACATTTTACGCCCTGCCTACGCGCATCCTTATTTGTTTGAGAACGCAAGTTTTTTCTCCGTTTTCAAAAAAATTCGCGTCCACTCGTAGAGTTTTCGCATAGTTTACGCCTGTTCACATGTATACCATGAATCGATTTGAAAACGATAACTTACCCGACTGCGCATGCTTGACGCTTACGTGTTCGCCATCATGAGCCCGCGAAATAATAAGTGGCGCCATCTTTAAATTTCTTTGGTGTGGGTTTATATTGTTGTGATGTTCTTGAAAGTCGCAGAAACAGTTTAAAATGTCAAAATCAGGACACTAAAACAAAGTCAAACTAAAGGGGGATCCAACCTTCCGCATCTTTACACCGGTAGCGAAAGTAACCTGATAATGTTCTGCCGCCCCCTGGAATAATCAGCTTGAAGAATTAAATTTGAAAACAAGCAATTCGGTTAGAAATAAGCCCAAGTGAAAGCCCAAGTATGAAAGACAAGGAAGGGATGCGCCCGTCCGCCATCTTGAATAAGTTTCTAATATTGTGCGGAGTGGATTGGAACTGATAGTGTGTCCTCAGCGTTTTCGAAAAAGTTCCGGTTTTCGTCTGTCCATACGTACACAGAACAGAACTCACCGATATCTGACAAGAAAAATTGGGTCCCCAAATCGAAGTTTGGATGCGTTAAAACTGCTCTAAATGTAAAGATACAATATCAGAGTCTGCATTTGCGCAGAAAAAAAATAAAAAATCCTTGCGAAAACAAACGTAACTCAATCGGCAATCAAAAGTTCACTGTAATTGTGTACTTCCTCCCACTGTTGCAGTTTTTAAGTTGTGTCCTCTAACTTATATTACCCCTTCAAGCCTTACTACTCATGTATGTTTCTATTCAATGCTGTTTTGTTTTTCTATAGCCGCGGTACAGCGAAATTCGCCTGGAGAAAAAAAGAGAAGCTCGGAGCCACCTATATGTGTGTCACTGAAAACACTCGATTGCGCGCGCAAATTTGTCAACATTTGAAACTTAACTGTGTCATACGCGCGCATCTGTATTCCTAACTGTATTCACCAAACTCTGTGAAATGCAGTTAGACTAGCCTGAAGTAATCCTTTCCATTTCTTAAATTGGTTGTAAGCTCGGTGAAATTCATAAACCTTTGCCTTACAATGAAAGAGAGGCGAAAGCGCGCGCGCGCATTTTGGAATATGCCATATATGTCAATTCAAAGCCTTTATGACGTCGAGTACTTCGTGAGTGTAGTAACTTGATTGAGCTTTTTTGTACGACTGAGTTGTGTTTATATTCGGAGTTGTAATTTGCGATTTTTCGGGATACAAGTTACACACAAAACGGATACAATGGCTTCTATCAGGGAAGGTATAAGTAGTTACATTATTTTATCGGTTGTCCTCGAATTATACAATTCTGGTGGAAAAACTATTGACTATTTTCCCATTCATTTGATTTTGTAAGTAAATATTTCCCATTGCAATAATTAATCCACTTAAATGCGTTTTGGTTTCTCAGCTGATCAGATAGAACCTGGTGAAGTATTTCCTTACTGGGACCCTCTTGAACCAGGAGAAATCCGGCGTTACTATGGAGTTCAGGTAATTGATTATTTGTAAAGCGAAACCCGGTTCGTTAAAAACGTTGTCCCCAGGGTTCTCTCCTCCCGGTCCCAATCTCGCTCCGCAGGTAGGGGGTAGCAAAGGACGTTGGGAACGGGCTTGGTTCGTAAAAAGTACGTTGGGATAGCGTTTTATATTTTCGTTGCTCTGAGCTGAGGAAAGCCATTTATTAGATCATGGATCCCCTATTATATTCTCAGTTAGCAGATCAAGCCAAGGAGGTCTTTTATCAAAGAAACCACAAATTTGAGCAAGTAGGAAACTTAACAAGTCGAAAGACATTCTACGCTAAAATTTCGATCATATTTTCTACTAGAAGATATATTAAAAGATTATTGCATTGCTGACAGTGGGAATGTCAAAGTTTTCCGTCTGAAGTATTGACTTTTTTTTCTAGCCCGTTTCCGTTCAGTACCAACAGTTTCAGTATCCTGTTGTTCAACAAGCTTGGGCTGGAGGAATTCAACTGCAGCCTAGTCAGGGCACATTTATGTAAGTTTTTATCTTTTATTCATCTAACCATAAGCCTTTTACGCAAAATGTCCTCCATGGTCTGCTGTCGACAGGTAACACTCCTAGTAAATTTACGGGATTGGTTCAAGCAGAAAAAAATTGTTCACATAAGTCCCTGATTGCTGTTAGTTTTCACTTAAGCTAAAACATTATTTTGTCACACAGGCAACCATGCTGGACTACGACTGCATCACAACAACAACATGCAGCTCAACAGCACTTTGCCACAATTCATGCGCAGCAGTATGCAACACAACATCTGCAAGTTGCGACACAGCAGCAGTGTGCGACACAACATCAGCAAGTTGCCACGCAAAGGCAGCAAGTTGCGACAAAACAGCAGAAAGTTGCGACACGACAGCAGAAAGTTACAAAACAACAGCAGAAAACTGGGAGACAGCAGCTAGAAGCGGAAAACCAAGAACAAGATGAAAACACCGGGACGACCAAGACTATTCAACAACGTCTTAAGTAGGTTTTACTCAGTTTCGCAACCGATTTATAAAGTGTGCAATGACCTTGTTACAAAATACATTATCTTAATTATATCAGTTTGTAGTTAACACATTCCCGAAATTAATTTGTCTCAGTAACGTCTAACTGCTTGAAGTTCTAATGAAATTTACATCTGAGAGTGGCAAGACTCCTTTTTTTTATCAAAAAGGGATTTAATGTTTCAATCCTTTGTGCAAAACCTGTTAAGAATACATTTGATTCTGGGCTCCATTTCCATGCAATTCCACCCTTTAGCATACGATGAAGTCGAACTCGGGCGCACAAAGGATAATTAATTAAACCTAATGTACGTGATCTGCTATTGCTTTACACAGGGATATACAAGAAACTCTGCGCAAAGAAAGAGAGGAATTCTCTCTGAAATTGAAACGGCAATCAAGAAGAGTGCGTGATCTTGAAATCAAAGACAATCATCAACAAAATGAGGTAAGATTTGCGCCGAGATCAGTTACGAAGCATGGAGAATCCAGCAAAGTCTTTTGACAGGGCGCTCACTGCCTTCCATTCCAAGAGAAGTAAATAATATTGCTGTATTTAGTCAATTCTGTGATACAGGCATTACTAAGTGCCTTTAGCCATACAAATATACGACTGTGGAAGAAGATTATCAAACCAAAAAAACGCTCTTCTTGCAGGTTGAACTGTTTTTTTAATAGCGAACATGGACTTCAAAAAAAACCTAATTTTAATTTTGGGGAACCATTTTGTCCTCAGTGGAAAAAAACTAGAGTAGCAACGAGAAAAACAGTGCGCGGACATACTTATTTACTATATAGTTTTAATAGTGAGTGAATGACCAGATTTATTTCTTATACATTTCACGCAGATCAAGGAACAGACAAAAGCAAGAGAGATTGCCGAGGACATGTAAGACTTTTTATCAATGCCGTACTATTTCGATTTACTTTAATGAAAATTTTATGTGAGATCTTGAATGAAAATCGTCTTTACTGACAGCAGCGATTTTTTTTCTTTCCTCAATTCAAGGTGGAAAAAAACCGAGGAGGAGAAGAGTGCTTTAGATGCCATGAAGCAATCGCTGGAGAAAGAAGGCGGCAAAATCAATCGAGTTCTCTTGGTAAATTTTATATTAAGCTGAGCATGGCTTTCTTAAAGGGGACCTTGGCTCGAAGATGTTGCTGGTTGAGGTCAATTCCGCGCTGAACTCATGACTTAGCGCTTTTACTCCTCCTACACAAAATGCTCCTTTAGAGTTATGAAGAAGATACAAAACGAATTTAATCACGAGGGCACTAAACATAATAATTTCCCGATGGTTTTTGCTGGCATAGCATTATAACTTGAGAACGTTGGCCCAACGTTTTCAAGTTTTACTGATCCATGCTAGTCCTTGCCATCTTTAGAAACAGACGACAGGAAACAGTTTCAATGCCTAAATATAGTCTTACATAACAAAAGGAACTCGACTGATGCGAAGACAAGTTTTAGCTTTTAAAAAGATAGCAAATGGCTTGACACTAGCCCCATATGAGGCATCCATTGTTATAAGAAAGTCCAACCTAATCTAAATTTCATCAATTTCTTAGAAAAAAGAACGCGAACTTTCGAAAGCGCAGGAAAGGATCCTTAAATTGGAAGCTGATTATGAAGCTGTAAGGAGCAAGCTCGTGAACACAGATGAATTATCTCAGGAAATTGCCTCGATTCGGGCCCTCTATAAAGAGGTGAGTAGACTGATCCGAACGCTACCTCTATGCTATGGTTTCCACAGGACGTGGTAAGTAAGTAAGTAAGTAAGTAAGTAAGTGAGTGAGTGAGTGAGTGAGTGAGTGAGTGAGTGAGTAAGTAAGTAAGTAAGTGAGTAAAGGCTATATTTTAAGAGGGCAGTACTTAAAAGCCATAGGCTAATAAACTTATGGCCTTCATAAAAACAATTTAAGAACAAAAAGTACAATAAAGTATCTCAAGAATATCAAATACAATTCTTTTATAAAAAAGTCTATTATTTGTAGCTATTTACCGCTGACAAGTTCCTGACATTGCGAAAGGTTATGAACTAGAGATCAGTAAATAAGCGGTTTTTTTTAGATTTTAGTCGACCAATCAAAAACCAAGATATTCATCGATCCAAGAATTTGTTGGAAACCTGTCAAAAACCTGTTAAACTACCTAAAATAGCACAGACCTTATCTTAATGAGACTCCTCGGCATTTCATTCATGACTGATAAACACAACAGGTTATGACGTCATCAGCGTTAATGTATTCCTCCGCTAGTTAATGAAAATCTTCCATAAAAAGGTTCAACAGGTCCCTATTATTTTACTCATATGCGTGTTTATAGCAACCTGTTTAAATTAATTCTAAAGAACCCGGGGAACGTGTCTAAAACACATTTCTAAAAAGGACCGAGAGTGTTACCGTTGGCTTACCTGCTGATTTTGTTTATTTTTTCTTTTTGCGATGCAAAGTTGGAAGAACAGCTGCGAGTTAAAGAACTGTAAGTACTTTATCTTTTATTTTGCTTTTAGAAGTAGTAATTTTACCAATAATATTCCCCCCACTGGTGAGGACCAGAATGAAGGCTTTTTGGAATACAGGGTATAAAAAGGCCAAACATCGTTTAAAGGTCAAAGATAACTTTAGAATAAAATTAAAGGTAAAAAAAATTAACAAAATTGATACCAAGAAAATAAAGGACGGCACCCCTCTGAGTGAATTTATTATATCTCATCTATCTTATTGGTTTTAACTATTACCTGACTTGTAACCTATTTAGCAATTGGTGAATGAGGCTGAGTAGGATATGAAGAATTAAGCGATCAAGGAGGGTGTTTGCCACCGATGCCAAAGGCCGAGGTGGATAACACCCTCCGAGGTCTGCTTAATTCTTCAAATTCTATGAAAGCCGAATTCATTAATTCCTTCATTATTCATTCAAAATAATTCTTAGTTTAAAAACATAGCTAAAACATGCTTACCTGTATCGATGTTAAGTTCATTTGCGATAGTGTACGTTTCGGTTTGTCCAGCTCCGCAAATATTCTGCAAATAGTCGCCCTCCGAGTTGTCTTCTTGCTGTTTTTGCCATGTTTTAGCTATTATTTCGCCTAGTTCCAGCTGTAGTTCTTACTCTTGAAACGAGTGAAATGTCCGCCATTTTTTTTCAGAACCAAAACAACTCAACTTCGTCCCCAGGTCTTATCTGTAACTGTGTCTTAACCTGTAGCAGTCTTCATTTTTGACCTCATTTCCTCATCAGTAACTGGTTATGGTGAATTATGCGCGTGCTTTTAGCCAGTCAGAATTGGGGGAAATATTTTGAATGAATAATAAATACAACATTTAATCCCTCCTCCCCAAGGTCTCCTTAGCGTCATTAAAAGGAACCGCAATAACTGATGATTTCTTTAAATTGTTTCATTTTAGCACTGCTTCAAAGACCATAAACGGACTGAAAGATAAGGTATCTTGTCTCTAGCTTGAACACTTTGAATATGGCTGAAACAAACAAACAAAAAAAAGAATTGTCTCATAGGATAGGCCTCAATCAAAAGATACAGCTTTTCTTCTGTGAACTGGTTTCTTGTTCTTTTTTCAGACGTGATTTTCTGTAGTACTTGTCATCTTAGTACTCCACAATGAAGAGAACGATTTAATAACTGAGCTTTCGACCTCAACTGAGTCTTGTTCACTTCTGCGCCGGCAGGTGTCATGTCCAGCGCATAAAGTGCAACGATTGATGAATCTACACAAGTCTATTAGCTTGTTATAGTAAGGCAGAAGAATTATAGAAAATCATCTTTAGTATAAACTACTAACGAAAGTTGTTTTTTTTAAATTGCAGGTCGCCTTTTACAAGTCATCTTACCAGAAAACCAACAAAGAGTAAGTAAGACAATCTTACAACATGTAGGTAGAAAAAAATCTTTAAAGCCTCTTTTCTTGTATAATTACGTTAACTTTTAAAGAAACTTCCTGAATGGAAGGGCTTTATAGTTCGAGATAACACAAGGCACAAGAGGCACAAGAAACATCGGTCTGCATGCTGAACGTATTTAGATCTTGGATGACCGAGTTCAAAAATAATAATAATAATAATAATAATAATGGCTTTATTAAGCATTTCTAGTAGGTGACTCTTCATCATCTAACCCTAACCCTAACCTTCGTAGAATTACAGATTATTGATTTCTTGCTCCCGTTAACGTTTGATTTGTGTGAAATCAGGAGCTTTTGGCGTTGCTTTCGTTCCCGTTGGCCGCCGGCCGGAGAAACCGAGAGAATCAAAGAGAAGCGCTATGATGCCGGAGCTTCCATGAGCTCAGATAATCGTGAAAGAAATACCATAAACTGCCGCTAATAACCCCCTTCCCCCAATTTGCTATTCAGTCTTTCTAAATATCATGATGTCTTTTTATTTTCTTTCAGTTTAGGCATTGCTAATCAAGAGAAACGTTCCTTGGCCCAACGTTGTGAGTTATGGAAGAACAAATTTAAGAAAAGCTCTCAGGAAAAAGATCTGGTTTGTGAAGTTGCAGAGAAAGACAAAGCCGTTCTTTCTAGGAAGATCAAGGCACTTAAAACCAAATGCATTAACAGAAAAAAGATCATTCAGGTAAAAGAATGAAAGCTTGATATATTTAATTGAAAAAATATAGCTTCATTTGTGACTGCAAATGCAGTGGCCCTGTTAACGTAGCTATAAAAGACTGCAATTTAGTCGATTAGTTAGCTCTACTCAGTCGCAAGGCTGGCAGTACAGTCTAAGAGCCTTTAAAGACTTTTTAAAAAGAGTTGACCACACATGGATAGCATTTGAAATCTACTTCAAGAAAGTAAACATTTGACATTTGTGGCAATCTTTGAGGCAATCTTTGATGTGATAACTTTTCTTTGAATTATCAGAAAACAACCATGCTTTTTATTGTAAATGGGTAATTGACCAATTGGAGCGCTCGGTTTACCTTGTGAAATTAATTGAAACTATTTGTCCTTTGCATGAGGGAAATAGCGATGTACAAACCTAAGATGACCTCACCATGAACTAGAGGAAATTAAAAGAAGCTTATTAATTTTTTTAGTCTAACCTTGCTCCTGATCTTAGCTCATCCCTTCTCTTTTGTTTCATTCTTTAGACTGAGAAGGCAGCAAAGACTGAATTGCTAGAGTGAGTAACTCGGCTTGCCAACTTTTAGTTGTCACTATAAAATACGGTCTACAGCAATTACAGAAATTTTTATGACAAGAACTGGGATAATTTAGACCTTAAATTAGAGCTAAGAGTGCATGTTTTAAAAGAAAACTCTTCTGCTGTAGTCTAGAGGGCATCCACGCTACAAATCGGCCACTTCCGGCTTTTTCTAAAACGTTTTCTGCAATTATTAGATAATCAACGATTTACGACTAAAATTCCAGAGGTGGGAGATCGATTATGATGATTGTAGTACTCTGCAGACATATACCACACCGGTGACGACGGCCTGTTGGAGTCGTAAATAGAAGGATATAGGATTTCACTGATGATCTATGGTGAAAACAGCCTTTCGATTCCATTTACAACGCCGTTGTAGGAAAAACAAAGGTTGTTGATGTTTTTTTAAAATAAATAGGCTAATTTTCGAGGACATAACTAGCTCTAAAATCTAAAATTCCTACATGTATTTTATTCGTACACAAAATTAAAGGTTGCCCGCAACTCCGATCCCACAGGTATGTAAGTTTGACCGTTAGGGTTCTGGGTGCAAAATGTTTCAAGACTAGTGCAAGTCCAAGTCCAACACGTGGGAAATAATATTATTCAGTCTTTAAATGTTTAACATCTACCCTTTTATAGAAATAATGCGAATCTCAGGAGAGAATTAGCGGCATTTAAGAAGCAAAACGTTCTCCTCATGCAAGAAGTTGATTTCCTCAAAGAACAGGTTGGTAAATAAAAATTTTATACTTGTTTTTAATTTTTTTTTCGAAAGATTTTCTTCGGGAGAATTTCCCAGTTTAACAATAGGGAGCTTAAGCAACGACGACGGCAACAGCAGCGAGAACGGCAAAAAGCTAAGCAATAGAACACGCTGTTTAGATTGGCAAAACAACAACTTTGCACGCGTATCACGCTTCTTTTGTACATTTTTTGTCGTCTTTACACGACTACAACGACTACAACGTTAAAGTGCCTAAATCCGCGTTTTCTCGAGGACAGTAACACAAGACAACAATTTTTTTTTCCTTTTCCTGAACTTTGATACAGTCCTTTAGAATTCAACTCTAAAGACTTTTGTCAACATTTGATGAGATGGAATAAGCGCGATAAAGTTTGAAGCAGCGTCAAGAAATGGTAGATTACGGTTTTTGAATTATTGATTGAAATTGTTCTGTATCTTTCAGAATTACAATCTGCGATACTATGGAGGAGTAGTTGGAAGATTCCGAAGAATGAAACGCTTTATCGTAAATACTTTTCAACGATTTTCATTATAAACTTACGAGCCATATTTTGGATAGGGTGTTGCTAGGGGGAAGGGGGGAGGGGGTGAAGAGGGAAAAATATTCTTGTGACTGAAACCTCAGTTAAATCTGCTGAAAAAAAATGGCGATAACTGATCCGTTTAAAAAACTCCTATTTAACAATAACTGGATTAGATCCTGTGTAACGATTGTCATCATAACTTAGAAGCTCTGTTTGGGATAGGGTGGTGGAGAGCAATAGTGAAAAGATATTCCTTGTGACGGAAAACTTTCTTTAGATAAATCTGCGGGAATGAATGACAATAATTGATCTGTCTTATCTTTAAGATAAGTTGTCAAAAGGGACTAGGTCACGGTATTCTCGAGAACTGCACATGGGCATATTCTTAAACTTCAAATCCATAAAAGAAACTTGCAAATGTTTTATCTTGATCTCCACCCTGTCTTGGCCGCGCGAGAGCTGGGTTTGAGATTAAGAAACTCCATTTCTGGATAAAATCGTCATCAGATACCTCTTGAAATACTTAGACCACTCCTTCAGCGTTTAAGTCCCTATAGAGATGATGGGTATTATGTGATGCACATTCCCAATAACTTTCTTCCGTTTTGATTACCATTTTTTACCTTTACTGCATTACTCTGGTGTTGTACAATAATGTAATACAGTCATCGTTATGGGGAGTGCTGAAATTGTCAAAAATAGCGTAACCTGGTCCCTTTAAATAGTACAAAAACAAAAACCAAACAAAACAACAAAATGAAACAAAAGAATTAAAAAATAAAATAAAATAAGAACAAACTACACAGTAAAAAAATAAAAACCAAAAAAACTCAAGAAAAAAAAAATAAAAAAGGACCAGAAAAATATGAAATAATATATATATTTTTATCATGCGTTTTGTAAAACTAATTTTATAGGGTATTCACAGAACGCGTGATATCATCACTTTGCAAAAACTTGTTTTTACGTATATAGTAAGGAGTTGGAGGGAGTGCCGTCATGGCAGTAGCTGTACTTTCAAAATGGAGATTGAGACAAAAGCTTTGTATAGAAGAAGCCTTTAAAGTGTATTCTTTTTCTTTTAAATTATTACTTGATGCACATCCGTTTTGGTTTTCTTTCGTTTTGATCATCCTTATTTATCTTTACTTTATTTCTCTGGTGTTCTACAAAGTCATGATTTTATTTTAGTATTATCCTTTGAGAAGCTTAGCCTGGTACTTCAAATACTTAGTTCTCGACCATATGGTTTTAGAAAAAGAGCAACTAAGAAATAACACTGAAGAAATCAATTAAAAAGTACCACAAATTGAAAAAAAAAACACAAAAAACAAAAACAAAAAAATGAAAAAAAATTAATAACAATAGAAAAAATATTTGTTTAACTAGCTGAGGTTTTGATTTATTGTATACGCCAATAATACTTCGGGTGACCATGATATTATCAAGTTGTAAAAACTCGCTTGGAAGACAAAAATGGACAAGCACCCCATTCATCACTGATTTTCTGCAGTGTTTACATTCTTCCTATTGAATATTTAGTTCTAATTAGGCAATACAAAACGTTTGCCTCAATCACAGTTCTGAAAGTCCAGCTATGACCCCTGACATTATTTTCATCTAACTCCTTACGAAGTACATTACGCATTTGTTTTCTTCGGTTTTAATCATCCTTTTTAATAGCTTTATTATATTTCGCTGAAACAGTCAAAACTCTAGATTGACCTGTTCCTTAGTACTAAAGGCGCAAGTAGATTTAAAAAAAAAACAACTACAACGAACAATAAAAATTAAATAAAAAAAAGAACTTTATCTAAAAAAAAAACAACAACAACAAACAAACAAAAGAAAATAAAGAAAAATAACGACACATAAAACAAATTAAAACGAAAACTGAAAACCAACAAAAAACAAAACAAAACAAAACGAAAGAAAAACAAAAGAAAAAAATAAAAACAAATCGTTGTACAAAAAGATCAAATATAACAATTTTTTTTTTACTACTTGGATAGACTAAAGCCTCACCCACACATATCAGGATATTTTTCTTCGTTTGCAGAAAAAGTACGCGTCCACACGTAGCGTATTTTCATCGTTTTAACCCGTCCACAGAAAAACACTAAAACGAAAGAAATGCGATAGAAAAAGTTACAGGGCATGTCCTGTATAAGGTCTGTATGAGATCATCCACGAAAAAGATAAGCCTGCGTTTTATTTCGGTGACCGTTTTTACTAGATACGTGCATGTGGACGTACGGTAGACCAAACCGAAGAAAAATAATCTCTGTCTTTAAAAAATAAACAAACAAACAAAACAAATATCGGAAATGTGCGGACGGGGCTAATACTAGTTCGGACGATATTATCACGTTGTAAAAATTTGCCCATACTGTCATAAGGAGTTGTGTCAGATTAAAAAGATGTTATGGAGTTTGGATTGGTGTTGTGTGTTTCTAGTTTTAATAAGACGATTGAACGTTCTCGTCAGTGTTGATCGTAAAAAGACTGAACAACACTTTATATTATAACGATTTTCTCAAATAATTTTCCTACATTAGTTGTACAGCTGCTGTCGACTTAAACAGCTGGCGTCACTATGAAGGTAACCGTTAAAGTACGTTTTAGTACTAAAAAATTGGACATTAGAGTTAAATTCTTACTGTAAATTTTTTAGCACTAAAACTAACCTAAAATGACTATGGGTGGAAGGAGGATTGTAGTGGATGTCATGACAGGCCATTAAAATTTCACTAAAAGGTCAAAAAGGCCTCTCCTGCAAATCAGTGCGTCAACATGTAGAGCATGAATGCTGTCAATCTTTTATAGCTCACTGATTTGCTATTACGAGATGTGCCTGAGGACATCTTAAGGCTTCGTTTCCTATATAATTGTCCAGATCGTGCTGAACGAACAATCTGCGACAAAATTAATAATACACTATCTTCAAATGTTTTCCAATGGCCATGGGGTACTTCGGAGAACAATGCAAACTAAACCCCTCGCTTTACCTTGGTGTTTTCTTCAGATTAACTCGCTCAAATAGCGGCACAACATTGCTTCGAGGGGGTGGGACAGTAAGAGCTTCATTTTCCCTTTTAAGGTCAGCTAAAAACGACAGAAAAGTCCTTTAAAGCAAAGTGTGTCAGCTTATTTGGTCCCCGATTGAACCTTAAAATTTCATCGTTATCTGCTGCTGTTTTGCTTGATTCGCAGCCACATGACAAGGCGACCACGGTGGTGGTCAATACAATAAACAATGTTTTGAAGAATTTAACATGAATATTTAGTTTGAAGCTGTTAAAAACACTCGTAGCACGCAGGCACGAAAACCATGGAATATGGGGTATTGATCTTTTAGGGAACACAATTGACTGTCTTTTCTTAGAGTGGCAACTTCTGTGTGATAAGATTATTAAAGTTATATATATGTTGTTAAATTCAGTAATAAAATAAACATTTTTTTACTCACTATAAAAATAGATCGATCGTCACAAAGGATAATATATAAAAGGAACAGAGAACCTGCGAAGTGTGTTTGTTTGTCAGCCACTAGACCCAATAGACACTCAGAGCTCTTGGTGATTTAAGCAATTTCATTGGCTCGCTATCTCGGGCTTTTTAACGATATTCATCTCCTAGCGAGTAAACAATGTGTGAGCTCGGTGTTTTTCCCATTTTTATAGAGAACGATCTTTTAAAAGTCGACAAAATCCTAGGGTTGACTTTTTTTAAGGCAAGAAAAGACTCCGAAGGATTCAAAACGGCGTTTTTCCTTCTACTGTAGCTGAAGTTTTTGCTCGATGGATTGCTTACAACTCCGGTTTATTCACATAGAAGAGGCCGTTTCGTGAACTCAGCGTTTCCTAACAAGAAAAATTTGGCCCAAAAAGCGATGTCCATTTGTGACAAAGAAAACTGAAAGCAGATATTCGCAGAAATTCTACGTTTCAAGTAAATAGAACAAAGAATGCTACGGGAAAACGACGCCTTACCTCTAGCAACCGAGCCGCTATTTAAGCACTTCATGCGAAGAACGACACGGCAAACAATGCATTTTGGCTATAAACTTGGCGAGTTTTCCTCTCAGGTAAGGAAACAATTCAGTCTTTTAACGGTTCCATTAAAGCCGTTACGCTGTTGTTTGCGAAGCGATTAACTTGTGAATTGCCATATTTGCAAATTCTTCAAAGATCTAACTTTCGCTTAATTTGATTCGTCAATCAAATCGTACTTTTTAATGGTTTCCTCTCTGATTTTGTTGAGATCTCTTCATGTGTATATACTAAAACAATTATTCTTTTCAATCTCGGTGAATACTTAGTAGCGTTAGAAATGTTTTCCTCTCCGCTTCGCGGCTTGGTAAATATTGAGCCACTATTCACGAAAAAAGTACCCTATTTCAACTTTACCATTCTAATTCCTTCTTTCTCCGAAGGCGTTGCAGAGCTACGTTACGTTACGCTCCGTCTTAGATCATGTTACGTTGAGCGAAGAGCAATAACCTTTAAATTAATATTTCTCTTAATGTTCAAAACCTATAACAAACTCTGACGCCTTGTTTCATGCGATATGCAGACGGTTAAAATATGCAGCAGTGCGCCTCTCTTTTTCTCGAACAGTTTTTCCGCGTCTGAATAACATCTTGGCTCTTATTTTTTGTTACACCAAGTCAGTAAACTTGAATTTAAAAGCGTTATGCTTAAACTACCTCATTGTATAGACCTCTTTCATAATGGCAGCCTATTTATATATTGTTTTATATACATGATAATTAGCCTTTCTGACCTTGTTAGCATGTGCAAAATACAAAAGAATCCTTACTTTCAAACGAGGTCAGAAAGGCTTATTATCATACATATAGAGAATTTATCGATAGGCCGCCATTATTAAGAGGTCTATAAGTGCAGTCCCTTTCGAAGATCCCTTTTAGTGATGGCTTGCAGAATACAAGCTTAGATACGAAATTTAAAAGAGCTTTCAACAACACTGAGGTCCATCTGAACGTACTGAGAGCAGCTATCGCCTTATTTATTCTTGAACTAACGTTCTTCTTCGGACGTCCATTTCTGAAGTAGTTCCAGCCAGTTAAAGGCCTTGCAGGCGAGTGTGTACAGCCATGTAATGTAACCCATCAATGCCACGGTCAGGATTTCAAGTAAGCCCTTTCTTGTTAGTGGCATTACCTTGGAAGCAGGGCAACATTGACAAGCAAGTCAACTTTCAAATTATTCTATTAAGAACGAGGAAAAAGGGGTAGGCGACTTACCAATTATAGGGTAAAAACTTTGGTGAAATAAAATTAAGTATGATGAGTCATTACTAAGTTGTGAACAATAGGAGAGCCGTATGTCTTTTCTTTTCAAGCTCAGTCGCCCATTTTCTACCTTATTATCGAACGTCGCCCAGTTACAATCAAGGCTGTGCAGTCGCAGCGTACAAACTAGTGGTTTAAAAAACTGAGGCAGTGTTTCATATTTTTTAAAAAATCTTTGCCAAAACACACCATCACAGCTCCATGGTGTATGGAAAGATTTGGTGACTCATTTCAAATGAGAACTCGAAAAAGCTACAAGAGCTTGAAAGACTAACTTAATGGGATGACTGAACTGAATCACATATAAGTTGATGTAATCTCTATGGCTAGCACAAAGCAATGTAATGCAAGTCAATGCCTTTTACATACCGCAGGTGAAATGGCTAGACGTTGCTTCCTGAAATTAAAGTGAAGATGTTTGAAGTAAAGAATGTCTCAGCGATTTTGTGCATTACTGACATGAACATAAAATTTCTTTCACACTGGGTTGTAACAAAGCCAAAGAAACGTGATCGTGTGGTGTACGTGACTGACTTAGGAATGTACGACAGGAAACAATTCTATTTGATTAAATGAATTGTTCTTGTACATTATATTTTGTATCGTGAAATGGCGCTGTTTTTCAAAGTATTAAGAGACTAGTGATAGCTTTTCAGGTTTCCACAATCAAGGTTAATTACAAGAAGTGTTCAAGTGAAATAGCGTGATTTCTTTTGTCATAGCTCTTGGAGGTTTGTCCATCTTCACTATCATGGTAATTTCTTACCTTGGCATCTTGAAGATGGTTTTCGCGGTCTTTTCGCCAAATATCCTCCAGGTAACTTCCACTGGCAGAAAAATATGAAGAGTGCCTTTGGTTACTACCTATATCATATTTAAGCCATTGATTGCTTCTTACGTTATGTGGCGCCGACTGATTACGCATATATTTTCTGTCAGTGTTAGATTGGAGGGATGTCAAGGACTGACGCATCTCTTTACCAATCCGGATAATGTCCTGTTTGAGGTCACCAAGCGACATGTTCTCAACGTTATCTACGATGCTCAGGGATGTAGCTTTTAATAAAGGATACCCTTCGTTCTCGTTATCAACTCCGTCGTTGTCCTCTAAAAGTTCGAGCTTTGCTTCTTCCAGGTCACTGTCGTGTCTATTTTGTTCGTCCTTCTGAAAGAATCTTATCAAGCTACACACCATATATTCCACCAATTCTAAGGTATCATCCTTGAGCTTTTGTATCTTTTGACTGGCGTAGTCGATAATAAATTGTCCGAGTTCGGCATCAGCAAAGGCCTCTCCCGGGTCAAAGTTCTTGACTTCTTTATAGGAGTCATTCAAGATAGCGAGGAACATGTTCAAAAGAACCATCGCCATGGAAGACAGATAACCAAATAGGAACACCGGAGTGATGTATCTGCTCGTCGACTGCAACTCTTGGAAATACATTTCACCTCCAAATAAAAGGAGCAACATGGCTCGTAGGGAGCTATAGAAGGAGCTGTAAGCTTTGACTTCTGACGAAAACACAACAAAACCAACTTGGGTGTAAGCTAGCATGATTATAACAAAAACTGTCATGAAGGAGAAAACCTTCGTTGCTGCTCGTTGCATTGTCCCTATCACCTGGCAAACGTGACGGTTAAATTTAATGAGTCGAAGAAACTTGATCGTGACAATGAAAATCACGAAGGAGAGGAGATAGGTTTCTAAATCGGACATAAACTCAATGTTGTTGGTGCTTGAAGTCTTGAAGGGGTTTTCCTGAATTTTTTTCACAAACTGGCTTGTTTGTGATTCCTTTAAGAAGAAAAAGACAAGAGCACAAATAGTGCTGGAAATTTGAAAAAGCTCCAACCAGTTCCAAAGCCCCGTGAAGTACGAGCATTTCTCTCGACGAATCTTTCCAGTCTCGGCAAATATAAATACGATAAGAATAATCATCAACAGGAGCTGACAAATCTGGAAAAGTGATCTAGATTTTGGATCTGGTGAAGCGTATAGTGAGAGGGTCTTGATATTTACTAATGCGTGTGATCCACCGATAGGTGATCGCTCAAACAGAAGTTTTATCGCAGAAAAAAGTGAGCTTGACGGCTCAAAAACTGTGAACTCGACGAAAACGGCCGCTGTTTGATTGTCGATCCATCTATTCTCTTCCAATACTTTGATAACATTTATCGCTGAAAGGGAATTGTATCCAAGCTCGGCAACGTATCCTCCACCATCAAACATAGCCATGACACCCTTGAATGGTCTAAGTTGAAGACTTTCCCTTGTTTGGTATCTCCAAGGCCTTGGACACTCACGTTCAAGCTCAAAGCTGGAGAAGAAGATGGTGGAGTTTTGAATTGTTTCCCACCCCGGTTTGTTATATGGTGATGTACTCTCCTCCTCACTTGTATAAAACGGAAGGCATCTGGAGAACTTCCTTGCTAAATCTGGTTCATTCTTTGCAATCGTGCAACTTTCTTCTGTGGATAGAAATAACGATAAAGGAGTTTAAGCGACGATGTATCTGACGTGTCTTTAGACACATCTACATCTACATCTACATTAATTTTCGTCGGTAAGATCGTTAGACATCACACCAACGTCACCATCACTTTTGAGCAGCCCTCTCAAACAATCTCCTGTAGCCTTAATTTTGCATTGTCTTCCTTACTACTATGTCTTGTCTTTAAGCTGTTCACATTGTGGGTTGCTATTCCCAGACTGTTGTAAAGCTGGTGTGCGACTAATGAATCCGGAACCAACTGTTATTGAATTGCACACATTTTTGGCGCCCTACCGATGAACAGTTACAATATACAGATCTTTCCACCAACGACAATTTGAAAACTGTACCTAAGGAATTGCTGTCAATGTATGTTATGTCAGGCATTAATTTTCCCTGCCATATTTAATTCTTCAGGGCACTGAATATACGAAGAGAGAAATATCAGTGCAGGTTGTAAATATTCCTGCCGCCATAACCCCTTCTGACCTGTTTAAGGTGATTCCTTAGTAAAAGAACCTACCACAGATTGGAGATGAAACTTGGTACACTGATGTAACAAGTCAGGAAGATGATAAAAAAGTAATAAAAAGTGGGGGTCACCGTGCTCGTTTTGACGTCACAATGCTGACAAATACGGCTATTTTGGACCCTTTGACAAAAACCGCCCGCAGCCCAAAACTAGACAAAAAGGAGAGATTTTTTCGATGATGCATGTGGTATCGCACATAATTTGACTTTATTGTATTGTTTATCCACTTACATACCAGAAAAATGCCTTTTAATGCTCCTGTTTTTACTTTACGCTGCAAAGTAGAATTGAATTGGACACGCACTATTCGACCCGTGATAACTCAATCCGTACAATTTAGTAAAATTGCCAGATTTGTGCCAATTTTTTTCTCATCGAAAGGAAGAACTGTCCTTATTAAAATCATGAAATAAAAAATGGAGGTCACCGTACTCGTTTTTGCGGTAGAGCTGCAGAAAGTGTGCACCAAATGCATTTTCTCCGATTTTAGAGAGGACTGGGGCGAGTTTCAAAATAGAATGTATGTGAAAGGGGATGAAAGTATTTAAAAATCCGATTTTACAGAATTCACATCGAGATATCACATTTAGGACACAATGTGATAAAGAAAGCGTTTAAATGAAAATCAAAGTGAGTAAGCACAAGTTTTAAAACATCTACTATCGAGGTTCTCCGTGAGGAAGTCGAACTCAGCAACACGCGTACTGCTTACGTTATGCACATCCCCAACAGACTGAGCCTCACCTCGGCAAGAAACAACCGCAAGCAAAAATTCCAATAGCGTTATCTTCAGTCAACTTCATTTTAATAATGTTACTTCACATGCTCTTTTTTACGGCGGCCATCTTGTTATGCGCAGTAAGCGATGCGCAGTGCAAAACCAGGGAATCACCTTAAAAACCTTACGTTTCTTCCTAATTAGACCGTTCAAGGGCCTCAGTTGGTTGTCCCAAGCTAAAATAAAACCAAGCGCGAAAAGAGAAATAGTGAACGCAGAGGGCGAGAGAAACCGAGTAGCCGGTTACTTTTTCCTTCTATTTTCTGTGCCCACCTTTACCACCACAGTTGGCACAACAGGCTAACCCGAACCCCATCAACTCCAATTATAACAATGACATGCGACACTCAAGTTAGGAGATATCAGAAGAGAGAAAAGCCTTAACTGAACTTTTTTGGTCACTATTTCTACGGTCGAGACAAGTATGAAAATATCAAATTTAATGAAGCAAGAGCTACTTAATGGAGTGACGTCATTCACTTACCCGTTTTGATTCTTAACTGTCGTATTCTTGGCATTCCGACTAAGAACGCTGCCCGATTACTGAGAAACCCTTCCTCGTAATTAAATGCTTGACCATTGTACCAGTCAGCATTGTATAGTCTGGGTATCAGAATTTTCTTTGACCATTTCCAGAACGAAGAAATATTTTTCACCTACAAGGTAAAACAGACCTATTTGAAATATATGGGGAAAAGTGGGAATCTACGGCAATTATTATTTGTCGACCAAAAAAACCAAGTGGTAATGACAGCCAACATACCAGATCATGTTTATTGTATACTGTGACAGATGTGTGTATGTTGGCAAACCTTGTTTCATGAACAAAAAAGAGGAATTAGTTATAGTACAGCTCTATCGCTCGCAGTGGTGAAACAAGGGTCATAAGATTTGGTTATCTATGCGTCCAAGAAATTTGGGCTCTGACAAAATGTCATACTTAATACTAGCTTAAAAGTCTAAGGCATATCCAAATTGTGTTTTACTTAATGTTGGACATCCATGCATCTTATGATCAATTGACAGCTGTCAAAATACTGTATCCGCTGACCAGTATTACGACTGTATTGCGGGCTCATGTTAACAACCCATTGACATTACAGATGGAGTGTTTTCAAAAGTTTCGCGCTGAATAGTTATGGAATGTTAGTGATCGCATGCTCAGAACACTTTATTCTCGACAGGTATTTCTTAAAAGCTTCCACGAGAGCTTTGCCTTTAGCCTTGGCTAAATCTATATATTAGACATATGGGAGGAAACAGAGAAGAAAGGCCCCAGGTAAACCTCGCGGTGGGTAGAACAGTGACGAGGAGTTTCGGAGCCCTTTCGTGCGCTTGAAATTTGCGATACAACTGGTCATTTTTAAGTCCAGAATTTGGTTTTACTTTTTTTTAAAAAAAATAAAAGACCGTGATGCAGCCTTTGTTGAGGGTTAGTCATTGAGTAGCAAAAGTGTTGCCAATTTTTATGTCAATTGTAGTAGTTTATTTATCACAGGACTTTTTGGGCTGTTTTAACTCTTTGGGGATATAAGAATTTGGCCTCATTAACTCTCCCCATCACTGTTATACTGAATGCACCTGCAGGAATCCCATAGCAAGGCAAAAAATCTATCAGAAAAACGTTTGATTAACCAACCAATCAAATTTTGACCAACCCAGTTTTCTTTCTCAGACAGCTAGGGTATGTGCCACAAAGTCATGAAAATATCGGATTTTTCGAGTCAGTAGCAACCTAAGGAAGATATTAAAATCCAGTAGCTGCAGAAAAACACTTAAAGTACATCTTACTTTTGTAAAAGAATGAAACAAATTGTCCATAGATTGGGTGAGTGTAAATCTTGCCACTCCTCGGTTGCTATAGCAAACCACCATCATGAGAAAAATAAATGAGCCAAAAAGTACAAATTCCACCACCTTGCGACCCAGTTGAACAAGACTACTCCTAAATTTGCGAGCTCTCTCCCGCTCTTTTTGATCGAGAATCACAACACCTCCTGTTTGTTTCCCTGACATAGACTCCCCCAGGACTTTTTCCTGCTCCGGTGGTTTTTTGATTAATAAGGATAAGATTGAAGCCACCACAAGGACTTTCATTGGCTGCATCACAATCACGTCTTGGAAGAAGGACACCATAACAGAAACAAGCCATTCATTCGAGGTCTCTGCTCCCCACATCATACTGTAAAACACAATAAATGCTGCCGCGGTCAAAGAAGCCATAGTGCAGATAAACCAAGCAACAAACACAAACCAGTGTGGCAAGCATCCTTTGCTTTTTAGCCCTTCATCTTCCTGCGATTCTCGCGGTTTTAAGTTTCTGAAGATTGAAACAACCAAAACGTTAACCGGAATAGCGACTAGGCTGCTCTGGATTCCAATTTTTATTTGCGTCAGGCTGACCTTAAGCGGTCCTATCTGTACCGCGTCACCAGGTGGGGTTCCGAAATTGTAAAACATGGCATTGGTCACCATTGCTGCAAATAAGATTGAGACACAACATGCTAGTCTCTGAGCTCTTGTAAAAGGATTATGGGGTGGCCTAGTAAAAACTGACAACCAAAGATGGCGATCTCCAAGACTAGTTGCTGTTCTGGAGTAGAATAAGTTCTTAAATCCTGACAACTCCTTTTTGCCTGCTACTGGTAGCTCTAGTTCTAAGTTTCCGTCCTCCTTCTCTACTGCAATCCACCTAGAAGACAAGGAAAGGAAGACGGAGGACGTTAATGTTGATCTGGAGAAATTTTCAACCCTCCCAAACGGACAGTGTGCAGTCAAGGCATGATTTAAAAGAGGAAGTTCTTGGGAAACTTCTACTTAATGTACATTGTAATCCCCAGCCCAATGACTTAACTCGACCCGGCGAACAAACTATTTACCTTTTTATGGCTGCTACCTAGTTTCTTCTTTTTGATACTAAATAGCTCCAATTCATTTCACTTATTTTTATCAAGCTGATTATGCCAGAAGACATCACGTACTTTTCTCAACCAAGATCAGTATAAAAAATCAAAAGGTTCTGGATGAGACAACGTTCTTGGTGATACGCCTTTGTTGAGCAATTGGGGCTCTGGAGATGTATAGAAAGATTTTTTTAAATGAGTCAAGGCTCTCTGTGGGCACACCTGTCTCAAAGACGTACGGATACATTTCGTCAAAAACACCCACACCAATTGTACCATTGGTGCTTACGTTGGAGCAAGAGACATCACATGAATGTTTCTCATTCTATGAGCAGTACACCGAGAACAATAACGATTCCACAAAACGTTAAGACTTGTAAAAGGACGCAAGGTGTAGGTGTAGTCAATGTGAGCAACCTCATCACATGAATGTTCCTCTTTCTCAAAAAAACAAAAATGGATTTCAGAAAAAAAAACCTTTCTAATACATCCATTTCTTTTGGTACCAATTATATCATTGGTACCAATGGGCAGATGAAATCCCCCTGTACCCAGCCTAGCAACATGAGGAGTTATACCAAGTGCCCTTAATGAGGTGCATTATCCTATCACTATGCAGTTTGTTGAATGGCCACATTTCTATCAGCCACACATTGTGCCGTCAGCCCTTCAAAGCTTGAGAATTAAACTAAAAGGCAGTATTCATACGTTTCCAGTATTCCCGATTCTTGACTACTGAATGGCAAAATTGTCTTGTGATCTGTGTAGAAGCAATTTTACTTCAAATACCTGTTAGCAACAAAATGCGCCTTTTCACCTGTGGCGAGATCTGTGACGACAACCTGCATGAGAAACCAAGACGGACTTCTTCCACTATTATCGTGCCAGATGCGAATCTTATTTAAGCAGCCAATTGTCTCTCTTAGGCAGAGCGTGAAATTGTTGATGCTTCCTCGAGAAAAGAAGAACCGTTCAAGCTGAGGGTCGGTAAGAGGCACGTTACCTGTACTTCCATTATTACCACATATCGCTATGCCAACATTCGCGGTCGTTCCATTGCCTCGCCACATTCCCGTTTGAATCGAGAGATGATACCTGACGTCTCCTTCGCTCTCGTTGAGATGAACGTCTGCAATAACCTAACCGACATAGGACAGGATAAGATTAATGTTATGTAATTAGGTAATGGTGGAGGCCTGTGTGGCCGAGCGGAAAACGCCTCGAACCCCTAATCTGGAAGCCCTGGGTTCAAGCCTTGCCCAGCGCGTTGTTTCCTAATAGACAAAGAACTTTGCTCCACTTTGTCATCACTTAGGTGAATAAATGGGTACAAGAACAAAAAACAAACCTGCAACGTGGGTGCAGCCCTGTGTTGCGCTAAATTTGCCAAGGCAAGTCTTCCCTTGTTACATCACATTATCCTGGACGTAACGCTTTGCAGAAAAAAGACATGCAGGATGCCTCTTGCAAAAGGGAGGGGCGGGTGGTTGGGTCAAGGACACCCCAGGAACCCAATAGCTACGCTAAACATATAAAATATTAATATTCTATCTATGTTGAGCATATTAGCATTTAGTTACCCTTAACTCATCCTGTTTGTCTTCCCTTCGTGCAAAGACGAGGGCGATCGCGTACAATCCAAGGATGACACAAACTGTACACAATACTACAATGTTCCCTGATTCCGCTAAGTTTCCAAACGCTGCAAAAACCTTATCGAAATCAATGGGATTTGGAGCCACAAAGAAGTCGCCTCCAAAGGCAGATAGATGGGTGCACAGGCAGTGCAATTGTCTAGACGTCGTCTTTGGTCCAACCTGGGTAATTAAAGCATAATTATAACGCTGTCAGCATCCCAGAGATACCTGAAGGAGTCATTATTGACAGGTATTGACTTTTTAACTGAAGGCCGACGTGATGCATGCAGGTGCTCTTTACCACACGGTTTTCTTATGTTATTTCTTTGTACTTTTATGTTATAAAATGAAACCACTACCCCGACCATACCCAACGTAAGCATCACACGCACTGATTTTGTCAGTTGTTAAGAAATAAAAGAGCAGTTTTACAAACAATGGAACGTTTTTGATTAAATGAATAAAATTATGTCTCAAAACGTATTTTTGTAAGGAAAAAAGGACAGAACATTTATAGTGGCAAGATAGATTAGTCTCTCTTGATGGTGACCCAAAAATACATCACTTGTAGATACACATTCCTCCTAAAATATTGCAAGTACAAGGATTCACTTATACAAACAGTCATTCCTTGAAATGCTAAAGGAAGAACTTCGCAAGCTTTTGCAAACGTTGACTTACCTGACATCCTTCACCCGTCCACGTCTCTTTGGATTCTGACCAGTACAAACAACCGGTAACTGAAATGCTTAAGGTATAGTTTACGTCTGTTGAAAAGTTGTAGATTGGAACAATAATCCTTGGGGTTGGAGCAGGAGTTGTCGGGGCGTCCTTTACATCCACACAAGACCGTTTGCCTCTTCTATGAAATGGGTTGCAAGAACGTCTTACTCGACTCAGGCCCTTTTGGGTGTATCTTATTCCAAGGTAATGAATGCCTGTTTTATTAGATATCTGACTTGAAAACGTAAAAGTGTAGGGATCTGATGAGCAAGTACGGCTGTGCGAAGAATTCTGGGTAGCATTTGAGCAATATGAAAAATTGGGAATCGAAATGCTGAAGACATTGTCTTGAGGAGTTGGCTTCGTTTTGTAGTTCACGAACACATCTACCGTTTTTCCCTTCTCAGGTGTCAATTTTATTGTAACCAGCACATCTGAGGAGGACACAGCAAACCTATGGTAGCGAAAGTTGTTCTTTCCTTCGCTAGGTTTTAAAAACAAGTTCTGCGTGGAAATATTCTCCTTTTCAGTTTCTTTGCTCTTATCGGGAAGAGCTATGAAAATCTCCACTGGTTCTGGCAGCCGTGAAATGTTCATAGCTGTACCTCCACTTGCCTTTAATTTGAAGTCCACCACTGAAGACTTGACTGCTTTAGCACTTTTATCCCACGTAAAAGGATTGGATTTAAATGAGAGCATCTATTTAAAATCAAGCAAGCTTCAAAGCAAATTCCTTGTATGTCGTAAATAATCTACGTTAGTATATACACACTCAGTGATCTTGGTGATTTAAGCAATCTGATTGGCTCGCTATCTCGGACTATTTAACAATAATCACCTCTTAGCGAGTGGATAATGTGTGAGCTCGGTGTTTTTCCCATGTTCGTAGGGAACGATCTTTTAAAAGTCGAAAAAATCCTAGGGCTGACTTTTTTAAAGGCAAGAAAAGACTCGCAAGGATTCAAAACGGCGTCTTTATATTTACTGTAGGTGAGTTTTGTGCTCGATGGATTGTTTACAACTCCCGTTTATTCGCGTAGAAGAAGCCGTTTCGTGAACTCAGCGTTTCCTGACAAGAAAATTTGTTCCAAAATCGAAGTTTATTTGTGACAAAGAAATTTGAAAGCAAATGTTCGCAAAAATTCTACGTTTCAAGTAAATAGGAAAAAAAAAAGCTACAGGGAGACGACGTCTTACCTCAAGCAACCGAGCCGCCATTTTTGTCAGCACTTCATGCGAAGAACGACACAACAAACCGGTTTGGCTATAAACTTGGCGAGTCAACAGAAAACAGCAAAGCTCTACTTTTCTTCTCAGTTAAGGAAACAATTCAAACTTTTAACGGTTCCATTTAAGCCATTACACTACACTGTTGTTTGCGAAGTGAAAAACTTGTGAATTGCCATGTTTGAAAATTCTGCAAAGATCTATTTTCAAACTCTCGCGTGATTTGATCCGTCATAGCCTGAGAAAACAGCCGACATTTGGCGACGCTACCACTGGTTTCCCTGCTAAATGAGTCTGAAAAACGAGCGCGTCACTTCCCAGATCTGGGTAGTGCTTCTGATTGGTCACGCCGCGTGGGCTTCCCAGATCTGGGTAGTGACCCATCATCAGTATGGAATTTCTACGCTCGTTTCTCAGACGTCATTTGGTGGGGAAACCGGTAGTAGCGTCGCCAAATGTCAGCCATAGTGGCTTTAGGAATGTTTACCTCGAATTCAAAGAATAACTGTTAAATGTCAGAATTCTGGGATACTTAACTATTATACGACCAAAGTTTCCTATTTAATTTTGCCATCGGTTTTATTTTTAATCCAGTGACATATAGTTCTTTAGTTTGCAGCTAACAATCTTAGCTTGTATAGACGTGAGGTGTTGAAGGGAAAACGCTTAAGAATTTAAACGGTTTTTATGAGACTGTGGTTTACTGCGCCAAGGTGGATATGAATTGTAGACTCAATATGCAAGGTGGTGTAGGTTCTCCATCGACCCTTGGGCAAATCTTGTATTTTTTAAAGTGGCCATTAGATTTGTTTTTGTGCAAGCTATTTACTGTTGTTTACCTGTGAATCAATATTTTCGGGTGGTTTGCCCCCGGAAAATAGCGAGTCAGTGGAAGGTAAGGCCACCCCGCTTGGTCCTTGCCCAAGCTTCTTGCCTCCCATGTTTGAGCTCTTTTGACGATCCAACAGAACCTTCAGGGACTTGGTCTTGAACTCGGTGGGCTCTCCGCCAACATCTTTTGTAGACAGCAGACTACCAGCCACTCGAGACACCAGATTCAAAGAGGATCGTGCTCTTTGCTTACTCTGTCAAAGAGAGAAAAGTGGCTTAGACCTTCTTGGAAACTAAGAGGGGCAAAATTATAAAATAAAACTTGAAAAAGAATTTGTTTTGCTTGTACTGTCCAAGTCTGTATAACAGGGCTATGATAATCTATTCTATACAACCTTCACAGTTCCAAAATCTAACATCATGTTTGTTAGCTCAATGGATTTTGTACTAAATTCGGACCAACACTTTGTTTTAGATTCGCAATTGTTAGAGTCTATTTAGGTCACTTTTGCATAAGAAGGAGAAACCTTACGAACATTCTCGAAGGAATTCGACTGCTCAGACTTTTGTAGCATGTAAAAGAATCACCAGGACGAAACAATCTCTTTCAGTGACTACTCCATCCCTAGTGTGTAGCTCCTAGCAACACTTAAGTTGGAGCCCAGCCCTGTTGTGTTGGTAAACCTGGTAAGACCAACGCAACCAGTGTTCTATTTAATAAATCCCCCCCCCCCACAAAAAAAAAAATCCATGGTCTATACTCTTATGGAACATGAGAAATGACGTTGGAAAGTATTGGTACAACAGTCGATTATCAATGATTTTGCATATAACTGATATTAGAAAAATTGAAATTCAGTTTCACAGTTTTGTTGCATGGTCGTTAAGTGAAGTCAGTATGTTGATACTTAAGATGAAGGTTCTTTTGTAGCTTTGCCAGCCTTTCAGCAGACTAAATTTGTCATAAAAAAAGCGAATGTAGAATTTTCAAGAGGGTGAATTTTCCTCTTACTTTTTCTTTCATCGCCACTTTCTCAGCTTCATTACCACTCTTTGGCTTTATTTCATCTCTCTCTACATCCTCAGTGTCTGTCTGGGCTTCACTGGACGCAGCGTCTAGCACGTTCCCGATACCACTGAATAGGCTGGTACCTATACTCTCTATTAAGTCCGAGTCCACGGATCCACTTGACAGTTGAGTGGAAATAAAGTTGGCAGCATTTCCTAACAAGTTCAAGGCATTGTCCTGTAATTGAGACATCAACACAAAACCACATACATTTACCTTTTACTGTATTAATTTGTTCTTATACTGAATTAACCTGTATATGGAAAGAAATACAATACTATAGGAAAATTCTTTACCTGACCTGGGAATTCCGCGTTAAATTGCACGTGAAAACCGATATCGCACGAATCACGAAGCTCAACTGAACTCAATCCCTAGGTTATGTTAAAGACAACGCATCTTTCCGGAAAGGTGCTTACTGACGGACTCCCAAGTGGAAGGAAATCAATAAGAAATTTCTTTAACTTTGGCAAGATTTTTGATCACGTTATGTAAAATACAGATGGTTGTCAATGTTCATCACTTTTATTTACCGGCTTTCAATAACCCTCTGAAGAAACATGAGCACTAGATAACAATACATCATAACGGTATTGCGGCCTAATAACCCGCGACTAAGATCCTGCTGGTCTTTGTAGAACCTGTTAGGCTAAAATTTGGCAGTTAGGCCTCCTCTATACAAGAACCTGTTTAGCCAAAAATTTGAAACAGGTTCTTGTTTTCTAAATAATCTCTTAAACAATTCTGTACACTTTGGCAAATAAGAAGATTCAACATTCAGGATTCTCTTTGGAGACACAGGTGCCTTATTACACCAAATGCAATTGTAATGGCATACAGGTTTTAACTAAGGAATGAGCTATATACCACTAAATAATCTTCTCTACAATGTATTTTTTTCTTCAGAAAATGACCTAACTAGCCTAAATTTGTGCTAATTACAATCTATGTAAGAACCAGTGTTTAGAGTAACTTGGGAAAATGCAGGTTCTTAGGCGTGGGTTTTACCTGTATGTATTGAGGTAGTCTTTTTACGTAAAGCCGCAGTAACATCATACCTGAGAATCACTCGAAATCCCATTGTCGGCATCTGTAGCTAGAGCAACAACTCCAACAACCATTGTAGCTTGCTGGAGACTGCCTATTTTTACTGTCGTCATCTTTTCGAGTAAAGCGTTCTTAAACTTAATAGAGGAGAAAGTTATGTACAGTTACAAAAATAAATTTACACAGTTACCAATAATTCGGGGCTGCAACATTACTGAAAGAAATTGAGTTTCTCATAACTTACCAGGTTTAGATATGCATGTCACGTTTCTTCTTTGTATTTTTCAATGGCCTGTGAGTTTCGACGATACTTCATGATCCTTTTTTTTTTAGCTCGCTTTGGTGGCCAGTATATTTGATTTGACATAGTAGGTTTTTAACTCCCTTTATACGAATACATCTATCTGTTGATCGCTTTAAGATTGCGTCTCATTAAATGGAACTGTGCATACAAAAGTGCATACAGGTAAGCATGGAATATCATCCCTGCGTTCAAGTAACGAAACCTATCACTGAAATAATCAGTATTGCCTTATTAACGTTCCGAGGATCGTGTTAAATTACAACTTACCGAGTCGCCAGCAGCAGACAGAAGAGAAAACGCTATTTGCATGGCCTTGTTGACATCGCCTGATTCTAGGAGATTATCCAACTTTCTCTGAGAATCTTCTACACTAGAAGCCTTTGGTGGCCAAACCTGTGAAAAGTTGAAGGTTAGCTTGCATGAAACCGTAGTTAGCAGCAATGCTGACTTGCTTAAGTGTGTGCGGCAAGGCGGAATTCAATTCTTGAATGGGCTTGAAAAAATGAACAGTTGAAAGTGCTGTCGAAGCTAAACACGGGGGGATTCTAGGGGTCCCCTCAATCCCCATAGCTACCCACCGGTATGTACAAGTCTGAATGAGCTAAGGGGAGTCACAATATACTGATACATTCTTAGAAGGGCCATTATAACGGGGATCAAGTGTGACGCTTGTCCTACGGGTATTTACCGTTATTTTGCGTAATAAATACCTGCGCAGTGATAAGTTCTAACGAAGAATCACCCAAGGAATCTATGACTTGTAACCTCAGATGAAGTGAATAGTTTGAAGCCTTGCTGCCCTCTGGTAACTCGGTTGTCACATTTGGCTGCCATCCTGTGTAAAATACTACGATGCCAAAATTCGTTTGATATGAAAACTGGTAACTTAGTGGAGTGTCAAGATCCGACCAGTTCGCACAACTGATTTTAAACTCAGTTTCGATGGCATTACCTATCCTTGGCTCCATGAAACATCCAAAATTACTATCTCGCTTCGAGGGCGGTGAATTGGTGCGAAAAATGTGCTCGTCTGTTCTAAAGTTATTGCCGTCTATCCACGCAATAATATGTATTTTGTAAGTCTTGTTTCCCATTAACAAGGACCTGTTTAGAGATGAATCGCCTCCATTGAAGATTACATTTGGACCGTTCAATGCTGTCAACGCTATTGTGTAGAGATTATTGATCTCGCGCCAAGACTGAGAGCCATTTTCAAGACGAACATATAGAGACCAGCTGTAGTTTTTTATAGCAGAACAAGAAATCCCTTCACATTGGGTGTCGAAGATAAATTTTCTCCTGATGCTGACCTTTTGCCCACAGTTTGCGACACATCTGATAAATAGAAAGGAAAAGTTATAATAATATGTACTGTACTTATAAAAATTTTGGCACCTATAACTTATGATTAAAAACGTCTTCGTCCTCTATCTATCTGCCATTAATTTGCCTCCATCAAATTGATGATCAAATTGTTTCCACTGCTTCATTTTAACCTAACGTGCAACAAAAGTCCATTCTCCAATATGGTCAGAAGAGTGGTGAGTTGGTTTTTACTACGCCTCAGGTTTTGTTGCCATATTCTATTTTTGAGTGGTTCCATTTATTCTCTCAGACATGTTAAGGCATGGGTCACCTTACAATTTGCATAATTTGGCGAAGTGGCATTTGAAACGGATTGTTTTGATCTGTCGTCATGAAACTTGGCAAACAGTTTCAGCTCGGTAGCCTTAACAACATGTGACATATTCATTGTTGAAATATTAGTCACGTGACCTGCAAATGATCGTTAACGGTCAAAGTGTTCAAATTAAAACGGGGGAAAGGAAATGAAAGAGAAGCAAATACTCTTAGGCACCAGTGTTTTTCCCATAGCCTGGACATTAGGAAATAGCCCTGCATGTGTTGCTAAGTGCAGCAATGATTACGAAATAAAGAAAAACAGGTCACGCGACTTATAAAAGACTTTAGTAACTCTTAATAAAAATGCTTTAATCCACCCTGCAAGACTAATTGACAATCCAGACAGTTTGGCTGACAATTTGATGACAAATATTTTTAGCTTGCAGTTTAACAGCCTTGCCCCGTTTGAGGAAACAGGTTTTGTGACTTCATGGTCCAAGGAATGTCACGTGATGCTTGGAATGAATGTTTTAAAACTATGCTAGTGAGATATATCTTATCATATCTTTGTGGAACCGTTTCTTTGGATCCTTCTGCGTTATTGAAAAGATCTTTGCATTCTCTATGAGGGGTCTTTTTAGCCTTTCAACCATGCCTTAACGTGAATTGCCTGAGGTTGGAAACGTTCCATAAATTTCTCACGCCCACTTGCACTATTGGTATCATAAGAACATGCCAACCGATGACGAGAGGGGACAAGACACTCTGTTTTGAAGCTTGAAAAAACGCATACCCTTTGGCACCTCACATGACTGGTTTATAAACCTAATACATCTGGCCCCTGTTGTTCAAAAGGTGGCTATAGAGTTATCGACTGGATAAATCACTATCCAGTGGATCACGCAATTGGTTTTCCTAATACTTAATAATAACGCTATCCAACCTTTGAACAATCGGGGTCTAGTCTTAAGGGGGATATCTCCTTGGGCGCACATGCTTAAGTAAAATAAACTTTGTTGTGGATAATGTAATAAAAAGGGATCCTTCCTTACTTTATGGCAAATGAAATGTTAGTGTCTACACGAAGCTTGTGGGATGCAGTTGCAAATCTGCGTCCTTGAGACACCATAAGTTGAAACACGTAAGTCCTCATTGAGAGCAACAAGTCAGGCTCAACAACTAGATTTTCATTTGAAGTGTTCTTGATAAGATTGCCACCAACAAAGCAGTCTGGGGTATTTTTGAGGTTCTCGCTGACAGAAGTAAATGGAAATAATAAATTGGGTGAAGTTGAATCTTCAACCCTACAAGTCCAGAAAAATTTCTTCTTTTCAGCTTTAGCACCAAAAGAGTCTTGCAGTATACCCTTGACATCTGAGAGTAATTGCATAGGCTCTCCACCTTTTATAAGTAAATCTGGCCCTCTAACCTTGACAGTAAGACGCGGTAAGATCTTGATAAACCCGTAGTCGTACGAAAAGGGTGTACTCAACCCTTTTGGCTTCACGGAAACCCGTACTAACGTGAGACTCTTAGACATCTCCTCAGCGTTTATTATAATGTTCTTTTCATTGTTCAGTTTCAATTCGACAGCTGTATAGAATTGACCAGTCCCATGAATGGTAAAAATCTCCCATTTAAAGTCGTATTTCTTGGAGGTGGAATTAAGAAGTCCACTTTTCACAGATACTCGTGCTTCAACTATGTAACGCTCCTCTGGTAGTATCTCGTTTGCGGTCTGTAAATTTTTGCTTAGATTCAACGAAACATTGGCAAGAAGGTTCACTTCATTGGCTGAAAATATTGAACAATTATTGAATGAGAATCATATAATAAATTATTTGGAGTCAGCTGGAAATCGGTAGCTACCAAAGTAGCATAAACCGCACAGTAAGTTCCGGAAACTGTATTTAGATAGGTATGACACCACCTAAAATTAGTTACTTAAGTTGACAGGTACCATTTTTTACCTGCGTATTGAATTGTGAAGAAATTTGTGTCAAATGAAGTGTCGTGTCGAGAAGATATTTCATCTTTTAACTTGTTAAGTATATTTGCCTGACCCTCTCGGAGACATTCTATCAAGACCTGAGCTTTTACCATTGCCCCATCCTTTTCTGATTCCTGTGGGCTGTAAAAAGCGAGACCTTAGGTTAAAATAAAAAAGGTAAGAGAAACACAACGACAGCAAAAAGCAAAAAGACGAGGAAGGAAACAAATTCTACTGTTTTCTGACAATACTCCTGGTTGAGGAAAAGGAGAAAACTTCCAATTAGTAAAACCCTGAAAATGTCCGCGACCGCCTACTTAAACGTCCAGGACAGGAATGAAAAAATACAGAGTGTGTATGGGAGTTGAAATGGGGTTTCATGATGGCAGTCGTAAGCAGAGCTGCCCACTTACGAGAGTGTCCGTTAAGTGATGAGCGTCCAATGTGTATTTAACAAAACCGGAAAAAGGCGGATCCAAGATAACGCCACTCCTAATGTTGAAGATTGTCAATGTGTTAGCCAAATGTTATCGGATTCGTTTCTCTTTAACTGTTTTTCGCCTAATAGAGGGGAAATACTGAGGAAATATGGGTTCAGCCAATAATGTCATCAATATGACGTCATGATGACACCCAATAACGTCATCGTTTTAATCAAGTTATACATAGATGTTGACGTCGAGGCCTTAACATGGGCGGTTTTACAGTTATAGAGGGGAATCCTCAGAAAGGCCTCACTCCCAGGTAGCACAAACAAAAGCCCCAACTGCATAGGATTACCGGTAAGGAACAGAAAAGAGATGTGATGACGTCACAAAAACTAAATTTTTGAAATTATGGGATTGGTTGGCATATTTAGAAAGAAGAAGATGAAAAATGTCCACTTGCCAAAAATCAGTCTGTTGGAGGAAATTGGTGAGGAGATAGAAGCAACGTTATGCTCCGACGACTCCTTATAAATCAATCCTTCTGAGACAGGCGTGGATTGTTAACGTTACGATCCAAGCCAGTTTTAGAAGGATTTGTTCGGAGTCATCTGAGGAAACCGGTTTTTATATCTACCCACCAATTTGCACTAACGGGCTGATTTTTGCCAAGGGGGCTTTTTTCATCTTGTTCTTTCTGAGTATGCTAACCAATCCCATGATTTCACAAATTTGAATTTTTGTGACGTCCCACTTCTCTCCGCTATTGCTTTGGACAGGGCACAAAATCACAAAGTAGTAACATCAATTGTGTTTTCTTCTCTTACCTGGTAAGCTTTGGATGTGTCATGTTGGTATGGAGGGTCCACCGCGACATATCTTTACACAAAAGGGGAGTAAGACAATGTGGGGTTTAACTGTCTGCCTTTTTGTTTGTAATAGTGGCTAGGAATCAAACACTGACTCTTCCCTTGGGGTATCTTACGTATCGTCGTACTTTAATTCCTGATGCTAAACCAACAATATTTGACAAAGTCTCACCTAAAATGCAGCACTCGAGTACTCAAAAACCCGAAAATGTTTTTCAGCAGATTAGTGACCTAAAAAAAGATTTTTGTAATGTTGATAAGGTAAGTCAATTGTATATTCTCTAACAGCAACAACTGACAACTAACTCAATTTTAACCCTATTCAGACCGCTCTCAAAAAAGTTGAATAAATTCCAAACCGTCCAAGCTATGACCGCGAGTTTTATAAAATTTATCTGGAATAATTTTAAAGTCGCCTTCACGTGCACGTCAACAGTGACGTTATCATGGCAACCTAATGTTAACAGCAATGATTTTCAAAATTTGCATTTTTCTGACAAAAAAGTTTTTTTTTTCTTTTTTTACTTGTTGAATTATTATATTACACTTAATTTAGCATTACTTTATTGAATTAATTTGAAATATCAATGTAATCCAGGCTCTTTAGTGGCTAATTTGAGGAAAAAGTACATGAATTTAAAGTGACAAGATTGAAGATGCTAGGTTCATTTTTCAACAGACTTCATTTCTCTCCGAATTTCATAACTTGCAGATTTTTGCTTCCTAAGCATCCTTTTATACACAGATCAAATTATCTTTCGCTTTCACTTTACCTTGATTTATACGGGTTTTAAGTAAAATGGAATACATTTAAGTAATTCAAAATGGCGGATCCAAGAAGGCAGATCGTTCTAGTTCCTTCTTTAGGTAATTTATGACGTCATCATGACATCACTGATATGGTTAAAGATTGTAAATTATGTGTTAGTTAACTTCTTGGTTACATCAGACACTTTACTAGTTAAGGTTTTTCGCTTTATGGCTACTTTGAGGAAAACTTTGGGTTGAAGAATATCCAATCATATGGACGTCAGTTTACGACATTGTGTCAATCGAGTTATGCCTAGATTCTGGAAATGATGAGCACATTATTCTGTGTAACTTTGGTGGCCGTATTATGAGCGATTTTGAAGTTATAGAGGAGCGCTTCCGAAGTCCACCCCCCGGTCACAGGAAACAGAAAATGCCCAGTCTGAATAGGGTTAATGACACTTCATCTTTGTCTTAAATCATACCTCTTGTTCTACGCCAGCTGCAGTTGAGCGCCACTTGTGATGGTCATCCCAAGATTCCAAGTACTCAATCGTGAAAGGTGAATTAGCTAGCATTAACCAGACCACGACGTAGTAATCTGCAAACAAACAGTGAGTACAGTGAGGTGTACAGTCATTCAGTTAGTAAACTGAAAAGTCGGCACTGACGCATTTACGCAAACGTGTAACTGAGCGAGCATTGAGAATTTGAGTCACAAAAGACCTTGACCCTTCAGCTACGTACAGGTTATCTTATGGAAACAGCAAATAAACAAACAAAATGTTGTCTAACTTGAGTGACAGCCATACAGCTCCATTCTGACAGCGAAGTTGTTTGTCCAGCTGATGGGTCTTAACATCACACTTGAGGCTTTGGCTGGCAGAATTACGCGGTTTAGTTGTATTGTGTTACTGTCGTGATTACCCATAAACATCTGTGGGGAAAAAATTGTTTTAAGTCTTCAACTGAACGTCAAGCAAACATTTTTTTCTGCCCTTAGTTATGCACTGCTACCCATGGTAATGATCGTTCACATTCTTTTAAAATTGTACGAAGGGTAGTAATTGAATCGCTTGAAAATTTCTCGGTTGTAATCCTAATACACTCACAAAAATGCAAAAGAATAAAATTGGGCAATGCCGGACTGGTTGAAAGTTGGAGACCATAGGCCATTATTTAATCCTTCTAGTCTCTATAGGTAAGGTAATGTCGAATAACAGATACTGCAAATTAAAATTTTCAGAAACCGAAAAGAACAAAACAAACAAACAAAACAAAAGACTTCTAAGAGCGCGTTGCGGCTTCGAAATCCTTAATTAACCTGCGTTTTTTGAAGAGGAAGTTCTAAGTGTAGCAATTTAGGAATAGTTATTTAAATTTGAATGTCCATCTATTTCTCGCCAATCTGTTCGCCATGTTTTCTCTTTTGATTATGTTATAAAAGAAATGGCAACCTTCCAGCTGTGCAGCATCGAGTTATAGATGCATTTGGAAGGTTTGCTATGTACTTAAGAAGCTAGCTACGCCTCGAGCAACTCTTACGTTTCTTTCATGCCTAGCAACCTCTCACGTGCATCCATAACGCGATGGCTGCACGCTGCGTGTTTAACATTTCTTAATTTTTAGCCAGTCAGAGGTAAGAAGTTGCTTGCAACACTTTCCCCGCGCTCGACGAGGATACATTCGCGGCAACCATCGACAACTCGTGTGCTTTAGTGTTAAGAATGCAATATTTTGTCAGTAGAAACTCCGGTAGTACTTAGCAGGTCACAGCTTTATGTCATGGACGTTTAGAGTTCTGACCCCGGTTGTTTAAAGAGTGAATAGAGCTATCCACTGAATAAATTTCTATCACTGAGTGGATAACACAATAGTTTCCCGTAAACCGTATTCACTGGAGAATGATTTACCCGGTGGATAGCAACTATCCAACGTTCGAATAACCGGGGCTAGCTGAGGATGGCCAAAAATACACAATACTCTAGAACATTCCTCGTTCGACAAGCAAATTCTCAAAATAGCCTTTGGTTAAATTTATTTTCACCCTGAAAATAAATTTAACCAAAGGCTATTTTGAGAAGTTTTTTATCGAACGAGGAATGTTCTAGAGTATTGTGTATTTTTTCCATTCTTAGATAGTCCCGATCCAGGTTATCCTAAATTTTTAAAGCTATAGTCAAATCAATTTCTCTTTCTATAACCACAGATATTTTTCCCAGCTTTGTAGTAAAATTAGCTAGTCTTGAAAGTACTTTTCAGCGGAATGGAAAATCAGTTGAGATGTAACAGAACTGAACAGGACCTTCAGCTTCCTTTTTTTACAATGTAAGAAAATTCTGTAAAAAAGTTTGTTTTGAAAAAAGTCGTCAGGTGGCCGCTAGGTGCCTATTTGCCCACATAATGTTTCGTCTTCAACCTTTGTTTACCACAACGATATTCTAGATACTACTTTTTTCGGCCAAAAAAAAACATGGCTTGGTATATTTACTAATTTTCAGTGCACGAATTTTATGTCCCATTGGATTGTATTCATAGGTTCGATTTTGTGAATCATGTAGAAGTCTGACTTTTTTGTGGTTATATTCTTTGTATAAAGGAAACTGAGGTTCTCCATGGGGTGCGAAAGTTTCTCTCTTCAATGTTATACACAATTTCGATTTCACTTTCAGTCAATTAACTCTCACGATGTTAATCAATAATTTTCAAAAGTATCTGATAATTATGAATGTTAAACATTAGGCCAATTGATAAACACTATATGAATCTGGAACAAAACACATTTGATAAAATTGCACCAGCTTGGTTGCACCAAATATTTAACAAATAAAGATAAAATGCAGTATTAAAAAAAATTACCACAAATTGTACTAAACTCTGACTCTTATGAGAGGCATGATGAGAGAAGCAAAATGAGTTATTCGCTTCTTCAAAGCTATATAAAGAGAATACTGATTCATTTAATTAAGTCTTTCTTTTAGAGAAACTTTGTTATGAAAATTAATCAATCGCTGATTTCGCATCATCTGGTGATGCCACCTTCTTTAGCCTATAACTTTTTAGTTTGGTAATGCAGTGAAATGCTGAATTTTATAACTCTCAAATTAACATCAATAAGGGCCACATAGTGTGGCCTTAAAGTTACTGTGCATATTACAGATTGAATTTTGTGATTTGAACAGGGATCACTTCTGATTTAAAGGACTTTTGCCAATCATGTTCTCGAAATGTATAAATACGAGCTAGAGAAGTGCTAAACAACAATTCGAAACCACAGTCAGTCAGTAAGTTTATATTGGGTCAAAGCATGGATAAGTAATTTACGCTAAAACTGAGCAGATGGTTTTTCCAGGCGCAAAATGTATATGAAATATCCTGTGAGCACGCCGAATAAAAGAGAGAAAATAAACGGAGCGATGGAACTCGCACATTGTACTCACCTGTCCAGAAACCCGCTGTATAAATTATTTGATTCAAGGAATCGTCCCGGACTTCTTATAAGGCAGATTTCAACTGAAGCTGTTCTATAGTTAGACCTAATTATCTTTATTTGAATACATAAGATTTCGCCTCGGAAGCTGCAACCAAAACGTTATTGTGCAGAACTCGCTCACGCCCTTTGAAGAGACTCTTAGGTTATTCCGGCTATACGCATGCACTGCAGCAAGTCGATTGGTCTGGCGTCGCCGGCGTAGTGTAGTGTCAAGTGTTTGTGGCTAAAGTCATCTCTGCTTTTATATTTTACTTTAACAGTTTGTATATTGCTTACTTGAAAATTTCCATCCGAATTGTACTCATTAAAAGCGAACAAAAAAGTTTGAAAAAGAATTATTTAGAGTGTCGGTTGCAGTAACAGGTTTAGTTAGTGAGAGTTAACACATTGTGCTATAACAGACCGGTCGCATTCGATTCCTCGAGTCTGGATTAAAGTGGTCTGGAGTTAAAAATGTTGACTAATTTCGCCTAAGGCAGAAAGGTTAGATAAACGTTTTAAAAAAGTAACTCTTCTAACCTGGGCATTATTTGCATTTCTCTCCCGGAAGAAGGTGTAATCCTCCTTTCCTTGACTGTACAGTAGAATATACGCTGTCAGCCATTCATTCACTGACACATCACCATATCCTTGAGTTGCTATCCCTGTTATCACCATAATGCGCCCGATTTCTACCTTAAACCAGCTACTGTTTAACTGGTCAGTGGCGGATCGATATCCCTGCGGCCAGCTTGAGATGTTTAGCCTGGCTCTATGAGGGCCAAACGTATTAAAGTCATTATCAAACGCTGACGAAGCGTGAAGCTGGCTATCTTTGATTCTACCATCCGAGATTCCCAAGGGTTCCAAGCAGGTGGCTAAAATAGTAAGAAAACAAGTTGAGCAAATATATTTTCGTGTTTAAAAACATTACAGCTTAGTCTGAATTCGTAATAGGAGCATCATTACCTGTAATTTCAGGTGTTTCTCTGTTGGGTTTTGCATTGTAGCAATGAAGGAACCCGTACACGAAAGTTATGATAAATGCTCCTAAAGATGCCATGCTTAGTCGGATTCCGAATGCGACATAGACAATAAGCTACATAAATTATAGAAATCAATCACCAGAAGACGGCCGGCGCCAGCGAGTTCAGTTGTCGACTATCAAACATGCCGCGTTATTTTGGAACGCAGAAATGTTTTGCTGACGGTGCATATCCAATTTGACCTCAAACCACGGCATAAAGTCAATTGAGGCAAACGTAACAAAAGTCTTTGACTTCCACGGATTGAAGGTAAATAAAAGAATCGTTAAGTCTATAAACAATCCGGTAGTCAGAACTAACTGTGTCTCACGCTGAATGTCCCTGGTTGTGTGCAAACACGTCAAATGATCTTTGTTATGAAATGTGGTGAATACGATGTTACGAGTGCTATGATTGGTCGTTGTCCATGATCTATTAAAAATAAGAGTACCGACGAAGACGACGTCACGGGAAAATTGTTTCCTCTGTTTTGTCCAATCGACAATTTTAAATATGTCCACGAAATTTTTTTGAGGTAGTGACTTGGAAATCGCTGACTATGGAACAAATTACCAAAGTCTTCGTGACGTCAGACACATGTCAAAATGGAATCTTGAGGCCTTATTCAAAATGCCATAATGCTTTCCCCTCAAAATTTTGCATAAACATTGTTTTCAATTTGTCTTAAGACTAGCAATCGTCCCAAGAGAAACTGAAAGCAATACTTATGCAAAATTTTAGAAGAAAACAATGGGTAGTATGGTTTTGTTACACAGCGTGAAATACACTGTGAGACAAGAATTGCTACATGGTAGGGATTAATAATTAATACAAAGAAATTTGTTAAAGATAATTGAAGTATTCTTGACAGAAAAAAGACATACACTACGAGTCTTTTCTTAATATTGAGACGATTCTGATGGCTGATTTCATCAATTTGAAAACAAATAGAAGGTTTGTGATTGTAGGCACCCTTTTGTTTTCGCTCAGAGAGACTCGCGCTAGCTTGGCTTGATGTTCAGAGTTGTTTTTAAGCTTTCAAATTAAACATCCTCAGGGAATTGAAAACATCATGATACGTGTACTTCTAACAACAACACAAACAACAACATCGACCTGTAATCTTTAATATTTGTTAACTTTCCATTCTTCTTAGTTTTAGTAAACGAAAAATTTATTCAAGTAGAAGGAAAGCAATTCAAGGTTTAGGTATGAACGTTTGACTTGATAAATCAAGGCAAAATGAATCAAGGGGAATGTGCGTTTTACTTCACGGGACGAGTGAATTAACATCAGCGAAGTGAGGAGTGACAGATCAAGACCACCAATATTGAAAAATTATTAAAAAAATAGCTTAAAAGCAAGCGCAAGGCTGATAGCACAGTTGAAAAGGGAGGTTTAACAATTGTAAAACTTGACCTGGACTTTTACAAGCAAGTGATGATTAAAATGCCCAAATCATGCATACCCGCTTCAGCTTTATTAGATTCCTTCCTACCGTCGATTTGATCCCAAGGGGAGCTCGTTAAATGGGAGTCAAGTCGCAGATAATCTAATATGGCTCAATCGGCCACTGAACCGGTATACTAGATTACCTTCAACTTGACTCAACTCGAATAGTTAGTTCATTATAAATAGAGAGACTGTCGGTGAGTCCTTCGCAGTATACCTGTTCCAATTTTTAGGAAGAAAAAATCTGATTTTAGCAGTGGTGGTTTTCAGTAGCAAGTGCTTAATCAAAACAGCAACGACTAAAAACAAAACGAAGATCAGCGGCTACTATTTTCTCGTATGTAGCATGAAATTTAGAAACTGAAATATGAAATTTCACGGCAGAGAAAAGCAACTGCTAGTAGCCTAATCTTCCTTATGTTTGTGGTCGTCATGATGTTTCTTGCTCTTGCTTATTGATTCTTCATCGCCGCAAGGGTACGTTCCACCACAGGAGGATGGCTGTACGGGATACGGAATTGGTTGGGGCATCGGCATCATCGGCATCGGCATCGGCATAGGCATAGGCATCGGCATGGGAGCACCGGCTCCCCCCTGACATGGAGTTCCCCCTGCCGGTGCTCCGGTAGTGGCAGGTGGGAGAAGTGACGATAGGGCAGTCACCATCTGTTTAAGGCACACAGCTGCATCAACTTGAGCAACGCACGACTGGAAGCCAGCGCAGACTTGATTCTGTACACAAACAAGCAAATAGAGGAAATAATTGAATTTAATTCCAGTGTTAAGTAGTAAAATTATACAAAAAAGGAAATTTTGTTTATTTGGAGCACGTATTATTGCGCGAGGTAAAGTGAGCACTTGAATGCAGTTGACTCCCGATTTCTCGAACCCTCGCTAACTCACAAATCTCGCGTTAACTCGAACCAAAAACGATTTCCCCTATATTTTGTCCATACATTTATACAATTCTATCCTCGATAACTTCAGATTATTTCATATAATTTGATCCTGGATAACTCAAAACCATGTTTTTAGAAAACAGTGTACTGCCGTCCGAAACACTGAATTTATCTCAAAACAACCGTGTATGATTTGTCTTTTTTTCCAATCGACTTTTTTTGTTCAGCCCTGTAAATGATCAGTCTTTGTTACTTAATTGCTCTTTCAAATCTCATTTTATCTTTTGCTGGCCTCATTATTTCCGGTTACTTGCTTCGAACTCCTGTTAACTCAAACCCCTAATAACCTAGAACTTATTCCCTTAAAGAAGGATCGAGTTATCGGGATTCGACTGTCATTGAATACTTGATTTATAGATGTTTAATGGAATTTCATGTTGTTGTGCATGAAGAGAGCACACGAAAAAAGATTAAATTGTTGAAAAATTGTTGGGATCAAAATACTTTTCTTGCATTCATTCCTTCTTTCTTCATTTTCTGCTTCTTAATGCTATTAATTTTGCCAATATTGTTATTTAGATAATTATACTACTGCATGAGAAATTTCTGCAATTTGATTGGCTTAGAGCAGTGGTATTTCAGGTTAATTTGAAATACCTACATGTGAAAATTACAAACCTTCTAAGGGTAGTAGTATAAACAATTGATAGCATGATTTGTACGTGATATTTGGCATAAATACCACTCCTGATATTTCAAAATTGTCTCAAATTTCACTCGCCTAACGGCTCGTGAAAATACGTATAACAATTTTGAAATATCACTCGTGGTATTTATGCCACAGAAATATCACGACAAATGATGCTACTGACCTATACTAAAATGATATTAATATTATTCGTTATGCTTCATTATCACATCACGAGTATTATTGAATACCTAAAAATTGTCTCTTACGATCAATATCAAGGCACATTTTCGTTCCGTTGGCACAAATTTGGCAGACGAATTTAGCAACATAAAAATGGTAAGTAGAAGTCGAAATGGTTTGGTTTTGAATCGACAATTACCTTGGGGAGCTTGAAAAATTTGTCTATAACGCAAAATCGCTTTAATTGAGCCTGTGGGACGAAAACGATAAAAAAAATATATAGAACGCAAATGGTGCTTACAACTGCATCGCCAATCGGAATAGGAGTACCAGTGGCAGGTGGAGCAGGTGCGGGTTCAGTACCACTTCCGCTTCCGCTTCCACTGGCTCCGCTTTCTCCTCCTCCTGCTTCATCTGCCACTACAAAGCGAAGGTCAAAATAAGAACCTGTAACCAAGCCTTTTTAATATCGTCTAAACAGGCAATAAAGACCCCAGAGGAAATCTTACTAAACTCACTTTTGTCAAAAGGGACCTTCCGATAGATAACACATACTTGAAATCAGTCCGAGGAGAATGAAATTATGGAATTGGTACAAAGCATGTACCAAAGTTATTTAGATTGTTGCAAATGGGGAGACAAAGTTTCATGCCAGTATACTGGGCTACACTTGTAAATTACGCTGTCTTGTAAAAGTTTTATTATTAAGTTGACTCCAGGCGTCAAAGGAGTTATCTATGGGACCAACGCCAACAAAAATTTTATAAGTCTTTGCATCTTATAAAGATCGTAAGAAAATAATATTGGAGTATACAGAAAGAGCTAGTAGGCTATGATTAATTTGATAGGTGATTATCTCTAGTATCGGACAAATAGTGATTTTTGTACCAGTAAAGCTTAAAGCCTTTATTGGCCTACCTAGCTCGGCTTGGGTGTTTTCCTCCACGGCGTTCTCGTCTTTGCGCACCTCGCTGTCATCGTCCTGAGGGAACAATCGAAGTTAAAATTACAATTAACAATAGCTTGTTCACTTTCTTACAAGACAGGTCTGACCTACTCATTTCAGCACATTTGGCCTCTGCTTCAAAATGAGGCGATATTCAACTTGCCATTACATACACTGTTAAAAAAAAACCAACAACAAACAAACAAAACCAAACAAAACTCAAGTTGGTCTGGAAGTTAAAAGGAAAATAAATGTTCTTGAAAAATTTTACATACCAATCAATGTAAGAACATTCTATAAATAAAGACTAAATGATGCAATTAAACTTAAGAGTCCCATTGAACGCTCATACGTTAATGACTTTATGGCACCCCTAATCAAGGAAGTGAATGGAACTAATTGCATTAATAAAATGTTCCAGCATTATATCTATAAGTTTTGACAAAAACATTTGAAATCTTGCATTCAAGTATACAAAAAAGATTCAGTATTTGTGGAATACAAATTAAGTATTTTATGCCTGAGCAAAAAATGGAATCGATGGCCTCTTTTTGAAGTATATATATATATATATATATATATATATATCTCTGACATTTTAATTACGAGTGTTCGAAATCAAGGGCTCACTAAGGAGACTAACCGGATTCCGAGGCAAAACGACACTGTCTCGAGGTCATTTTTCAGTTACTAGTAAATAGATGGTGAACGCGGTGTGAGTGTTTCGGAAGAAAGTTCATAATTACTCATGGAATAATAACTAGAAAACAAACACTTTGCAAAAGGTCGAGAACTAAGTCAGATTTACAGACTGCCTGTAATTTATATAATTCAGTTGTAAAATGTTATATGTGTCATTGTTGTATTCTTCCATTACCTCGTTAGATGGCCGAGCACGTCCAACGATAAAGAAGACTGACAGGATGGAGATAATTAGTGTTATTTGCTTGAGTTCCATTTTTCCAACTGTTACAATTCTCTAATCGATGGCCGCCACAGAAATTCTCACAAAGCAACGCATGAAATAATTATGCCATCTTACAGGTAGCTGAGCAAAACAAAGCATTGTGCTCTTCTGGTATTGGAATTTATAAATGAAATGTTTCAGGATAAATAAACCTTTGGTTCTCAAAATAAATAGCCTTTCTATTTTTATTTTGTTTTAAAAAGAGTTCTTGTAGTGTTACTGTGATTCAAGCGTATGTAGCTACGTAGCTAGCGACCGTAGCGGAGCACTTGATGTAGTAACTCAGTCTCTCACAGCAGCTCATCCGTACGTTGGCGACAAGCTACGGTGGAATCCCTGGTGCTGAAACGAAGTACAAAGGGACTAGCTGCAACAACACGTCGTTATATAACTGTATCGGTGTACGATAAAGTTTACTCTTATAACAAGGGTAAATCAAATCTTTTCTGACTCACATAAAATTCCACATTCGTTATGGACTTCAAAGGCAAAACATTTATAATACCTGAAAAATCTCTAACGGCCGGAATTCTTGAGAATTTTTATATCAATAGAAATCCTCTTGCAGTGGGCTTTTATTGCATAAAGTTATTAACAAGTGTCTTTGAATGAGGACGAAAGTGCTGGTTTAAAGTTTTGAATTAGTCAGACAGACGTTTTCATGTTCGACGTGAGCTATATAGTGAAAATGTCACCAATATAATTTATTCCATTGGTTCCTTCAAAATCCATCGCGAACATTCCAGTCCTCTCTTAACTTCCCAGCTATAGGCAAAATTTCTTTGAGTTGTATTGTCAGAGAACGAGCTGTAGTTCAGAATGAATTAAAAAGGAAAATAGAATATCGTCAACAAGTGTTCACGTGTTTCATAAACATCGCATTGGGAGTTTTCACATCGTTGTCAGACTATGGGCATGTTTACATGAAGGTGGGGACCCCAGGTAGGTGAGGTAACCCGCTTGGGCGGGGTAAAAAAAACAACCCCCGTTTACACGCAATCTTACAACCCCGACATCCCGGTGTGCACTTTCTCAAGATTATTGAATGGTCGCTAAGCACGTAAACAAGAAAAATCTGGCAAACCACGTTTGTTTCGGCGACTCTTGCGCTTCTACTCTCACCTGCTGCTCTCGCTGCAACCTTCAGTGCTGTGGCTTTCTATTGTTACTTTAATGATGCAAAGCAACCGCAAAAGTAAACTTTGGGTGAATTTGATGTATCTCGAATTCGACTCCGGCTAGGCGGGTTACACAACCTTGAAACGTTTACATGGCAAAATTTTAGCACGGCTGAGAAGGTTACCCGGTCTGGCAGACCGGGCTACCCGCCTTGGTGGGTCACCACACCTATCATGTAAACGCAATCAAATTAAAACAAGAGACTTTATGGAGAGGCGGATTACCCCATTCATTTTGGAGCGTGAATAAAGGCTGATCCATAACCTTCATTAGCACTTGTGTCCCGGGGTGACTCCCATTTAACAGTGACAGGGATGCTTGTCGGAAAATTCAAATTCAACCCTAAGGAGACTAATGAACTAATGTGGGTGTTGCTCAAGCTTTAACTGATCCCTAATGGAGATTTCTGTGTGGTCAGTGTCTGGGCTTTTTTGTAAATTTTCTTATGCACATTACTGATAGATATCTGAATGTGCAAATATAGTGACTTTCCATCCCAACGCCGTAAGTGATACCATTTAAAATCTGCAATTTGTCGCCGAAAGTGAGACGACGAGCACCACACGTCACGTTTATATCGGAGTGCCCCCCGGGACTTTTGTATCGAAATAATATATTATAATACCGGCTGTGAGTTTTTCAATTCCAAAAGTGAATGGACAAACAATCAGATTTAACCCTGAAGAGCGTTCCATCTGTCTTGCCTGCTCCTTCGTATTCCGCGCCTATTTTTCTTCCCTTGTCCCCCTCAATTTGGGTCTGAGTTATCCTTTTTCTCACCCCTGGGGTCAGTGTGTCAAACCCTGAACGAAATACAATGTAATTTATAAGTGCACGTTTTGTTTTGAGACTCTAACAATCGCTATACTTCAATTTTTATCAAAATGAACCATTGTTTTCCATTTCAGAAATTTAAGTCTCATTCCAGCAATTTCACGGCTTTATGCCAACTATGCTGAAAGCCTTTAACAGTTCTCTTAAAATGACTTCAGTTTTACGCCAAAGTATTCTAGCTGTTTATTACTTGATGATTGCTAAAGATAAGGATTTACCTTGCTTTCAGATGAAAACTGCAGGTTGCAGAGTCGATTATTTTCACTCATGAGACCCTCAGTGAACAAAGACCGATTCCCACTTAATACAACCGGCCTCTTTTAGACTAAATAGCATTTCTCCCGCAGCGTATTAAGTGAATGATATCATTTTTATTGGTCTCATATTTATCTTTCTTTAATAACAGAACATGAGTCCCGCGTAACATAATTCAGAAGACTGTTGATGAATTTTCAATATAGCAAACTCGCATACGTTGAGAACCGCGTGCGGTGGTCATCGCTTAAACTCGATCAGTCTATTCCACTATCGTTTTCAATGCAAAGTCATTAGGGAATAGAATTACATAGATTCTGGGCATTTGACGCATAAACTAATCGTTCTTGGCCTTCCTGTCAAGCTTTTTCTCTTTCTTGTCATGGTGTTTCTTGCCTTTTGATCCTTTGTCTTTACATGGATAAGTCCCACCACAAGACGCCGGTTCCATGATAACTTCGGGATACGGCATCGGCTGGGGCATGGGCATGGGCATGGGCATCGGCATGGGCATAGGCATAGGTTGGGGCATCGGCATGGAGGCACCTCCTTGACAGGGGGATCCCCCAACAGCTGCACCTCCAGCAACTCCAGCACCTGCACTTAATGATGATATGGTCTGCAGCATTTGTTGAAGGCACATGTTGGGGTCTCCTTGAGCAGCGCACGCTTGGAAGGCAGCGCACGCTTGATTCTAGAGGGATTAAAACAAAGCCAGCATCTACGTTTGTCACATAAAAGAAGTACACAAGTTATCATATATTCTCACATGCATATGCCTTTCGTCAAAACTATGTTATCACTAACACTTTGCCAGATATCATGCCAAGGCCAAGTTCATGAACCTACATTACCAGCACTTAACTATTACCGAAGTAACAAATAGATATGAATCAGCCCACACTAGACCTACGGGATGATGAATTAAATGAAATTAAAAGAAGCTAAGATCATCACAGTTATAGACCAAACGTATGCCAGCAGCTAGTTGGCCTGTTACACTCTGTAGATTACTTGGCGAGAGCGCTCCATCGTTATCGCATTGGTATGGCAACAACAACGAGCTTTATTTGTATGACCATACAAGCACATACAGTATTGCAAAAGCTATGTTTAGGAATCAAAATTACAACACAGGGCAATTACGTTACTTTGATAATAATTTGTGACGAACATCAAAACAAGCTGAAAAATATTGGTAAAAAGTTTGAATCCCGTACAAGCCTGATTTTTTAGGCTTTCGTTTCTTAACTGCAAAAGTTGCGAGCACAAAACAACAGAACACAGGATTTCTCTCACCGAGACAAAGAATCTCACCATTTTGTGGTCTAAGAGCGAAAGGGTTCGAAAATCTGGCCGGGCTCCATGTCTAACCATATAATGTCCTATATAATGTGGATAAATTTTTAAAGCCACTTACAACAGCACCGACAATTGGATTGGCACCGGCTGGGGGAGCTCCTCCGGGGGGTGGTGGTGCTCCTGCGTTTGGTGGCGGTGTTCCCCCTGCAGGGGGTGGCGTGGTAGCACCAGCAGCTGGTGGGGCAGTGGTGGGCTCAGCAGCACTTCCGCTCTCTCCTCCTGCTGCATCTACAAAGCAATGATAATGATAATAATGATTATGGTAGGAGTTGATGGTAATGATGATGTTGATAATGATGACGATGATGATAATGATAACAATAATGACAATAATGATGATGATAATGATATTGTAATGATGACGATAATGATAATGATGATGGAGACGATGGTAATGATAATGATAATGATGATGATGATGATGATGATGATGATAATATTGACGATAATGACTGCAATTCAGTTTAATGATTTCGATAACTATAGTTCATTCATATACTTCTTCTTTCCTGATTGCCTTAAACCCCCAGGCTAATTTTTCTTAACTAGTAAGCGTTAACCAATTTCGAAGGCGTTTGCCTTGATGCCAATTGTACTGATAGTTGACAGAAAAAGAGACAGCAGAAGGCACGGTAGCTCAGCGGTTTTGCCAGACAATATTCGAGGAAGAACAGGTTTACGTAAGGCACGATGGATGAAAAATGCTATCTGAAGAATATCTGCTAGAATAAACATCCCTTAATACAGTCGAACCTCCCATAAGCGACCACTAAAAATGCAAAGAGGTGGTCGCTTACAAGAATCGAGCCACAGGGTTCTCTTCGCAGAAGAGGTCTGGGAGCATCTTCTTTATGGAAGATAATTTATGTTACGCCATGTGTAGTTCCATATTGTTACTTAAGTACATGTCGTTTATTCTAAGTAGCATAGGGCACAAAGCGAACACAGAAGGCGTCAGGTGGTCGCTAACAAGAGCTTAAACACAATGGAAAATCTTTGAACTTTCAGGCCCAAAAAGTGGTCGCGGTCCCTTACAGGAGGTGGTCGTTTACTAGAGGTTCCAACTGTAAGGCTTTGACTGGGAGAGTTTTGGTGTTTTGGATTGGCGGTCGCTTAGGGAGGTGGTTGCTTACGAGAAGTGGTCGCACATTGAAGTTCGACTGTACCCACAAACTGTCGAGGACCAGTCAATATTGAGAAGACGAGAACTTTACATAGATCGAGATAAGTAAGTTTTGCTGCTACCGTATGATATAAAGAAATGACTCTTGAAATCAAAAACTATATTGTCAAACAGGATCTTGATGGTCATAAGTATTCTTGCATCGCCGCCTCTCCGTAAAGGTTTCCTGAACTAGTGACGTATTTATTTTGATCTTAATTATTCTAACTTTGTCTGTTGCAAATAAGATGATAACCTACTCGCTTCGATGGTTCTCTAGACTTTTTTTTTTTTTAAAAAAACATGCTGCCAATTGCCTAAAAGGGTAACTCTTAACTAAGGTGAGTTAAACTGAACTTACCTTGTTCCCTGTCGTCATCGTCTTCACGCTTCTGGCGCTCCTCCTTGTTGGGACGAGGGTAGAGATTATTTTAGACTGGGCCAGTTACTCAGGAGTTCGGAGGTTGTTTAACACATTACCGCGTTCTAAACAATGTCTAAACCATTTTTTAATCAACACTAATATCTATCCCTGATTGCTGTTCATTACAAAGAATGCTCACTGCTCGTGATAGAAGACCATTCATTATTATAACTATTATTATTATCATCATCATCACTACTACGTCACTATAGTTTTCCGAACATATTAGGACTGTTTAAAGATATTATAATCATACACTACAGTTTGCTCTCTGGTGTAACGTGACCCTCTTAACCTCGTTCCCAGGAGCTGTGAGGGAAAAGCCCTGGTCGGAACTGGATGACCTCCTTTTTGAGTTATACTTGTACATATCCTTCCCAGTGCTTTGGGTGTCGTGAAAGCGAAGCTTAATGGGATAATTTGACAAAGCGAAATAACGAAAAAAAAACAGTCATTGAATTTGACTGAAAATTATATCCGGTAATAAATCGTTTAATGGAGCGTGGAGATGAGCCATTGAAACTGTGATTAAGAGAAGCAAGGTGTGATTGTTTCGCAGAGCGAGCACTTAAAGACCTAAAATATTAATACTTTACTCTTTGGTTAAGAAATTTCCAGAAGTAAGAAGTAAAAAAAACTAAGAGAATTTTTGATTTTCTATGTTAAAAACAATATACTACACACAGGCTTTTAAGAACACTTAATCTAATTTTTTTTTGAGTTAATTGTGGAAGGAGAGGGTACGTCTTTCAAGCACGATCTTGCGCCGAGATGAAATAGAGGAAAAGGTGGAAGTTGTCACTGAATTTACAGTGACAACTTTGATTTAAGTTTAAGCTTTACCGACGTGATTTTAAACACCACGATATTTCAGCTGTGAAACACGGAAAGATGAAAGAAATAAAATGTAGTATAGCCCAAGCTGATGCTAATTCCGCAGAATTTAGTAGGGATCGAAAAGTTTTTAGAACAAGTTCCTTTTCGTTTCATATGTTATATAAACATCGTCTAGGATGAAGCTGGAAATTGAAGCCTGTTTTAAAGAGACCAAATGATACGCTTGAGCCTCAAACACAAGGATGGCGAACATCTTAAATAAGTTAACTACATTAGCTTTTTTTTGTTTTACCTCTGAAGGTCGAGCATGGGTGAAAACAAGTAAAGCAGACAAGATAAGGAAGATCAAAATTCCTTTCAGCTCCATTGTTTCGTCTGCTTCGAAAGTTACTAGTTGGTAAGTAAGAAAATTATGGCTAAAACGAAATAGACAAAGAACAGCATGAAATAATTATGTCATTTTGCAGGTTAAACTAGGACCAGAACCAGCCGAGCAAATAGCGTATTCGACAAACACGTGCTCTACAGGTGGAGAGAACAAACCAGATCACGGGTGGCTTGCAAATGTTTGAAAACCAAGCTTTGTTTCCTGTATTGCCCCCCATAATCTTAAAAACAAAAAGGGTCTGGAGAGTTACGATTTGTTAAAAACAAGATTCATCGGTGATTATTGGTCGGATTTGCACACAGGCCGGCAACACGACTCTGATCAAGTGTTGTGATAAACACATTACGACCTTATGGGTTGATACGTACGGCGGCCTGTGCAACCGTGAACGTCCTTTTTTTTTCGTGGACGGCCGTAAGTTAACGCTGGCATAACATTGTATGCGTTCACAAACTTATGACTGTTCTAGCTTGTATTACTGCATTTGCTTGGATTACTAAAGGAAAACTTTACTTAGATCGCAGAGATTGAATTTAAACAATTCCTCAGCGTCCGCAGTGATTGACTGCGAAATCATAACTGTCAGTCGATATAGCAGCACCAAACTGTATCAAGAAATGATCTGTTGTAAATCTAAATTCGCCCGTAAGCCTTTTGTGCCTTATGTTTAAGATGACAATTGCTCAGACCAAACCGAAGGTATAGAAAAATGATAGTTAAATATTCGGTCGGTGAAACAAGCTTGTCTTTTACGGGGATTTAAGGAGAATTTTAATTTTCTCTTGACGATTCCATTTTTAAGTCCTGGTATACCTAGGCGGAAAATTGAACCGTTTGAAAGGCAAAGGAATGTTTCAGTTCTAATCTAAATATTGTTTCTTTTTCTAAGGAAGTACGCAGAAATGGAGGGGGATCAAGACGATATGAATTACCAGCTCTATAGATAACACCTATTATTGGTTTTGGAATTTCGAAATACACTTTTATGAAACCTTTTAAAAAGGCGATAAATCAGGACAATGTGTCAGTAATGCAGGTGAAAGTTAGAGTATCTGTGCGTGGCCCCTTGCCCTCCCTCTCCCTAAATCAACCCATGTAAATGGCAGATTTTTCCAGTGGTTTTTGAACATACAGGAACCAACCTGTGGCAAGGACAACTTCACAATGAATCATTCTCTTTTATGTCCGCCACTCTTCGGGTAGTTTACGAAAGCGCAAGTTATCACGCATGCGCACACCATCTTAGATATAACCAAAAGGTTAGTGAACTCTTCTCAGAACATGGTTTAAAAGTTACCCAGTCTGTTCCAGTAGATCATTTTAAGTTTCTATCATTATAATATTTTTAAGATTTAAAAACTGAAAATCGTCGATCAGAACAAACTTCATGGACTGTTCTCGAAATTATGTTCTCATGGACTGTTCTCGAAATTATGCATGGCTTTTAATGACTCGTTTTATGCTTTTATAAAAGACAAGCTTCATGGTTGTCTGTTAGATGAAGTTTCTTTTATTGATTTGGCCTTGTTTGAACGTTAGGCCTACTCCCTGGTTTGAGGAAAACATCGTAAAAAGGGGAGAAACAGTAAGGCTTGTATGGATAGATGCATCCAAATTTGTAAGAATGGTTTTCATCGACGATGGAGTCGATCAGATCCATTCAAAGTTGTAAGAGCGCGATGATCCTGTAAAAATTACACATTGGAGTAGCACCCACTCTAGAACATATAAAGGAAACCTTTCGTCGCTACGATTTCTGGGGTCGGTAGGGAGGGCAAGTGTTGCTTCATTATGGTTTATTAGTGGTTGCCCTGAATACCATCGACGATTCATAACTAACACTTGTCTACCCAAACAATCCAAAGAACTCAGTACACTCAAGCTTTTGCCCATTCTCCCTAGAGTCAGAGGCGCAAAGGTATCTTTGCAATTTACCTTTTCCCTCCGACTCCGCTCATTATTCCGTCGTTTCTAAATTACCGAAGATTATCTAGATTGTCAGAGTGCTCTCGAAACCCTGAGTAGTAATGGGTTTACAATTTTCGCTTCCCCTAGTTGCGACTCCCAAAATATGTTTTTCGCTAGATAATAGCACAAAGCTCTTAAATAAATAGATACAAGAACGAATTAAAACCTTATTTCGGTGCTAGATGTATTTAGGTGTGCACAGTAATACAAGATCATCGAAGACATATATCTTAATCTAGACTAAAACAAATAAGTCAACATTAATTATAAAACTAGGACTTTCCTCAAGTTATCAGTAACAGTCTAAGGCCTAAGCCAAACGTCGAACTTTTCATGAGACGAACCAAACTTTAGTTATGGTGAGTTAAGTCCGAGCTTGTATGTTAACCTATATTTACTCATCGTTCGGGAAAAAAATTTACCTTGGTGGGCTAAAATTGTTTTTTGGTTAGATTCAGTTGATTGGTTCGACGCGTCCTAAGTTCGAGGTCGACACAAATTAGAGTTTGGTTCGTCTCATGAAAGTTTAAAACAGTTCTAAGTTCAATACAACAATGATACTAATATACATTAAAATTGCAACCCGCGTAGGTCACAACAGTCTAAAATACTGAGGGAGATATCAGGCAACTTCTGACAATAACGTTCTTGAAAGATTGAAGACTGCTATGGGTGATGCCTTTGTGTCTGTTTTCTCTAGTGCAGACCTAGCCCAGTAGAAACGAGGCGAAAGTTTGCCATAGTCTTACAGAGCCAAATGTTGGCGAATTAAGGCGTTCCTTGTTGAGGAAAGACTAGCACGAACAATCTAAATTAGAAATTAATTTCTTTAGCGTGGGGAGCAGAGAGATGTACAGTAATATATAGATTTAGCCACGGGTAAATGCGAAGCTCTCTTTAATATTTACAGATTCTTCAAAGAAAATATAAAATCGAGTAATACTAAAGTTGAAAGCAACGAGAACGGTAAAAACAACAACAATAGATCTACTTAGCAAGAAAACAACTTTGCACCTGCAGCACACTTTTTTTTTCTAATTAGCAAAAAAACAACTCTGCACATGCAGCAGTTTTTTTTGTACATTTCCTTCCCGTTGTTTTACACGACTAAAACGTGAAACTTCTTTTAGCTTCCCATTTACGCTCCTTTTTCACATTAGTAGCCGCTAGCATTTCTCGTTTTCTAACCGCCGCTATATAATTTTTATGTTTTTCTTCCAACGAGATTAGTCTCCGTTGTTATTTATTTCTCGCTCCTGACTAGTGTGACACTTGACATCGGCTTACATGTAGTGGGTGTACGGACGGTCGGCGTTCGTACACTACGTCATAACCAAATTGTCTCATATGGATAGTTTACCAAATTTTCTTATTCTTGGTGCTCCGCTAGAGCGCTTCGCGGGCGAGAGCTCCGCTATGATGTTTGTAATTTTGAGGACTTAAAAGAGAACCAAGGGACTGGCGAAATATGTTCGCTATAATGAGGTATTGCTGGGTCTGGGAATATCGTTCGTTACAGCGAGGATTTAGTTATATAGAGGTTCGTTATACCTGGGTTTTACTGTTGTTGCGTTCCCTGCAAATCAAAAATCCCTACTAGAATTTCTACTCTCTTGGACATCAGAGTTGTATAACAGAACCAAGTAACATTGTTTCTGCTAAAAAAAAGAAAGACAACAACAACAACAAATTCACAAATACCATAAAAATGGCTTCTCACCTCAGGACGTTTCGGGAATACCATAAAAATGGTTGAAGGACTTTTGCCAGTGAGACTGCTTATCGTGCAGTTTACAAGTAATTTTAATAAAAGATATGAGTAAATATACCCCCTTTGTGAGTGCAAATTTGAGGTAAGCGATCACACCTGGAACAACGTCCCCTACTCTTTGAGAACAGTGTGTGGGTGCTTTAACGTCCCACATAACTTTTTAGGTTGTGAGACGGGGCCTTATCCGATAAGACTAGAAAGTCTAGCGGTTTGTAAATGTCATTACAAAGGCAACAGTCTCTAATCAATTATTTAAATACCCTGAGTGTTGGTCCGTTTGGTGTTTGAAACAGCGGCCTTCAGCTGGGAAGACCGTCGCTTATCCGTCATTTATGGAAAGCTGACTGGGTGGCTGGGTGTTCCTGGTAGTTATAGGAAGTTTTTTAACTTAGCACAGCTAAACTGTGACCTAGAAGAATACCTCAGTGCGGCTATGCAAGATTTTTTATCTATGTACGGTAAAATGTGTTTTTCGTGTATGATTTTTTTGATGGTCTGACCTCGAAAAACCTCTGCCACAATATTGGCATATGAAAGGTTTTTCACCAGTGTGACATCGATAGTGGCGTTTTACTTCGTCAGAGCGACGGAACCGCTTTCCACAACACCGCCAAGGACATAAATATGGTTTTCCTGTTTTGCCCGCTTGGCAGCAGAACAAATACGACTCTTGAAAGAATTCATTGGAGCTCCGATTGGAGATGATACTGAATGGCATTGGACTTACAGGAAACGTTTGCGGTGTATAATCTAAACTATGGCTTTCCGTAACTGCGGTTGTTGCTGCATCTTGCTTTTTTCGTGTAAGACCGTCAACACTTTCCCAGATATATAGATAATCGTCCTTTTGTTGCAAATTTGTGCTATTATCCATTGTTATCAAAGTGCTTTTGTTTGACGAATTTTTTATGTTGTAGCGATTGATCAGTATATGATTATCAGCGCCCTTTCTTTCAAAGCCACTCGATTCTTGTTGCTCGCCATCTGGATCTGTGTAGCTCGCTTCAAGCCCTATTTTAGAGCGTTTTCCTTCAGGATCTAAGCTAAGTTTTTGCCTTTTCGGTGTATGCGATTCCACAAGCAGCCTTGTTTGACCCGCCCTAAGAAGATGCATCTCGGGCTGCTGCCCAAGGCCATTCTCTTCGTGTTGCTCGGGGTATGGGTGGATGTAGCTTAATGCCCGCCCTATTTTAACGCTTCTTTCTCCAGGGTCGAAGCTAGATTTCTGTCTTTTGCTTGTGTGCGATTTTACACCCAGCTTTGTGTTTCCTGTCTTAAGAAGATGTTTCTCGGGCTGTTGCCTAACAACATTCACTTCGTGTTGCTCGACATCTGGGTAAATGCAGCTTGCTGCCAAACCTATTTTAAAGAGTCTCTCTTTAGGTTCCATGCTAAATTTTTGTTTTTTCTTTGTATGCGATTCCGAACTTAGTCTTGTGTTCCCCGTCTTAAGGAGTTGCATCTCGGGCAATTGTCCAGCGTCATTTACTTTCTTTGTATGTGATTCCGAATCCAGTCTCGTGCACGTGTTGTCCGTCTTAAGGAGTTGCATCTCGGGCTGTCGCACAGCGCCCCTTACTGGATAAATAAGAGACGTCCCTGTCATTCTTAAGGGCAGATCTTCAACATTGCTCTTATTACCCAAGAAATCAGAGTAATTTGATTCATTGGGTAAAGCTCCTACAAATGAATATCCTTCAGGTTGTTGATGAGTTCTGTTGGCTGGATACTCCTGCTGAGAACTGTTATTTGCTGTTTTTGCAGTAAAGGTTCCTTCACCAGACAACTGTTTGCCCTGCCTTCGATGACGCTTGCCAGGCTCCTTTAGATGGGATTCGTCGTGTGTTGTTTTCATGTTTTCATGGTTGCCTAACTTCATTTCCAACAGGCTGCATGATTTAGATAACTGACAGCCATTCGTTTTGGAGGAATAATAAACATTTTGTACTAGGATGCAAGGTTCCCATTCTCCTGGAACGTTTGAACGAGTAAAATTTGAGGAAAGGATTGTTTCTGGAAAAGTGAGGCTTTTATACTCTTCGTTCACTACAGCTTTGAGAAAATTTTCTAATTCGGTTTCGCAGGACGAAGAACCCACGGTACTCTCTTTCCCTCTTCCCTGTAGTCCGCTTGCCATTTAGATAAAGGAAAGCTTGGTGTCTAAAATAGTCAAGGCAAACAACAAAAATTATTGACGCAAAGATCTCAAGAAATAAGAAAATCCTCATCGGCCTTGTGGAGCTCATTGCAAGTCATTTATGCAGGATGCGTCCACTAGGCTCCAATGGGAAAGTTCATTTGCTTAATGAAGGCCACTTTTGTTTGCGCCATAGACGACGTCAAATTTGAAGGGAAGTCTTAATTTTCTTTCTTTAGTTAATCTCCACTATAGCACTGATTAGCAGGGGCATGTAAAGGGGTTAATGGGTTATGCTTTCAAAACTTTCATTGAAATGGGAATTGTTAGTGCTATATAATAAATTCTAAGTAATTTTTATGATTGTTGAGAATACAAAACATAACTGTAGACCGTTGACACTGTTTATGCAAAATCGTGATAGAGCGCTTTCTAGTGTCAGCCCTCCGGCTACGAACAATATTTATCTACGGCCATCAAGCGATATATATGTAACTTAAAACACTTCAGTCTGCTGATTTTGACTCATAATCAAGTTGATTAATCATACGGTGCTATGAATGCGGCTATCGCTATCTAAATAAGCGACCTAACGAAATTTTACAAAGTTCTCTCATTATTAAATACCAATAAATTGTTGCCTTATAATGCTTGAGCTGAAAATATTGCAATCACCTCCTCGAAAACGATTCTACGGGGAAAGGTTCCAGCTGAGTTGCTTGTTAGCCTAGTATGTATTAATAATAACGTTGTCGTTGTCGAGTTTCTCGCTCTGTTTTTAAGTAAAACCTTACTTAGCTTGTTTGTTAAACATACCTGCTTGTACCGTACGTTACCATGAAACTTCAAAGTAAAGGAAAGGACGGCTATCGTAAGATCAGTGCTTCTTCTTATTCAGATCGCAAGTCAGTCTTCTTTACAGAGCACCACTCTCTTCAAAGATACTCTAACAGAGAACAGTATAGTGGGGTCCTTTCAAGCCAAAACAAATACTAGACTAATAAGGTAAGCCGCTTAACCAAGGGGCAGATCCTGTTTGTGTAACAATTTGCTAAATACCACCCTTAACGCCCCCTCGGGTCCTTTTGAAACTTTTTTTTATTATTTTCTTTGATGTTCCGAACGCGACAAAGAAGAAAGGAGAAGTCTGCACGTAAGCTCGTTACGCGTCTTTGAAACACTGAGCATAGACGATGCTAGAATCTTTCATCAGGCGCAACCAACGAGAATATAGTTCAAAACCACTTAAACATAGCATTGTTAAACGTATTTTGGTATTTAAACGGTAGATATAGGCATATCTTTATCCCCTAAAAATTTTCCATCTGTTCGGATTTCCTAGCTGAAAGTCTAGTGATCTGAAAATTCTAGGGATCAAAACTTACCTTTTCGAAAATTTCAGCGAGAAAAAAGGCTCCCGAAAATTCTAGGTGACCTTTTTAGGGTAAAAATCCGTCAAAAATAGACAATTATACCATTTTTTAGATGTTCGAAAATCCTAGGAGAAGCAGGCAAGCAAGAAATGTTCCGAAAATTCTAGATCTCAAATCGTCTTCCGAACAGATATTTTTCCGAAAATTGTCGTCGGGTGTCCCTGTTTCATTACAAAAATAACTACATAAATAAGCAATAGTAAATAAAGTGAGTGATTTTGTTGTCAAGTTAGCCTTTTGATGCTACCCCTATTATTATTATTATTATTATTATTATTATTATTATTATTATTATTATTATTATTATTCAAGTTCGTTTTTATTAAAAGGATGGTTAGGACGTAGTTAGTAGTTCTATGGTTAGGATCACAAAATCAGGTTTCATTATCAGGGCGCCCTTGATTGGCCGCGTATTTGGAATAAGAATAAACAGAAAGTTTGTTACAATTTACCTCTATCGTGATTGTTATTAGACCTCTGGAATGCTGCAAGCATCTTAGAACGCACCTTTACAATTCTGTTCATCTCAACCACGATTTTTCGCTCAACTGATTTCATCAGCCGAATTGGGTTCCCACAACTGGACTCACGCGACATCAAAAGTAGCCGAAACCACCAAACCAACAGTCTGGCGAATGTAAAGAGAAAAATCTACATTTTTGGCTCACTAGTCTTAGAATTAGCTTGGAATTGAAATAGGAGACGACTAACTCTTCAATCTCTGGCGAAAAATAAGCTACACCTCAAAGGCAGGTAATTTACTTATTAATTAATCTTGTTTGTTATCAGAAGCTAAGAGCGAGTGCGGCAGTACATACATCTGTATACCTATTCAAAATGACTACTTTGCTCAGTACGATCGATTGCATAGGAAGAAATTGAAACACTTGTATTGAACATGAGAGATTTTATTCTTTGTGGCTTGACAGTTTACGATACACTTGGGTGGACAGCTTTGCATACGTTAAGGTATCATCCAGGGTAAAAAATCATCATTTTTCGAAACTTTCAATTTTTAGATGACTAAGTAGAGCTCATCAAGAGCTTTCTTTCAAAAGAAAATTCTAGGAAAAATTTTTTTTCTGTGCAAACTTATGGAGCGCAAAAGTTTTTTCTATGCTAATTATTTTAATTGATCGTTGACAAGTCCTGTCATACTTGATACGCATGCCGCTGTTGAACCAAGCTAATCACGCAATTTGACAGAAATCGTGGTCTACAAGTATAGTGCTCACTGCTTTTCCCTGGATTTTGGAAGTGAATGCCTCCAAAGAAGAAAAAAGAGTTTGTCCGTTTTCGTCCTTGACTCCAAGACGAAAGAAGACGACAAAAATCGTTTTGCAAAGTGTGGGCTTCGAAATTAGCAGAGAGCGACAAGGGCTCCTACTACACCATAGAAACTACCGCGAAATTGAATTTCACGAGTTTCTTAGCGAGCGGAGCCAGCTTTTTAGGCCGCGAAGCGTCCAAGCGAGCGAAAAATTCGCGACAGGTCCCGCGCCATATAAAATCGGACGAAGGACTTTTTTGAAAGTCTATTGTAACGGGAGAGCAGTTTCAAGAAAAACTCCAGGAAGCGGTTTGTTGTCGATTTTTCCAGGGAAGTGTCGAACGTTTAGAAAATGTATCAAGTAAAAGTTGGCTGGCTCAAAATGAAAACTGCCCGTCGCAAATAACTAAAGATGCTTTCTCGACAAAGAGCAGGGCTTTGGGCCAGATGGAAAAGCTGGACTGGACTCTGGACTGGACTCGACGGACTCGGGGGTAATTTTTTTTTAGGGTGGGGGGGTTGTATTATTCAGTTTTCTAGTCCGTAAAAAATCACTTTTTAACCTTTCCCCAAAGGCTATATTTTTCCCTTTTTTTGGGGGGAGGAAAGGGGTAGTATTATATAGACTTTACTCTTCTCTGTTGTTTGTTGGTTTTGTTTTATGTCTATCATTTTTAGTCTGTCTGGGTGGGGGGCTTAGATTGGTCGTTCTGTTTGACTCATCACGGCCGTCACGTTTCACTTGAAAGTTGAAGAAAATAGCAGGAGTGGACGTTACGTAAATTAACAAAAACATGACCTGTTTCTTGTGCGTAGCAACCAACCCATATATGGCGTATTCACTATTTACATGTTTAGAATTCACAATCTCGGTTTCACTGAATAACCAGGCCTTGGATTTTGTGTAATTAAATCGTTAAATAATACAACCCTCGCCCCCACCCTAAGAAAAAAATTACTCCCGAGTCCAGTCCAGTCCCGTCCAGTCCAGTCCAGTCGAGAGTCCAGTTCTGGTTTTGCATCTGGCCGAGCCTTTGAAATAAATTGTTCATCTGTTGTCGGGTTTCGTTTGTAACCTTTTCCTGCTGTGTCACTATTGTTGTCCCTTTTCTGGTATGCTTCAACATTGACAGCTTTGGTCTTATAATCTGTTATAATCTCATCACGTGTAACAGGCCGCCAAAAATCTTGAAAATGAAAATCAAGGGAAAATGAAAATCAGGGCAAGTTGAGGGTACGTTTTAAACTCCAAGTCGGCAACCCGTGAACCAATGTGGCTGAAATTTGGCCAACTTGCTGTCAGATAGTTTTTCTAAAAAACCATATCTGCGAATTTTGATTTCTTTTTTCGTTTTCGAGTAAGAGTACTTTTTCACAGGTAGTGCTAATGATTTGCTATCCCTAACTTCAACTGCTTATAACAAAAGAACAAACCCACTTGACAAAAATTTGAGACACGGTTTTTTAGTCAAACGTGTTAACAAGCGAATGAGATCTTAATTGGCTTCTTCCGTTTATTTTTGGCTGGCCTGGACTTAAATTTACAGTGACACCCACTTTCACAAAAAGCTTCTCATTTATGAATCGCGTTAATGTTTTGATTTTTTAAAATTAATAAGCAATAGTCTGAAACTCTTAAGCTTTCAAAAAATGTACGGTTTATGGGCGTATTTATTAAAAGCAAAAGCGCTAGCGCCGATCAACGCGGAGAGGGTGCTTAAGGGTGGATGATACCTTAAATAGAACTTCTCAGTCGGAAAGTATCCACCGTCAGTACTTCGTAGTTAATAATTGCAAAAGTTAATTGCGTAAACTGAAAGCCCGGCATTGGAATCTGATGATGTACGAACTCTTTTACTTAAATTATAAAGCGATTTCATATAGTCTTCACATAAACTTTGGCACTTATTACTAGTGAGAAGAGCAGTCATTATAGTGGGCCAGTATTTAGATCTTGGTAATGTTTACCAGACTAGAAAACCAAATTAATTATTCTGCAAATTACAACGCAGGCAAATCACACAATCTGAAGTCCCAGATTAGTGAAAACAAAACGAATTCCCCGACTTCTTACTGCAATAATGGTATGGAGAACCAGACCGTTGAAAACCGTAACTCAGGATCAACATTTCTTCGCAATCCTGTCGGTCAGCGTTCCTAACATTGCCATACACGGATTTCTATGTAGATAGTAAAATACGTATACCAAACCTTTTATTTCCTTTCTGTTTTTCATTTCATATTATTATCTTATTTATTTTCTTTTTTGTCAGGCCTCAGTAGGTCGAAAGGTGGAT